AGTTTAATAAAAATTTCAATGAAATTTTTGATGTAAACATCGGGTAACACAGAATTGCGGCGACTAGCGTGGCTCTCAGCGCAATTTTATGTGTTTTGTCATAACAGACATATCCACACCATTACAGTTCAATTGTCTCTTTTCAGTAAAAAAAAAGAAAATTTATGAGATATTCGATGTATAAACACTTTCATATATATATATGTATATTGCATGGACAAATTGTGCATGTTGTTTCTGTGTATAGAATAGAATAGAATAGGTTGAAGTTCAATCATCGCATGGTAAACAGATCAGTCATCAATATTAATTACTTTCCATATGTATATTATACAATAAAAACATCATAGTTTCATTAGAGATGACGGCAATATTCACATTAAGATGTGCTGATGTTAGAGGGAAATGCGTTTATGTGCTGTTTTCTATTTAGTTAACCCTTTAACGACACTTGAGTGGTATACGACACATATAATTATATTATTTTCTCAAGCAAGTATCCAAAATTTTGGATATTTTATTGTAAAGTAAAACATCAGGAAACACAATTCTAGTTATAAGCGAAATTGGTACCATTTAGTCTAAAGCATTGCAATAGGGATGAACATCTCACGAAACAAGTACAGAATAGTTGAGGATGAGGAAGAACAGGACCAAATAAAATAAATGGACGAGAGCGAGGAAAAACGTGACCGACATTTTAATGTGATCTTGTTTTCAGAATGAATGATTTATCGGTACGACCCTCGGAAGAACTCAGGATCTGCCCGTGAGCATTCGCAGAACACCTTTACGATTTTACAGTCAGTCATGTGGCAGTTTTCGGTTGAGGAGCTTCGCACCCAGCTCCACTGGAAGGAATTCACTTTCATGACGATGACGACAGCGATGGATTGCTTGATTTAATTGTGCGAATTTCGTGCGAGTTTACCCACAAGTCACACGTAGCAGAGGTTTAGCATTGAGGCGCCCACTCGGTAGGGTGATGCATTAAGGGAAACTTTCTCTCTGTGCTTGTAATTTATGGAAGCAATTAAAATTAAATGCACGAAGGGCTTTCATTGGAAAACTGCTGCCATCTAAAACATTCAACGAAAAGTCCCACAACAACCTGGTCAATTTGGAAATGTACCACATCAAGGTTTTCTGTCGTTTATGCAACACATTGCAAATTACTTGGAATTTATCAGTGCTTGACTTTAGAGAGGAATTCCAAGTTTATTTTGAGTATCAATATTGTCATTTTTATTTGATGTTCTCAATGCTCGAATGTTTGAAGGAATTCTTGAAAATATTCCCATCACAGACAGCAGAATTAATTATCCTCAGTTCCATACACATTAAGCATTACTTTTCTTCATGCTTGCGTCAGTCAGGGCAACAACTTATCACTTAGAGACAATTGTCAGGGGAATATTCACTGACATTGTTCACAAAATCCCACCTCTTGAGGAAAATTCTCTCCGAGCGAAGCTCTCTTCAAATGAAATTTTTTCCCATCCACTACAGCTCTAGAATTTTGATTGCAATAAAACACCCCATGATTTCGGGAGCATAGGGAGTGAAAAAAAGCACAGAGCTTTCGGTACAATGTACATAAAATCAAAGCTTGTTGAGTGGAAGTGGGTGATTGCGTTGTGAAGGGAGAAACGGTCTGGAGAAATGTCCAGTCCATTGAACTTTAGAGTAATTGTCATCAAGACTTCTCAACCCTTCTATCGAATGCACTTTTCATTTCGCCCCCAGCAAAATACTCCAACATTTTGTTATACAATGTAACTGAAATTCTCTCTCTTCCAATTCCAAATTCGTCAGGCAATCGCGATATAAAGGAATAGCTGGCATGTCTGTGTGGCGGGAGATAAATTTTTTGATTTATCCACTTTAATATCTTCCGTTCATTCCCAATATCTAATCGTTTCATTTTTATTTTATTTTCTTTCATCTCTTTAATTGATATACAATCAAAAAAGACTCCATAGAGACAAATTGATTCGTCTATATTAATGCTTCTTCCCTCGCAATTTTTGCTATCCACGCAAGGATCGAATAGATATGTAGACAGAGTTATTCCGTCTCATATAATAATTTGAAGCGAACGATAATACAGGTTTAGTATCATGACAATAATGAGATTTTTTGCATTGCTTTGGATGATACGATGGTGTACTCATGCCTGAAGACAAAAGATCACCTTAACACTTTGCTGAAAGTTTATGTGACTGCACAGGAGGGTCAATTCATTGGAAAAACACCCACAAATTGCGTGAAAAAAGTGGAAGTGTACGTAATATCCTGAGTGATGAAATCAATTGAGTTTCTGGCCACCCACACGCAATTGCTGCCGAGTCAGCGACACTCCAAGAGCTGAAACCAGTGAATTAAGTGAAAAATTTGTGTGAAAAGCACTTGAGAAGGCGTATCTTCTGACATGAAATAAGGGTTTGTGATATCAAAAAGAAAACTCAGAAGGGCAAATGAAAAAAAATCCCACCAATTAATTTATTCTCAGAGTTTCTGGCTTTTCTCCCTTCTTCTGCAACTTCCCAAACAAATCACAGCTATGCCATCAGGGCCAAAACTCTTGCGAAAACTGCATTGAAATTCGTTTTCGCGAGAGTTTCCTTCATTTATCATTTCGCGTTTTCTCCCTGAGAAGCCAAACACGTTTGTTCCATGGACATCACGAAAAGAGCTTTTTTTCTACCATATTTATTCTTTCGCCGTAGAAGGAAATTGCATGTTTAACAACTTCAAAAACATATATCCGCCCCCATCGGGTGCAAAAAAAGGAACTTGAGAAAGCCTGAAGAATGTGAATTGGATGTGTTGGAAAAATTCTATGTCGCTTCCTGAAGAGACTCATGCACATTTAAACTTCCTTCCGTTTCAGATTTAGCAGTTTTGCATTAAACATATCTGAATCAATATGAAGTATATTCAAGCAAAATCATAGTAACTTTTCAACGCTGAGCATTACTACACATCTTCTATCGATCTTACAATTTGTATTCTTTTGTCATAATCATTTTTCTGACACATCCTTATGTCTTCTGTTACTTACTTAACAGCATTTAATTTCATTAGATTTGACTATTCTATTACATACCACAAATATCGATGGATATGCAGTGAACTTTAACCCTTGTTGCTTCTGTCTCCTTCATCGATAAACATTAAATGTATTTCTAAGCAGACATCTTAAAGTCCTGAGCACTTCTCCATGTGATATCTTCTTGTTTATTTATCATTAAGAGATTGGAGAATTTACTCCAGAACTTTCTTTTTCTATTTCTTCCACACAAAATCATGAACAAATCGATAAGAGCACCCTCCAAATATCCTGAAGAGAATATTCTCAGTCAGAAGCTTGTGCAGAAGTCAACAGGCGACGCACAAGAAAGTGTGTGAGAGAGAGAAAAGCAGTAAATATAGCGATAGTCTTAATTAATTGTTCCCTACTGTTTTACAGAAATGTGTTTATATGTCATTCTTATGTCCTTGCAAAAAGGGGTTCGTTCCTTCCAAAACTTTGAATATTCAACCTCACTGATTTTAACTACCATTGACATTTACGAAGTAAATTTATATAAACTTTCACGGTGTCCGAAAATACTTCCCTGTAAATTAGATTGTTGCGTGATTTCCTATCTGGACGAGTGAACCGCGTGTGTGGGTGGCGAGTGAAATGAACTGACAAAGTGAATATTCTCTCTCGGTCTCATCCACCCTCCCAAAACGTGGCGGAGGCGATGATTTTGTATTTAAGAGGGTGTCACACAACACAAGTGGAAATATTTGTACAACAGATTTCTGTCACCGCCATCTCTTTCGCTCACGAACACTCCAAAACACCGCCGGAATTATGTACACACATCCAAAGCTATCATTGCTCGAAAGCTTTTAAATATCACACTTTTGACATGTTTGTGTGTGTGTGTTGAATTTTGCAGGGGAAGCTTATGCTGCCTTCTTTGTCTCGACTCGAACTGCAATTCTCACGATACCATTTATGAGCATAAGCCTCGATATGGACGAGTTTGTCATGCAATTGAGTGTATAGTGAATAGGAACACATCGCACGGGTTAAAAGCTCCTGCATAAACACACTTGAGAGCTTTTCAAATGCTAAAAGTGAGAAAATAAAGGGTCAATGCACTTCATTCGAGCTGTTGTGCTGACACAGGACGAAGTGAAGAAAGTCAAGTGAAACGTACACCTTTGAGCTTTACCTGCACGAATATTGGAATCAGATTGAAGATGGAAAGAGGGATAGAAAACATGTGTTGACAAAGCGTTTCTCACATTTTCCATGCCCACACCTAAAGCCCCATTCTTCGCGCAAACATCCATCCATTGTGAGCATTGTGACGAAGTCTCAGAATATCCAGCGTCGGATTGGGAAAATAGCGCTAAGAATTTACCTGACAATTATACATTGAATGGTATTTCTGCGTTCTTGTTGGGAACCAAGAATAAAATTCCAAATTATCAAAATCCCAAATAATTTGTGTTATAATTAAAAATTCAACAATTTTTTATCCGAAAAAATAGTCATTTAGTAAAACATGAGTAAAAATTAAAAAAAAATATCATTTGCTAGATAAAAAAGCCATTAGATAGTCTTTTCAATTACATGATGAAATGCAAGCCAAGACAGATTTAGAGTTTCCCATGGAAAACATGACAATTCACCCTCTTTTCTACATTGTAGGTTCAAAGAAATATTTATTCATCGTGTGGAATTAGATACGAGTAAATTACGCTGTCAATATGCATCAAGCGTCGCGGAATCTTTTTCACTGGAGCGGCAATTGCGATTTGGATGTGTAGAATGTAGGGAGACTGAAGTGAATTTATCTACCGGAAAATCATTGCGCATCGTCTTTTCTCCCCCTTTACAATACGAGGCAAGAATCAGCGATTCTTGATGTAAAATGAGAAAAAAACGTATTAATACAAAAATATACTTTTAATAAACACAAAAGTTGACATCTGTGTGTTTGTGTTTGTTAGATAAAGTATCATCGCAATAAAGCTTTTTCTGGAAAAAGATTACATGCCAAAAATGTTGCAAACGTAGTTGACGAATGTTGTTCCGTAGGATTCTACGACAATTGTGATATTACGCTGATGAACTCCGCCCTTTGTAATGTAAGCTTGTCCAAGATTGGTACTTTGAGTAATATTCAAAGATACATAAGTGACCAGGGCTCCAACGCCTCTTGACGGATATTTGATCTCAATGGCGACATTTTGTGGACGAGGCCAGCTTTGGTGATTTGCTGCCGTTCCCACAAGACGATCCCCTTAAAGAAATAGCCAATTTTGATGTATTTTGTAAAACAGAAAATCAATAAAAATCTAACCTGATATGCGCGCTCCGATAGAATACGACAATTGGCCACGATATCCAGAATACATCGTCATCATTTCCAGTTCAGCTTTGGGATTTTTGGACACAAAATCCGACATTCTCTCCACAGACAAGATGTGGACTTGCTTATCTAGATCGTCATCCTCAGTATCGAGGAAGTTGCTATCGAAAAGAGATGCTCTGGTAACGGAAAAGATCAACAGCACAACCAAAAACACTTTCATGGTGAATCACAATTATTTTAACTCTCGCGCTTCAGATGTGATCGCAATGGAACTTTCATATACACTAAACTCGCATACAATCGATAGAAGTGTGGAAAAGAGTGTTGATGACTCAACAATTTGGCGATAAAGGCAGAAATATGATAAGCTATATGGCAGACGAGGTTACGATAAGGCAAATAGAAAACAAAGAAAATGGAGAAATTTTTTTTTAGGACGTATGACATTACATATGAATAACATTGTGATTACTTCTTCATTATTTAGGGGATTCCCGCATATTTTACTCATTTTAGTATACGATATTGAAAGTGTTTATTAAAAATGTGTCACAGTGAATTCATAATATATTTACAAATATGTTGATGGATAATTTCTCACATTTAGGCTCACCTCTGTAAATTACGTCTTTTTCCAGCGATTTTAATACTTTAACATTGGATTTTAGACTGTAAAACAGCGAAGCGTGCATGGCGATTGAAACTCTATGAAATATCCTGTAAAAGTTTTGATTTCGGATATTTTAAGTCTTTTTTTGCTCATTCATTTCCTTGTTATTCCACAGTATTTGAGAGTTGATTCACCATTGTTCACTAAGTATTAAGTTAAGAAGCAGTGCCCATCTTACTTTGAAAGAAAAAGTCCAGGCCTTTAAAAACCCAGATTGCAAATATCAATTTGTGCTTGTTTGAGCGGAAAATACTCATTGTGAATCCAAAGGAGAAATTTTCCCCCCAATCGCTCTGCGTCCATTTTGCCTTTGTTCCTGTGACAGGCTTTTCCTTTCACTGTGGTGCGTTTACGTGACTCTTTTTGAGCGTGGCCGCATTTTCCGCGACACGGCAGAGAGCTCTTTTTCCACCCATGACTGGGCACAGGGAGGGGGAAATGCCCGATAAAGTTGCTGGCGGCGGGCGTCAAACAAAAGGAAACACTATGCAGCTGGTCAAAGTCCCTCCAGTGGGGCCGCCTGGTGCAGCCATTGTGCAATGGAATGCGCGAGGATGTGCATGAATACTTCAGTGCAGTTGCTTTTCACTCTCTCGACTTCTTCTCTGCATATTGACACAAAGGGACACTGTGGAATGTGGCGGGCGCCTGTGAAAATTCAAGCGAAGCAAAAACTTTTCTCGCAATATCATTCCATTTTTTCCCCCCTATCAAGCTTATGTGAGGCGAAAAAGCTCTCGCAGGTGGATTGCAAGATCTCCCGGTAGAATGAAAAGTTTTCTGTTTTGCATAACTTTTCAACTGACACAGCGGGAAAGGACAATGTGTGTAAGTGCACAATGTTGAGTTGTTGTTTATGGACGAGCGGTGGTGAAGCGCGAGGAGCGCAGCGAATGGAATTATATGGGAATGTTGTACAAATATCATTAATTTAATGAATTTCTACTGCACTGAGCGCGTGGTGTGAGTTTTTGAGGTGCTTTCTTTGTGATGCTCTGCCGCTCCAGTTGGGCTTTCACAACTATTTGTCATTTATTCACCTCAGTCGACCTCCGCCGACCACTGAAAAGTTTCGTGGTACAATACACCAGCTATTCCAACTACATTCCTCTCATTTTCCACCTCTGACATGTAAAATCGCATGAATAATTGCACCACCTCAACCCGTTTTTCATGCCATTCAACTAAAAGCCCTTCCGCCCGTCTTGCTGCTCAATTGTAATTTGATGAGCCAAGTCGGAGAAAAGTACATGTCTTGCATCGCAATATTGCATGGATGTTTATTCAGAAGTTGAACAACAAATGAGGGAGATTTCCAATTAATGGAGCAAATCGTCGGATATGATTTATTTGTTCATATGAAATTTCAACTATTGATTAGTTTGAGGTCGTCATTTCCTATTAATACATCTCCACTAATAAGATATATAAATATTGACAGATGCAAGTTATATATGTGAATACATATCTTTAAACATTGATGCAGTTCTGTTGAATTTCCTCCAGCGCTTAATGCATGTTAACCACAATGAATTTACATAATTAAAGCTGTTCAATTGAATCACCTTCAATTCCATTGTCTAGTAATGAGCAATTCAATATACAGTTATCATATCGAATATCCTTCAATTAACACTGAGGGCCTTTTGCTATAAACTCTTTTAAAATTACCTACTTTTTAAACTGATACAGAAAATTCATATCCAACTTGATTTCAGAGTAATTCCGAATAAATAATTGTGTTTTAAATGCGAAAAAAGCAATATAGTAAACTAAAGATGATCAGCCTGAAACTGTGATTACTGGAAGTTATTAATTTCTGTAATTCACAATTCTCCGCTTCATAGCATTTTTGTGCACAACCGACAAATTATCATTTATTGTATAGAAAAATTACTAAAATATTCAGCAGAAATATGTCTCCTGAGATTTTTTTCACATTTATTCCCACCCCCGCAGCCTTCATAGTTATCAAAGTTTACCCCTGCAGATGTGAAAAGTTGGTCTTGTGGGAAATTATGTATAAAGATTTCAATTCGCAGCGACTTCAGACGAGGCAAAAAACACGACTTAGTTAATTTAAATTGCAGAAATACTCATTCATTGAGTGAAGAGAAGAAAAACCGCGTGGAATTTTCCACGCCAATTCTAAGTGATAATGTTTGATAGACAGAATTTTCTCATTCACCCCCAAAATGCGTGTCCATGCGAAGTATTATGTAGGCCAGAATGGAATGCAATTTTACTGTGACGGAGAATTTTGTCCATAATATTAGCTCTGGAATGTCGGAATTTTGAGGCTCAGCACATATCGTTAAAAATGATTAAACCATTTGCATGCGAGATATCGAACAATCCTATATACAATGTGTGAGTTGATAAACCTTCATGGGGGGTTGCTTAATATCCCGATGATGCCCTTTGTGTCGATGGCGCAACTTTATGGGGAATTCTAATTAAACTTCATGCCGCTGCACGATCATTTCCAACTCCAAACATGGGCTTGACGGCTAGTTTTTAATGAACAAACACTCAACTTATCCAATAAGTAGCCCCTGTCCCGCCGCAGTGGGAGAAGCATTCCGCATATGGACAGAGTGGGCTGCATTTGAGGGAAAATGTGAACGAAAAAATCCACTCTGGCAACCAATCAGTCGCCCACACGTGAAGTTTCACCTCCAGAGCCGATGATGGTGGATATTTGTTGTGTGTGCGCACATCGAGTGAGGATTGCGAGCTCGAGAGTCGGAACATTTTCGGTGAAAAACCTCATTCCCAGACTGCAGGAACACCCGCAGACATTGACTGGGAAAATCCACCCACCACAAGGGCCAAACAACTAAAATAATAACCAAACATTGCACATTCGTTTCTGCTCGGTTTCATATTTTATCAAACAATGGCACGGATGAATTGCAAACTTTGTTCACTGGGCACAAAACGACTGAATTTATTTGACAGCCACACGACTTGGGAGCTTTTCCGGGCATTCATGCCAGCCGAAATGTTGTCCCCGCCAGGAAAACGAGGCGCTCTTCCCCGCACACACACGGCCAATTTTAGGTATAGTCAGCACATCATATAATTCATATCAATGAATTTTCTAATTAACATCGTCACAGAGCGAATAGGACAAAAAGGCATGCACACAAGAGAGATAGAACGCATGTCAAATATACTGAAATGTTATTTCAATGCTAATTTATCTTACTGCCCCCCCCCCCCCTCCCCCCCTCCCCCGACTCCCCTATCTCCGCAAGCCCGCCCAATTTCATTCGCACGGGACTCGACCAATATTGGAATGCGCAGAATTCTGTACATTTTCATAAATGTTGACAAATTGTGTGCATATCGAACTACACATTTATTGATTTAATTCAGTAGGTATTTGCATGAATATACCACGGAATGCACACAATTCGTTAGATGTGCAAAAATGTTTGCACATGTTTGCCGCTGATTCTGCAAATGCATTTAGTCCAAAAGTCCTCTGACAAACTCTCGAGGTTCCTTCATTAGTCATTGAGCTAAAGAGAAACTTCATATGTGTTGGCATAATGCATTTTTCATTGGTTTCAAACAGCTTTTTAAAAATGTACATTTTCAAAGAACTTCAGATGTGGAACAGTAAATTTGTTTCTTTGAGATGATCACTGTCGAGCTTAGAGTAAACTCAAAATTATACAAGAACTATTAACCATTCTCTAACGTAAATCACTTTCATATTATATATTCTCTCACATGATGCGTTGATGCATCAGTGAATGAATGTATTCAATTGTATGCAATCTTAAGCAAATAATATCATTTCTCTCACAAATGACGAGGAACTTACACAAGGGCTTTTGCTTGGAAGTTTCTCGTTTTGTTGGCATCAAAATCGCTGAGAGCGGATAAGAGGGAAATAAATGGATAAAATATGGACGACATTTTAGAATCCATAAAAAAAGTTGTGAATTTGACCAAATTACAGATATTAAAATAGCCCTCAACTGCCTCCCCGCAGAAGCGAACGCCCGAATTTCGGGGTAGAATTGCAAAAGATTGGAGAGATGGGGAAAAAATGTCCAATAGAGGATATTTGAAATGACAAACAAACAAAACTTGTACGCTGTGAAGCACTGTACTTTGCCAAAAATAAACATATTTTCTTTTATTATTTCTCTCCCACCCAGAAATATTCACTCTCACCCCCATCAAAGTTCTCAGACGAACTAAGTCGAGAGATCCCCTCCCTCTGCCGCCTGCTCCAGAGCATCTCGAGAAGGCCCGGCGTCCCCATTCAGAGAAGATGGGGTGGTGAAAAAAGAACTATCAAATAAACCAACTTTTTTATAACATCCTGCAAGAATATCCAAGAATTCCCATAAATAGGAATGAAGACAGGGTTTCTCGCAATGGGTTGAAAAATATATAAAATTTTACAGCTGGCCCCATTTCAAACTTCTTTGCAAATGCCATCCAGTGGCCGCGCCCCAACGTCGAAACCAACCCCCAAATCTGCACATGAAATAAATATATTTAAATGTACAATCAAATGAAACACTTCCTCTTTTTATCAACCAATCTCTTCCTCTCGGGCCAGCAAGGAAACCCAAAATCCACCCTAAGATGTATCCCTTTATGGTGGAAATCCTTCCAGAGAAATCCCCCCCGCACAGCGAATACGGGAATCATTTGAATATTGCAGCAACTTTTTCACGCGCACAGAGTGTATGAAAAAGGGCATTTTGGGATAAATCATTACATCACATTTCCGGAATGTTCTTAGTCTGCACATTTTGCCTGTGTAACTTGAATTTTGGTGCACACACCATGTGAAAGTAATGTGGAAAAGATTGTGTCGCTTCCAAAGCTATAACACTTTAAACTTAGGCGATTATTGTTTCAAAGCTCCCCCACCAAGAACTCCCCTTTGAGAGTGCTTCTTGCCAGCAAAGCCCCAAAAGCAACACCCATAAAGTCCCTTCTCTATGCGACGAGGAATTGATATTAAATATGAATTTTTGCAATTTGCTCTCTCTCTCTTTCTCTCTCGCCCTTTCATCCGCAGTGAAAATGCAGCTTTTTGACTAACTGAAACAGTAACTTGCAAACTTAAACACTCAAGAATATGCTATGCTAGCCAACACAGTGCTAAAAGGCTCAATGGTTATAATAGAATTTAAAGCATTAACATGGAAAACAAAAAATCTTAATTTTGATACTCGAACACCTAACATAAACTTAATCGTTTACAATTGAGCAGTTCCTGAAATTGTAAAATGAGAGATCACAATTTTTTTCCACTATTTATTATTCAAATTTCTTTTCTTCACAATGATTTGTATCGAAAAATTAAACTCAAAACCAATCAATTCATTATCATGGTTCAGTAGTGGATGGATTTTTGGCCAAAGTGTACTTTTTAGTCGAATTGCATCCACGAACAGGTGCGATGGCAGAATACTAAGCATTAATTCAACACAGTATTACAATGAATTCAATTTGCATCATAATGGCCCAGAAGGGAGGGATGTGAAAAGGTTCTCAACTCTCGACAATATTGTCGCATTAGTTGATCAAACCCACTTTCTCGAGGGGTGAAAAGTGTGAAAAACCGCGTGATCGATATAGCACATACTTTATTCAGGGTAGTTGCTTAGAGAAAAGGAAAATATTGGATTCTTCCGCTAGACCAACCGATTGTGAGGACAGTTTTGACTCTCTCGACGCGCCTGGAGCGCGGCTGGAAGCAAATATACGTGGGATACTCACCAGGCAGTCCGTTGAGGAAGCACGACGGAGAAATGTTAAAGTTATGCTTGGCGATGCTCGTGCTGAAGATGGCAATGACGGAAGTGTCACTGAAGGACACCGCCAAGTGTTCACCATACGGACACCACGCAACTTGCTGTGGTCTTCCACCAACGTCAACGCCGTCCACATTCGTCCTGGTCAGATCTGCCACGGGAAGCGCCTGCTTTGGCAGTGAAGTGTTGTTGAAGACTTGCTCCTCAACGAAGTGAATGGCATAAAGGCAGGGCACTTCTGTGATGATAAAGACCAACTGCGTGCCACACGGGGACCACGCTTGGGATTGAATGGTACCTACGCCCACCGTCCACTGCTCTGAAGTCCACTTGCCAGTGTCCCACACTCGAAAAAGGCTACCCATTGTGGCCGAGAAGAGTCTGCAGCCGTCCGGAGACCACTTTATTTGGGTGCATGGCGCCCCAATGCGCTTCAGTTGCACACTCCTATTCATGTCCACGTCCCAGACGACTATATTGGAGTCGTTAATGCTGGCCGTTATGAGATTACATCCATTGGGGCTCCAATCCACCGAAGTCACGGGAGTGTGATTGGGACTGAAAGGAGAAGAATCAATTAATCATTTGATTTCTCGAATGATTCGCTCCAGAAAATCACCTCTTGAGGTGCGTCGCTTGCGAGAGGGGCCTAGTGATGTGGGAATTTGGCTCCAGAGACCATAGAAGCACGCCATTCTGGCAGCCAACGGCCAAAACTCCGGCCGTGAAGGGACGCCAGGCCATCGAAGTGACTCCCTTCTGGAGACCAGTTTTGAGCACAGGCACTATTGATGGCTCGTCGGTGAACACCCTGATGCTGTCATCTGATGCCGCCACGGCCAGCTTGAAGCAATGAGGATGCCATCGGATGCATCGAATGGGACTTCTGGGCCAATTCTTCGTTTCCGAGAATTTCCCCACGCTGGCCAGAGTGCGATCTCGCAGATGTGGCCTCAGGAAGTATCTCATGTTGTTACCCGCATTTACAAGATACAGGCAATACTTTGCCCCGATCTTCACCAGGCTGTTCGAGGACATCGTGGCCTCTTCCAGAGCAGACGATAAGCCCTCCTCGAAAAACGTCCTGGTGATGTGTTTCAGCAAGCTCTCCTGCACCGGCATCATGAGATTCCTCCCACTGTCGCGATGCAAAAGATTCGATGAGGGCGTGTGAAACAACTCCCGGACGATATTGATCTCTGGATACTTTGCCATCTGAAAGAAAGACAGGTTATGTTGGGCAGGACACTCTTTAGATCTTCTCACCACTCCGCCGGGCAGATTCTGTCCGATGTCCACTTCTGTAATAGGCAATGAGCATATTCGGCCGCGCTCCTCGAAGACACTGATCTCCCCAGGCGCGGGAGACATGGAGAAATTCTGCAACGACACCATCCTGACTAGAAGCCGAGCAAACTTGTTGCGCTCAAAACACAACACTAACGGTTTTTCCGGCTGTCAAAAGTAAATGTTTCACATGTTTCATGAAACATTCCCCGTGCGCACAAACAAGTCTCCGCGGAAATTGTCCAAAGTTTCTATGGACATTTTCTTTTCCTTATAACTTTCCTTGTGCGTTTAGAAAAAAATATACGGATTACAGAACAAAATTACGACAGATCTTGAAAGGCGCGATGAAATGAGTTCAGAGTGAGTTAAAATGTAATTGTTCAAAAAATTACACTTTCGAAATTCCAATAAAGAGTCCATGGATTTTCCGAATGCAAAATCCGAATGAAAAATGCTTATAGGGTGTAATTCGTGGTCGTCCGGGTGTCAAAATCTCGCGTCTGGTTTGTTTATGTTTCGTGTTTCTAAGTAATTTCGCGCAAATTTGTGTTATTTCTGCACGATTCACGAGCAATCACTTCTCGAAAACCATCACGAGATACTGTCGTATCGTAATGGACGCAAAGACGCATGAATTGAATGCCAAGTTGGTGGCAAACGTAAAGAAACACCGCGTTTTGTATGACAACACTGTGCCGGAATATGCTATAAAGAGGTACTCCAAGTCCGCATGGGAAGCTATCGCTAAAGTCTGCGGCTTGTCTGGTGAGTGATGAGGAAAATCCTTAAGCCTGAATGCACTCTGATTTGATCTTTATTTTCAGAGAATGAGTGCAAATTGCGGTGGAGAAACTTGCGAATTAGCTTCCTGCGGTACAATCGCACCAAAAGGAACTCAAATTCTCATGTGAAGCCATACTATCTCCAGGAAGACATGGCCTTCATGCTGCCCTTCATAAGGTGAGATAGTTTCCCGCGCATTTTTCACATAAAACTTTTCATTGCCATTTCGCGCTCAGTTGCAGAACGCCGACTGGCGTGAACAGGAGAAAAAGTGCCGTGCACTCGCCGCGACAGCGAACAGTTTCCAGGCGATTCAAATTCAAGCCAGAGGCGCATGATGAGCTGAAGGAAATCACAGAAGGTGACGACGACAGTCAGGATATCCAGTTTGAGTACCTTGATGAGACGGATGAGAAACATGTGATTCTCGAAACGACCTCAAAACGCGGATCGCCGCTTAGCATCATCGGGCGGGATTCTGAGGAGCAGCAGGATGTGGTGCAGTCATTGCAGAGCACCAAGGACAACATTTATGAGATTGTGACAACTTCCAGGCGTGATATGGAAGACAATCCGGACTGGAATTTTCTCAAGAGCTTCCTTCCTGACTTGCAGAAAATGTCGCCTGGACAAAAGATAAAATTCAAGCTCGCTCTTTGTTCAGCAATTAACGATATTCTGTACGTGTAGGAAATAAAGAATTTTCCTCAAATACTGCCTGGAATGTTTGAAACGCCATGAAAAAGTCCCTGAAATATTCTTCCGGAACGACGTGAAGTTTGTAACAAAACGCGAATGAGTGTGTTTGTGTTTTTCGCGACGGAGTTTTTCTCGTGATTCTCACTGATAAAATGGGTCAAAATTCCAGTATTCCTGACCAGTTAATGCACAATAAGGTGGTGGACAATGTGCACTTAGAGATTGTCAAACACACGAAGGTTTTCACAGAGATTGGACAGCTGACTTACGATGAGTTCCAGGAGTGTGTCAGAGATCTCAATGAATTGTACGAATTGTACCGATAAGCCAGGAAAAACTCCATGAATCACTGTCTAATGAGTATTCTTTGTCACATTCACAGGTCCAGGAAGTGCATAGACTCCCAGGGGAATCAACTCGTGTTTGCCGTGAAGCGCGGCACCGACAATTCAGTCCTCTGGAAGGCAACAGTTCAGATCGCTTGTGTGAAAGTGGAAGTTCTTACCCGGAAGATTGAAAGCTATAAACTCCTGAACCTCAAGCAGTTTCTCACCGTCTTCCGCACCTTCCGCTCCCATGTGGAGACTCTGATCGCCGTAGAGAATCGAGAGGAACGCAACAGAACGGCATCAATGATAATGCACGAAGTGGACACAATAACACACACGCAGAGTCCTACCGGAAGTTCCAGTCTCGACTCAGGCGGTCCCGAATCCGCCAGCGAGTGCTGCATTTGCCTGGACAGGGCGCCAGAAGTTCTGCTGCCCTGCGCCCACACGTACTGTTGTCCCTGCATCGAGCAATGGAACGTGAACAACAAGTTCTGCCCGATTTGCCAGGAAGAGCTGAACAGTACAGATGACACTTGGGTCTTGTCCGAGATCCCGCCATCCCAGGAAGTCTCTGAGCAGATCTGCACGGAGCTCATGAAGCTGGCCAAGGAGAACAAGTGAGAAAAGGATTCGGCGGAGAGTCAAGACTCCGCAGTGTCGAACCTTCGCCATGTCCCAAGAATTCCCTGAACATTGTAATTATAAGTCAAAAATTCCTACAAAAGGCCAAAGCTAAGGATTTCATCCAATATGTATAAGAAAGTCTTGGAATAGCAGTCCATATTGAGATTTCAGCTGTTAACCCTCTTCTGGCCATCGGATCGTTTACAGGATTACGCCGATTTAATTGTTTCGACGAATTTTGGTGTAACTAACTTATTTAGAAAGTATTTTAGTTATTGAAAGTGATAGAAGGAATGAACTAAATGAGATAGAATTTTAACAAGTATCGAAATCAACACAATGAACTTTGGTGTGATTTCATTCGAGGGCCGGATGCAGGGTTAAGCGACTCTTCAGGAAACGATTGATTAAGTTTATGACTAGTGCTGATATTTAATGGGATGGCCTTTTTGTGTAATTCATATATCCAGCTTGTACAGCCTGAAGTGATTTGTATTTTTCGATATCTTGTATTCAATGTTATCGTTTATTACAAAAAAAAAAAATTACTTGCTAATATGCAAGTGCATCAGATTGCTTCAGATTTGTTGAATAGGTTTCTGATAAATCCTCACGATTTGTGGTTTTGTTCTATTTCAAAGGAAGAAGAAACTGTTGATGATTAAAGTGTATGAATTAAAAAAAAGCATTGACTTTTGCTACGCTCGCTTCTTCTTCGACATCTTCCGCTGCTTCTCCAGCTCCTCTTGTCGCATGTCCTCCAGATCTTCCATGATGCCGATCTTCTTACTGATGAACTCCTCGCGCATCTGCTGCGCGAAGGTGCTCTCCATGTTCTTGTCATCGTCATCCTCGTCTCGGTAGCGCGACTTGTCATAGCCGAAGATCTCTTGGATGTGTCGAGAGTAGGAATTCGCTCCTTCTTCTGGTCCGTCGTCGATGAAGTCATCCATTTCTGAATCATACTCACTGTCGTCATCTTCAATCCGGGGGCGCTTTGGCGGCGGCCGACGCGGCTCCAAACGAGGCTTGGGTCGCGCCCGCGGAACGTCTCTCGGAGGGAATTCTCTTGTCTTTTGTACATCCTTCGGCGGAATTTCTCTCGGTTTCTGGACGTCTTTCGGCGGAACTTCTCTCGGTTTCTGGACGTCTTTCGGGGGAAATTCTCGAGACTTCTGTGGCTCTGCCGGTTTCAGGGGTTTCTTTATCACCTTCACTTCCTTCTTAATCGGTTTCTCAATACGCTTTTCCGCTGTACTCTTAGAGTCTTTCGCTTCTCGCGTGTCTCTGGTCAGATCTGGCTTCTTGCTAATGCTTGGCGGAGTCGCCTTACTGGTGGAGGCGACAGGAGATTTGACCATCTTTCCTTTAGTCTTCGCCTCAAGCAATCGACGCTTCTTGGCCTCCAGGATAGCTAATCTCTCCTCGTGCTCCTGCTTCTCCTTTTGCGTCATGGGCCTTTCAGGCTCCTTCTTCTTCACCTCCTGGACAATCTCGATCGGCTCGAATTGCTTCTTCTCCGCGATTTTCAAAAGTGAATGGAAGTCAACCGGCGGCGGAGGCTTCTTGAGCTTGGTCTTGCCTTTCTCCTCCTTCGAGGCATCCTTTGGCGCTGCCGGAGGAGGCATATCGGAACGTTTGTGAACAGTCTGGGGAACATCTCTGACATCTCTGGGCACCTTTTTCACTTCCGTTGCTGTGACTCTTCGCCTCACGGACGAGAATTTGTCCTCCTCCGGCTGGCTTTTGTACTTCTCCATCATCTTGCTGTAGAAGGCACTTGCTTCCGCCGACACATACCCATAATCATCCTCGTCCGGCTGATCGGGGCCCTGGAGAGTCACTGCAGTGTTGTCATTGTCCACAGCATCAGCAATCACTGCCTTGTTGGCAGATTTTATCACCTTAAGCATCTTACTGATCTTATTCTTGGACTTGGTGTCTCTCATTGCTAGCAATTCATCGCGCTTCCGCACCTTTTCGCGCTCCTTCGCGCGATCTTCTTCTTCCTTCTTCTGAAGGAACTTCTGAATGTTTGCTGAGAGCTTCTTATCGCGCGCCTCTTTCTTGGGCGGTGCGAATTTCGTGCTGTAGCACCGAGTCTGCAATGGCAATCAAAGTATGGTGCCCCCGTAGGGCGGAATCAGTGCAAAAATGCCCGGACAAAGAATGACACACTTTAATCAAATGTCACTCACCTTGTCGCTGCCTTCTTGGCTGTTTTTCTTCGCCACGTGAAGCAACGTGCCGAAATCCATGATTTCACACCGCGGACAAAAGTCTCAATCACAAATTAACGCACTGAGATAACCAGTAGTCACTAAACTTACCACCTAAGCAGGTGTTTTTCCTCTTGCATTTCACTCTGAACGTAGAACCATCTTGAACAGCTGAGTGGCACTGCGTAGTTTCATTGTTGAACGCGAGTGGCGCCACAGTTGTTTAATTTTCCGGATGAAATTTTTCACAATGTTTCATTTGAAACTTTGGAAAGTTTCATGGTAAAATGCAAGCTAAAAATAATTTTTGGCATGTTTGTAAATAGGGAAAAGAAAAAGATGATGATAATAACAATATATATCACTTTCTGATACATACACTGGAGCAAAAGAGTCTTAATTCATGTTTCATCGCAATCAAGAAATGTTTAATTCATGTTTCAATTTTTTTTATCGTGGGTCAATTCAAGAAGTTTAAATCTCCATTCCGAAACTGCATGAACAGCACTCATTTTTTGTGGAGCGAAAACAGTGTAAACGTCAAGCGAGTGAAAATTCCTTCAGTGTCCACGAAAAACTCCCTTTTTTTAGCGATATTGTGCCTAAACTCTTGAAAAATACGTTGTAAAACACATGAGCGTGTTCAGTGTGTATTTTTATGTTGTAATCTTACCGTGAAGCCTGGTAAACCGTGCCAAAATTGTGAATTTGTCAGTCCTGTGGAAACCTAACCTCACTCATTTGTGGCCACTGTGAAGGGGTGCTTTACCGAGCATTTTCGCCCCTTTCCGCGAATTTGCGAGCATTTGAAGTGCATTGCAGTGAAAGCCAAGGACTTTAAGACTCTGTTGAGCGGTGCAGCCGTGAGCGTCAGGATTTCGCACGGTGTTAAATTTGAGTGAGTTGTTTTGGGTGGAGATTAGGGTCAACAGGGTGCACCCGGAGTTGCGGTAAGTACGGAATCCCTCAAGCGCATAGGCCAATGTCGATGAGTCAGCTCAGTGAAGATGCATTTATAATTCTCCTTGTTGGCATCTACTTGTTGTCTGCCGCGTAGAAAAAAATAAAGTATGTTTGTGTTTTTATAAATAGCTTCTGACGTCGTGAATCACACGCAATTTACGACACAATCATCAGAGTTTAATTGCTAATTATTATTTTCGCCTGTGTACCCGCACAGCCTGTGTCGTACTAACAAGAAGAGTGATCTTTGTGACTTGTAAAAAGGCAGCAAAAGTGATAAGCACAGTTGGGGAAACAGTGAAGGAAAATGAGTGAAAATGTTCAGGAGAAGAAGCCAGAGGTCAGTGAGTGTGACACGGCCAGTGAGGCTTCCTACGCACCGTCGACGTCGTCTCAGAGGCCCTCGGGCATTCGGCCGCCCTCCGTGAGGATCGGGCGGCTGTGCACAACGCACTGCACCCCAAAAGCCTCCCACCCGCCGCCATCAGAGAGCAAAAGTGAGTAGCACAAGTGATTATCATTAGACACACAATACACTCGCTCAGTGCATCCTCTGACGCGCTCACTGAAGCTTCGAGCGCCCCATTTCGCTGCTCCTCAGCTGGAAAGTGAAATTTAATTGCTAACTAGCTTCAGTCTCGCTGCTGTGTGACTTAAATTTCTGCCTTCCATCATCAGAGCGGAATTTGGGGCAAAAGAAGGCCTTAAAAAGTGCTCGGAAGGCTTGGAATGTAATATGGACATTGTCCAAAACATCCCTTGGTTTCACACCTCGACTGAAATGTTACATTTTCAAACTTATTATAAGTTAGAGAATACGTTAGTAGAATGCTTGGCGATCTTCCTCTGCTGTCTGTTTATTTAGCTCTTTCCGCAATCAAATGCGCAAGTGACCTATTGCGTAACTGATTCACCTGTAATTTACTTGAGATTATCCCTGCGCTTCTCTGTGAGAATTAGCCAAAGTGTGTAATGTTGCCGCAAAATCGGGTGGGGAATCTATTCAAGAGCCAATCATCTCTCATCAGAGGGTTACTTGGAAGTCACCTCCAAGTATCATTAAGTCATATGCCATTGGCTACTCGGACACGCACGAGAGTGTTTGAGGAAAATTTGCAACTCCTTGTCGCTTTTAGACATTTGAGAGAATATCTGTTGATCATCATCACTCGCTGGAGAGTGAAACATGGTGGAACTTTTTGCCTCTGGTGTTCTTTTCAATTGCAGAGTTGTGTTGTAGTTGTGTGTAAGTGGGAAAAACGCTTGGGAGGTAAGCTTGAGTGTGCGAGAGACGGGAGAGAATTACATTTCTGCCTCATGAACTTCCAAGTCAAGCGCGAACAGTCAGTTTTCCATGAGACATCAATCCGTGAGCATCGACAGTCTCTGGGCTGAACACTTTTTTTTTGGGAGGCCTCTACAGTCTCACAGAAAGTCGACTCTGCGTGGGTACAGAGATAAAAATTCCCCATTGGAGAGACAGTGATAAAGTCATAATTCCAACCGCAAAGATACGTGAAGAAATCAAACATATTTGTTTGGTATTTCTCGGGATTAACTCACTCAAGTCTCTTAAGGTGTATCAGCGAGCCTTTTATTCAGGTAAAATTGTTAAATATTTTCCTCTCTGCATATGAATTGAATTATACTTTTGGGTGTGAAAATCTACCAAATCGTCTTTTGCGAGTGAATAGAAGTTTGTGTGTGAATTTATCTGATAGTATAGCACTTTAGAGGCTCATTAATCATTTCTGTCTAAAGAAATTCCGTGAATGAAAAAAAAATTCCATCAAACTTTTGCTGGATTCACACACAAAAAAGCACACTTCCCAAGCCACTCTATTATGGTAATTTCACGGGAATCAATTCCATCTTCACATTAATTGTCTTGTTTTTCTCTCCATTGGTTGATTTGTTGTGTATTAATTAATAAGTGTGGTTTCAGTGGATGTCCCGTGCTTGTAAAAATATAATTTTTAATTTTCTTACACACGTGACTAGAAGATGTTAATCGATAAAACGTGTTACCAAATTCACAAATTTCGTGATGAAGAGAATGAATGAAAGATTCTATTTTATTATTATCTCTTTGAATGTTCGGAAAGTGTTTGAAGATACCAGAAAAAAATATGCTGGAAAGAATTTAATGAGATTTTCGTGGGTCATAAATTGCGTAAAGCATTGCTCAAGAATCATCTGAAAACGCGTTATGCAAAGATTCCTTGGAAAATTCGTGATCGAGAGGATTGTTTAAGCATGAGTGAATGAAAAAAAAAGTGTCAGCCTCGTTAAGAAATCCAATTGAGTGATTCAAGATCGTATTTTTAATCAAATAAATCAGGCTTAAATGATCGAGAAAGATGGAATGTCAATTGTCATGTTTTTTTGCGATGTTGTGACCTTATTCGCGTGTATCATTCTTCAATTTTGGCGGTACAATTGAGAGGGAAATGTGGCTCACGTGAGTACAATGAGCATCAATAGAAAGTCCATTAAAGTCACCAACATTGCCTATTTATTTCGCATTTGTGCTTTTATCTCCCGTGTGGCTTTTGTGCTAAAACACGGAATTTGTTTTCAAAACAAATATTGTACTTTTTTGAATTGTAAAAGCACCGGGGGTGAAGACGAAAATTCACAGTTCGCGATGCGTGGAGCAAAATTATATACTTGTATTTCGGAAAAAATTAGACAGTATTGACCAAGAAAGCCTCTCATTTGAGATCGAATTAAAAAAAATGCCAGTCAGAGTTGAGAGGAAAAGCGTAGAAATATGTGTAATTTTAATTGAAAGAGAAAATAGGGAGGGAAATTCAGTGTTATGTTTTGTGAATATGTAATTTAGTTTTTGGTCATTTTAAAATATACAATTTCTGTCAGGAAAATATGGAATGGATAATATAACTTTTCCTTCCCTACAGAACTGCTTTTGACCAATAAACACGTAAATATTAAACGGAAAAATGAGACTTCCACTCTTGTAAACCTTTTTTAGAATCTGCATAAATCTAAATTGAAATCTTGCAGTAAGGAAAAATACTTTTTGTCAAGACGCTGATACCTTTCAAAATCTCATAAATATACTCTCTATGAAATCTCTGCAATTAAAGAAGTGATATTATTCGCTTTCATTTGTTGTGTAACTATATGTATTGTTGTAAACCTAAAAATGAAGGTAAAACTTTTACACACCATATGAATTTATCATTTCAGACCTATTTTCTTGACCATGACTGTAACTGTGTGAATTTCAAATGTCATAATTTCCTATATCATCTTTCCGCAGAGGAGAAAATACTCCAGACTGTGATAGATGATTTAGTCATGGTGGTTTTTTACACTTCCACTTCATTGAAGCATTTGTGTGGGATGGCTTTTGCGTCTTGAGAAAAATCATCGGCCAAATCTTGATTTATGTATTGCTGTGATGGATGATATTCAAGTGTACCGTCTTAGGAACACCTTCTTCACCTCAATTTCATTTAATGCCCATTGTTTAGTCGGCACTTGTTGCAAATATTGTGTGTCGGGCAAAATACGGCGCCTTACATTCATTGAATATTTCACTCTCGATCGCTTTCAATTTCAATCTGTGTCTGATTGAAATTGATCCGCATGACAATAGTGGAGTGGGTCGCTAATTTTTTTGTCATCTTGCCGCAGAAATCCATCACTTTTGGCACAGATCTGATCTTCAATCTCTTGCAATGGATCCTCATTGAATTTGGGACAAACTTTTTGTGCGCGTGCGACGTTGTTTTGATCTTCTAACGCCCTCGCGGTGCAATTTGGTGCCATATTGGGCAAATCAATGAAGTAAGATACACGAAATTAATTTACTCCTAAAACACCCGGAACTCGCCACTTTTGCACGTGACTGTTTGTTTCTCCTTCCTCTCTGGAAAAATTTGCTATTCTGTATACATTCAACGGAATGACCTCATTTTCCACTCATTCCCAACATAATTGCCTTCGTTTTCTGGACAGCGCGGAGCGCGAGAAAAAAGAATTAGTTATCTGGCATGTTTGAAAGCGCGACAGAACTCAAAGTCATTTAACAATGGCAAAACATTTTCTAATAGTGTCATCATCGCGACTGGTGGGATGACAAGAGATACGAGTGTTAGATTTGCATAATTGACCAAAGGCGATTTTTTCGGCAATATTTCAATATTTATTTTCAACCAAATAGAGAGTAAATGATTGTCTGTGAAGATCTGTCAGAGTCACATTGAGTTATCTCTGTTCCAAAAAGACAGATCTGTCGATGTCAGGAAGTTCTACATTCATATATCTCGCAGAATGAGTCACTATCATTTTTTGTGGGTGACAAGAGTCACAATAAATTTTATACTATATTTTTTCTCATTTCCGTGTCATCCAAAAATGCGAAATCTGCAAAAATGAGCAATAAAACAAGAAACATGGCTTTTGCATTTAATTGTGTGACGGACAGTGTTGAATAATTTTCACGTGGACGATCTTGAGAGGAAGATTTCAATAGCAAAAGTTTCCCATGAACTCGTGGTTGAAAAAATAAAAACAGCACATAGTGATGGCAAAATAAGTGAATGGCACACACGTTTTGTATACAATTGTGTGCAGAATGATGTGCAAAATAAGTCGTTAATTGGAAATTAAAAGAAGTGACAAATGAATATGTGTCATTGTGATGTAAAATTGAATTTATGAATTGACATTATGAATTGTACCGGAAGGGAAACAAAAATTATAATGCATTTCAAATTGAAACAGTTGCAGAGGAGAGAGATAGAGAGAGAAAGGGGTCAATGGATTTGCTAATGTGTTATTTCACTTATTTTCTTCATAACCCTTGATGGAAATTTCACCTTAATCTCTCAGTTTGCGAGATATTTTGCATTTTATCTGGCATGCGGTGAAAGACATTGAGATCATTTCTATATTAAGTTGTTAATCTTTATGGGGAATTTTACTTAAATATGCCTATCTGAAATGGTGATTTTGCACTTCTCCTGTGCTTCGATTTAATGTGGATTTTATATTGTATCGAACCTCAAATTGGAGAGGGAATATATTATTCATGCTTTCTGTCATTACTGGTGAAGTATTTATTGAGAAAAATGGCTTAAGACACTCGATGACGAAAGATTTATAATAATAAGTTTCGAATCAACCTTGACTAATCTCAAGGAGATGTTAGAATTAAGTTGAACATTGTTGGGGAAAAATTTTTACGTCAAGTCATAATAACAACTTAAACGGACAAAAGTCGCAAGGGAGATGATAAATTTGCTAATTTATTGTGAAATTTATTGAAACGGTAAATGCAATAAAATGTCGCGCTGAAAATTTGTCACGAAGAATTTTTTTTTCTTTTGGTGGCAAATGTTGGGAGAGACAAATAAGAATTTTACATTCAGTCTTTGTGGCCTGTAGAAGTGAAACGAGTGGGTGTTTTGAGAAATTTACCAAGTTGGTGTGAAAAATGTTTAATGCAAAAGAAGAAATTTGCCCACTTTATGACGATTATTTATTTGCACGACTTTTTTGTGCTTCTCCATCTTCCAATTAACACCTGGCTTGGAATTTGTAGAGTTTTCCAATCACCAAGAGAACTGACAAAGCGATAGAAAGAGAGAGAGAGAGAAATCATTTTTCGACAAATGTTGTGGGCTTTTCTACTCGGTCACTTTTGTGATATATCTTTGGTGGTAGAAAAAATAACAATATTTCTTTTTGTGCGATTTTTGGCAAAAATTGCGGGTGTGTCGCGACTGTTTTTTGAAGGATATCAAGCCACATCAAGTTCAATCTCACGGATGATCAATAGCATTTTGTGTTTTGTTGCTACGTAGCGGAAACACGGGGGATATTCAATTACATTTCCACTTATAGAAACAGTCAATTATACCGAAAGAGAGATTAAATCATATGTGATGCAATTTACGTCTTTTGTCGCCGATCTCAGATATACACAGTTTGTCTCATTGCTAACTCGCTTTCCACAAAGGGAAAATCTACAGAGCCTCCGCCTACTTGAAAGTTCTGCCCTCTTATGTTATCTGTTCAGTCTTATCGTGCTTGGACTGACTTTTTGTCGATTTTAGACGCAATAATGATGGAAAAAAACTGCAATTATAGTGAATAAGACAACTTTTGACATAATTCTATTTATTGCGTTCTAAATGGAGCACACAGTGCATACATAATTGCAGGGGACAAATGTGGAGAGATGAGGAAAAAAGAGTTGGTAGATTTCACACCCATCATTAATTCAATTACGGAGGCAATTAACAAGGCATGAAGTTGCGTATTTCTATTTTTTTTGTATGCTGTTGTGTGCTGAAAAAATGCTCTATGTTGTTTTCTTTTTTATCGTCGCCGGATTTAATTTGTCGCCCAGACAACGAAGACATTAACAGCGATTAAAAATGCGAAGACACAGTGATGATTTTTCGCGATCACACTTGGCAGGTAATTGATGTCTGTTATTAAGCTCAAATCACTGTCTCTTAAGTGAGGATCACATACACACACTGAGAGGAAAAAAAACTGTCCAAAGATCTTTCTAGTCTCTACTCTTTTGTACGTTATCTCTTCTCACCTACATTTTATGCGTATGCCCAATATGTTTTTGTTTACAAATCACCACACTCATTCTCAACACTATATACTTTTTTTCGCTGAAGTGGAGGCACAAAAAGAAAGATCGAATTGATTGCAAAAGACACACGAGAACACATGGTTAGTTGTTGCTGTCTTTTTTATGTTGTTATTAGTTGTGTTGTTTCTATGGAATCTCTTAGACGTGGATGAGGAAAGCGAAGCTGATCTGGTGATGGAAAAAATGTCAAGGTCCTCAAAGTCCAGATCACCAGATATCTGGAAATCATCTCGATATGAGAGAAAATCAGCAAGTGCGTATTCTCTGGCCTCCTGGACAAACGCATTTCTTCCAGCATTCACATTCTCTGATTAGGCTTCTAAGACTCTTTCGAAAATTTGGTAGTGTTTTGTGATCATTTCGTCTAACAAAAAAAAAGTATCAATTGGACTTTTTCTTCGCTATCTCATTGTAATATCATTTGTGTTTATCCGCAAAGCACTTTCTTGTCCATCCATTTTCCCACCGATTTTCCATCCTGTGAGAAACGAGAGACTTCAGCCAAACATTGCAGATGATCTTCGTGGTGATCTTCGCTAATGCCGCCTCGAGTGCATTGCGATGGTGATGCAATTGAGCATAAATCGTGCATAACGTATGTCTGAATAACTGATTCAATTTCATTAACTGTTCTCGATGGTGAATTTCTTTGCGAGTCACGGTTAAATAAATCAAAAGAGAGACGTTACCTCATGATCTTCCACTGATGCTCTTGCTGACCCCTTTTCATCCGGGATGAATTCAATTTTCACGCACGGCGATGGTGGAAATGAGAAAACGAGCTCGCAAGAATGAAATATTGAGCAAGATCACGGCATGAATAATTGCAATATGAAGTCTTCTCTCAAATCCTATCAATCTTTATCACATTATCCTCCCCTCAATGTGCACATATCCTGTATTTTTTTGTATTTTTACATGTTTTTTGTGTGAAGATGGATCACTGAGCTCTGATCTGTACTGGGAAGCTACAGGTCGTCGCCGAAGTTCAGGTAAAGGCAAACAGACAAAATACGTTGTGACCAATTAAACTGCGCTTGTGGGTGCTTTGGTACGTTGCCTTCCCTCGGCAATACTGTCTTGCTTCAATATTTGCTTTTGGACTGACGATGTGTAACCATCTTATGAGTGAGACAATTAAGCCAGTGTGATATTTGTATGAAGAATTTATTGCCTGCTCAACAAATGTGTGTCTGCTGCGTGTAATGCTGATGGTGTGTTTCTGAATCGCAATAATGCCCTTTTATGAATGACCGCGAGGCGACTAAATCCCATCATACACAATATGTCACCCATAGGAATTTAACCACGCCGACCAACTCGTCTCATGTGCAATAAAATGACGATGAAAATAGCGCCTAAGAAATATTAAAAGCTTCCATACCATGAGATCAACTTAACACGACATCTTGTGGGCGAGTCCTCATTTCAAATTACACTCACACATTCGTGCCAATTTAACACTATAAATATTGACAAATAATCTCTTGAAAAACACGAATATACTGGAAAATTGCCTAGAGTGGGACAAAGAGGTATTAATTTTTCTGTTAACTTCTCTTTCAAAATCACTTTGCAGATCAGGGAATTGTTCTGACCACCGACACTGACAGTTTCATTATTGGACAACGTGTTTGGGTGGGTGGAGTGCGCCCAGGACACATTGCCTATATTGGCGAGACACACTTCGCGCCTGGAGATTGGGCTGGAGTGGTTCTCGATGAGCCTAGTGGTGAGTATTTTATCTTTCGAAAGAATCGAGGAAGAGGTTTTTCAAAGTCAAGTCTGCAAATAGCATTAAGTCTTTTACATAAAAGGTTATAAGAGTGCGGATTGCCTGAAGGTTTCACCATTTTCAAGGGTGCTATTCAGGTGGAAAATGATGATTTATGAGAATTCTCGTAGGAAAAATGTTGAATTTTAGCCAAATTTATTGCTATTAAGTAAAATTTATTAGTATGAAAAAGAAACAAGACGAAAAGAACTAATAATCTCAGGATCAATTGCTAAAACTGAAAAAGAATCTTGGATGTTTAAGTGAATTCAATGAACTAAATTTCATCGTAATGCGTCATTATTCATTACAAATTGAATGCCTCACTTATCTTTTCTATCCTCTGCCTCCCAGAGATCTAATCTAATATTTTCATATTATTATAAGGCGTGATATATTTGATTTGGAGTGACTTTATATTTGACAGTGCAAATGAGACTCATCCAGTTCCAATTTTCTTTAAAAAGATTAGCCTCGATAATTTTTCGTAACAACTTTCTCCGATTGCAATACCATGAATTTTTTACACGATCTTCCTCGATCTCTTCACCCTGATTCCCACCCTCTGCGGGTGTCTGATTGATGAGATGTGGTAATTAATGTTCACTTTCTTGGCGCAACCAAAAACAGGCAAGAATGATGGATGTGTGTCAGGAAAGCGCTACTTCCAGTGCGAAGCAAAGCGTGGCATCTTTTCACGCCTCACTCGCCTCACACGTGAGCCTTTGCTCACGGCGGACTCCACGGATGATCTGTACAGAAGTCCGTCGCGCACTCCGGCATCACCCGTGAGGACAATTTCGCCGCCGTCGAGCGTGCGGAACAGCGTGACCCCATCGCGATCGGGCACAAAGAGCGGTATGCAGATTGGTGACCGCGTGATCGTGTCGTCGGGCTTCGGCAGTCGTCCGGGTGTGCTCAAGTACATCGGAGAGACTCAGTTCGCGCCTGGTAATTGGTGCGGCGTGCAGCTGGATGATCCCACGGGAAAGAACAATGGAGCTGTTGATGGGATCAGGTGAGATGATATGACGGTTCTGTTGCTTTGTGCTGAATTGATAATGACTTGCATTTGTAGATACTTTGAGTGTCCGGATAAATACGGGATCTTTGTCCCGCTGGCCAAGGTGACATTGTCGCCATCGGCCAAGAAAACCTTCGTGCGTCTTCCGCGGTCAAACTCAAAGGAATCCCTTACATCCATTGGCACTTTGGGTAGCATGGCATCGACGAACACATCACGATTGCGAATGGGAGCAAATGCTCAGGTATCAATCTGGAGTTACACATGAACATCCTAGAACTCTTCCTGCACGCAATTTCCCCGATCTTTCTTTTTTTAATTTTGTTTTCTTGTGACCATGATCATGAGTGATCGTTTTTGTCTAAGCAAAAATATTACAGAAAATATCGACGAAGGAAAAAATCATACTGAATTATATGAATTAATTTAATTTTTAGAGGCTTTCATCATCCACGAAGCCAATAACCACGCCAAAAAATACCTTTTCCCTGCAGGTACGATAATTTTCTTCACAATTTATTATACCTATACACTTCGTTTACAAATTAACAGTAGTTTTTAGTGCACACTCATCACGATACTCTCTGTAATGGCATATATACATATATATTTTTTCTCTCTCTTTAATAAGAACAAGTAAAATGAATAAGAACTGGAAAACACGGAGCATTTAAAACACTTCTTTGCGAACCTGTCCTACTGTCTTCCTCCTCTCCTGTCCCTCACACATTATATTTTCTCTTCTTTCACATTATGCCAGTGATCGATTGTGGGACTTTGTCACTCTCTTTATACATTATTTCTCCCATTTATGGCATGGATATCAGGTCAAGGAATTGCACGAGATGCGATGAATGCGAGTGATGCTGAAATTCACATTTGTGGCAATGATTGATTCTTTCTCCTTTTGTTGCATTCTGTAATCTCAACTGTACAATTGGACTGTATTGAAGAACATTGTAGTATTTTACTCTCATTATGTGGCATGTTTGAGAACAGAGGGTGAATAAGTCAAACGTTTGAGGAAAATATCGGAAATCTCAAAATCTTTTCCATAAAAACAAAACGATCTTGTTTTTTTTTTTCAAGAAAAAAATTGTGTATTTATATTTTATTTAGGAAAATTAACGATTATTTTGTGAATCTAGAGGAAAATCTTAAAAGTTTTACGATCTTTGCATAGATTTCTGAAAAGTTGACTTATTGGCCCCTTGTTTGAATGTTTTAGAGATGCATGATGGCAAAAACATACAGGTGAGATCATGGCATGGAAAATTACGAGGTGCGCTTCTTGAGAATTCTGCGTAGGTTTCATATTTTTCCCGCCAAACCGATTAAACGTCTTCTGATTGCTCAAAATCTCTTCTGCACAGAAGCACCAAAAAGCAGAGACTCACAGAAGTTCACATTCATTGAAGTTTTGAAGGAATTTTCCAGTTGAACACTTAATTGCACGCGCGACAAAAGCGTGGGCTCTTTCCTCTCTTTCGCAACATTTTTGATGACCATCTGAGTGTCTGTGAGCTTCAGTGAGGTTTACACATGGTAAATACGCACGAAAGAGTGTATAAAGTGTCGAAAATTGGAGATAAATCTGCCTCTCATTGATGATTATTTGTGGGATTTTCTCAGACAATATTGCAATGAGAGAGAGAGAAAATCACCTGTAATGTGACAGCAAATGAGGCACTTCATTCATTCTTCGCTTATTGGTGATTGAAAGCAATTTATTTGTGCGCTGTTGATGAATAAATTATAGTTTATGCGACGCTTTGTCTTAAGAAGCAACCTCACTGACATCTATTGGATTTGATGGTTCATTTTTCAACCTTACACGCAGATTTTAACCATGGATCTTTGGAAAAAATGCAGATTTTGATCTGCTATAAAATTTAAATACAAAATCAACACTGATCACTCAATTGACGTTGCATTGCTAATCTTTTATCTAATCTCAATCAAACAGGATGTTTTGCGTGAAAAGCAGAATCATATTGAGCAATTGTTGGCTGAGAAAGACCTCGACAGACAAGATGCTGATCTTCAGTCAGTGATGTACCAGAAGGATATCAATGAGGTTAGTATAAAGTATCGCTGCTTTTCATTCTCTTGAATTTTTTTCACAGAAAGCTAGAAGAATTGCCATCGATTAATCCGCCTTTTTAATGAGAACAGAAAGAGAAAGACATGGGCCGCTGGGTGGAGTTGATTCGACGGCGATCGATGAGGATTGCTGATCTCAGGAGGGAGTTTCAAGGATGGCAGGGCGCCCATGAAAGGCACTGCATCCTCCACGATGTCCTCTTGTAGTGTGACAGTCGTCAGAAAGAGACGAGAAATGCAGATCGATCGGTCTCTTCATAGCATTTTACCCTGAGATCGATGCATATTGCATCGATTCATAAGACCGAAAAATGCTATTCAAGAGGCACATCTTCCTCACGTGCGTGCGCACTCCTCTTGACAAAAACAAAACGACATTAAAGCAGAGGAGGAGTTTTACTGAAGCACATTCGATGCATTTTTATACTTCTTTCCACATCTTTTTTGTTACTATTTTCCACTGTAATTCTAACCAATGATGAAAATGACGATAAAAAATAACAACTATTGTACTTTGCTTAATAAACAATCCACAAATGTTACTTCTTTTGACTGAGGCGTTAAGAGACAGAGGCGAAATGCGTGTAAACATAATAAAAATAACGATGGCTTTCTCTATTTGTCGCTCTCCACCATTGTTTGAAGGTCCCGCATAAGAGATTCACGTAAAACTGCAATTGGCGATTTATTGAATGCATTGGACGTGATTTGAATGCAATTTACTGCTTCAGAGGTGCACTCAGGAGGATGAACTGAACATTAAAAAAAAAGCCAACTTTAGAGAGAATTTATTTTGACATGATTCATGAAAACAGCTCGAGAAGGTAAAATAAGTATTTGTTCAGCCGAGCAATAAAATATTTGCACATGTGTAATTTTAATGATCCACTCGCGGAGTTTCTAAATATTATTTTACCATAAAAATATCATTACAGCTCTTCTGTGTGGCAATTCAGCGTATCGTCACACTGACAATGCAATTCGACATTTTCAATAGCTATCATTTTGAAAATTACGGCTTTTAAAATGTCTAGAATGAATAAATAGCACAAATCACAGAAATTAGATCAATACTTCTTTTAAAAAAAAAAGCTCTTAGGCTGAAGATATGGAAATTATAAGAACTGCTGAATCTGCAGAATTCTAATAAATTTTCCTGATATTGATGATGATCACAACAAATATTCAAATTCTAATTTGTTATTTTTATCGCTTTTATTATGATCCAACGATTCCTGACATTATTAGCATAGCTGTGAGAAGTTTTATTAGACTTTGAAGCCAAGTTTTGAAGCCCTTTATCTGATTTCATTGAGAGTAATATAAATAAATGTAAACTTTTGAGTATTATAAAGGCGTACCCAGAATCATAAAAAATGTCGTCTTGATTAGCCAGAAATACCTAATAATGTAACAAATTTAGACGGTAATTTCTACGTTCATGTATGAAATCAATTTGATGAAATAAATGTTAAATCTGTAAAAAATTTTGCAAATTATTGTTTTAAATACGAACTTTACAAACTATTCATACGTAAATTCCTTAATAATCTTTGTAAATATATCTTTATGATGTAATATGAAGTAGTTAGCGAGACTTTTGTTAATTAAGATATATATAAAAGAAAATACATCCGGAATTACAGAAAAAAGCAGAAGACTAGTAAAACAATAGAATTTATTTTGAAATCCCCTGATTGCGCCTCTGAATTTCTCTGCAAAATCGCCAATTGATGCGTTTTTGAGGCTCACTCTGCCGTATATGGCAAATGAATGCATTTTGCGAGTATCTGTCTGCGATGCTGAGCCTCATTTCCACACAGCACAGCTCGTCAAGGATGCCACCAAAAACATTTTGCGTTTATTTATAGCCACAAGAGGTGACCCTTTCGTTTTTGCATCAGCAAAAGGCGCGCGGAGAGCCATTAGAAATTCTAATTTCTCACACGCATTTTCCTCTGTCTTTTGAGTCTCGCATTGATTGAACAAGGAAGTAACAGTCTTGTCCATGTCCGATTCCAGCTGAAGCAGAAAATTGTGGAATTGGAGGGTCGCCTGAAGGATGAACAGCGCCGCAATGAGGATTTGCAGTTTAGTGTGGACGAGGCGCAGTTTTGCGGTGACGAACTTTCGGTTAGTATTTTTCCCGGAGATTTGAAGAAATTGGTCTTAAATTTCACGAAACATTGCAGGTTAAAAGAATAAAATTGCTGGAAGTGAGTAAGAGAGGATGTTGTTTCGTGTGTTTTAACGCTTTTGAATGCATTTCGCGTCGTTTGCTTGCCTCCTTATAAAAATTATTTTGGTGAAAAATCCATTTGTCAATTTCAGGCGCAGAGTCAGGAATACAAGGAGAGAATTACGACACTGGAGGAGGAATTGGCACAATCGAAGACATCATTAATAACCACGGAAGCAGAAGGCGAGTCGATTAAAGTGAAAGGTGAGTTTTTCTGCGAAATTTTTCATCAATCGTACCACAAAGAAAATCTTTCTTTTTTTCCAATTTTCCCCTCAGAATTAACCGAAAAGGTTGAGGAGCTCAAGAAAACTCTCTCATTACGTGAGGAGGAGCTAAAGAATGTCAGGGAAGAGGAAAAGGATCGCTCGAACAAGATCCTGGAACTGCAGAAACAGCTCATCGAGGCCGAAAGTAACATGGATATTAAGGTTTCGAGTCTTAGTGTGTCGGAAAACTGCCTCAAAGAGGAAATCAAGATGCTATCATCTCAAAATGATGAACTCTGCAGAGACATAGAGACACAAAAGGCATCAATGGAGGCTCTCGAAGTTGCTCAAAAGGTGCTTTTGCAGGAAAAAGAGTCCCTGAAGGCTGAAAATGCCAAGACTTCTGCAATGATGGGGAAGATTGTGAGTGATGGTGAAGTTTCTAGTCAGAAACATGCCCAAGAAATCCGGGAATTGGAAGAGAAGATTCAAAAGAGTGAAGAACGGATGCAGATAAAGAAGACAGCTGAGGAGGATTTGATGAAAGAAAACCAGAAGCATGTCAATAAGATTGCGGATTTGGAGAAGGAACTTTCATTGGTGTCTTCATCGAAAGACGGAACTGTTGCTGAATCTCTGGCCAAAGGAGAGAAAATCAAGGAATTTGAAAAACTCGTGGAATCTCTCAATGCTCAACTCTCGGAAGCCAATTCAGCGACAACTTCCTCGAGAGAAGAGGTTGACAGTGTCCAAAAGAGTCTCAGCGACCACGTAAAATGTGTAGCAGAGCTGAAGAGCGAATGCGAAGTGTTGAGGAAAAACTTGAGTGAACATGAAAGTAAATTGCAAGACACTGTGAAAAACCTCGAAGCTGAAACGATACAAAAGTGCCTTAAGATTGAGGAATGTGAGAAATTACGCGCGACTATAACATCAACTACCAACTCAAGTGCCGCGGAAATGCTGCAATCCGAAGAGAAGCATCGTGAGGAGGTGAAGAAGCTCACTGACCGTCTGAAAAGTGTGGAGGATGAGAAAGAAGCCCTAAAAGCATCCCTTCAGCATGAGACTGAGAATGGGGAGAAGCAGAAGCTACAGATTGAATCCCTCAGTAGTAATTTAATGGGAGCTGAGCAACAGAAGATCAGTTTGCAGGACCAATTCAATCAGCTGGATCTTTCTCATGGCGATCTGGTGAGGAAATTCCAGGCGTTAGAGGAGAAATGTGCTCAATTGACTACAGATAAACAATCTCTGCAGACAGAATTGACATCTGTGAGGAATTCTTCGCTGGACACAAATTCCGAAGTGGCTCGCTTAGCGCAGGAATTGGAGAGCAAGAAGGCGTCGTTGGAATCACTGTCAGAATCCTCAACAGCCACAAAACTCACACTGGAAAAGCGAATTCAGGAACTCAGTCAACTTGTAGAGAAGTTCCAGGGTGAAATTGATAGTCTGGCGACTCAGAAGATTCACAGGGAGAATGAATTGAATGGGGAATTGGCAAAGACCAAGGAACTTCTTCAGAATGAGATGGAATTAACGAAGAAGAAGTACCAGGATGAAAAGGAGAAACTAATTCAGGAAATAAATGTGAAACTCGAAGAGGCTGAAGTGACAAGGAATAATCTCACGGCATGCATTACGCGCTTGGAAGAAAGTGTTGCCGGACTGGAGAAGGATCTGGAGAACTCGAGGAATCATCAGAAGGTCTTGGAAAATGAATTGGAGTGTGCGAAGAAGCAATTTGAGTCGTTGGAGAGGGATTTAACCGTTTCGAAGGCCCGTGTTTTGGATTTGGAAATGGCAAAGAATTGCAGTGATTCATCCCAGGAAGATTTGCTGAACAGGATGAAGGAAAAGGACATCGCTCTGGCCGAGGTCAGGGATGAAAGAGATACGCTGAAAGTGGAAGTCGGAGCCTTAAGGGAGAACTTTGAGCAGCAAATCAAGGAGATTGTAGATGTGAAGGGTAGTCTGGAGGAGATCACGAAGTGCAGGGATGCTGAGAAGACACGAGCTGATGAGTTGGGAGAGAAGCTGAGAGATATGGAGGATGAACAGGTGGATTTGGTGGATAGAAGTGAACAAATGACGGTTAAAATCACAGATTTGGAAACTCTGAACGCGTCTCTGGAGGCATCGCTTGGCCAGTTGTCACTTGAAGCGGATTCCAAGGCCAAATCCAGTGCCACTGAGAGTGAGAGTCAGAAGGCAGAAATTGTAAAGCTGACGGAAGAACGGGATGCAGCAAGAAAAGAGGTGGCAGAGACCGTTAATCTCACTGAGGAGCTGAAAAGTCAGTTGAAAGTGAAGGAAGCGTCATTAGTTGATTTTCAGGCGAAAGTGGCGCAAGTCGTCACGGAATCAGAGAGTTTCCAGAACAGTCTCAGAGAAGATTTGTCCAGGAAAGTGGATGCTTGTCAGGAGCTGGAAAAGAAGTGCACAAATCTGGAGCAATCTGTGAAATCTGCAGAGGAAGAAAAGGCAAAGGCGGAAAAGGTGATTCAATCTCTGGAGGAAAAAGTGGCGAATCTCAGGAAATCGTCAGATGAGGTGGATTCCTCAAGAGCTGCCCAGGATGTTGAGATGTCAGAATTGCTGCAGAAGCTCAAAGAACTGACAGAGAAGCTCTGTAGGCGTGATGATAAGATTGTGCAGTTTGAGCGACAGGAAAGTCACCTCAAGGGTGAAGTCGCCGCTCTTCATGCCATGCTTCAAGAGCGAGAAGTGCAGCTAAAAGTGGTGAAGAATCAACTGGAAGCGGCCAGAAGCAATCCAGTCGCTCCGGCAGTGAACACTGTTGATGATTCGGACGCGGGGGCGCAAATAAGTTTCCTCAACTCCATCATTGCAGACATGCAGAAGAAAAATACCGAACTGGTGGCCAGAGTGCAGATTCTGGAGGCGGCACCCGGAGATTTCAGCCAGAATGGCCTGAATCTCGAGATGCCAGTGCGTCGTAAGCCTGCACCACGTCTCTTCTGTGACATTTGTGATATCTTCGATGCCCATGATACGGAGGATTGCCCACTACAGGCCTCGGACAGCCCTGTCCCGCCAGATTTAGTGGTCCGGCAACCCGGTGAGGAGCGTGTCTTGCCACCACCCAGGAAATACTGCGAATCTTGCGAAGGTAAGAAACTCACTTGAAAGCCACATTCTTTCTCTAACTCTTTTTCGCTCTCTTGTAGTGTTCGGCCACGAGATTGGCGAGTGTGACAACGATGAATCGTTTTGAAGACCTCTTCTAGTTAGCTCAAATATTTGTTTTGTTGAGAATTCTGTGTTCCGTTTGTGAGATATTAAATTTATAGTCAAATTTCATACATTCTAATCGCCTCCGTCTTTTTTATCCTTGATAGCATCCTAGAAAACCAAGAGGGAATCATTAGACATCTCCAGGAGTAGCTTTTAGAGCCACGTGATACCTTGAATCTTTCCTCAAAGAGCGACAACTCAGACATCAAGTCTGTGATGGCATTCGTGAATGCTTCGTGCGGTGAATACTCTGCCGTTGTCTGGATCCGGATGACGAATTTATGCTCCAGGGGATGCGGAACCTTGTACCCGGCAAACAGGACATTGGGATCCTTCAGCAGTTGGCTAGAAAACTCAATTTGTGTCATTGCTTTCCGGATAGAGGGATTTGAGGTTAGGTTTCCACACTCACTTCCTGATCATGTTCCCGAGCGTGTGATCTTCTTTGTTGACAGTGAATATCGCCGCATTGGTGACCTTTGTGTCTAACTCCTTGATGATCCTGTCAGAGAAAGAAAAGTTAATGAGTAAATAAGCAGCAATGCAACGCCAAGAATCAAAACAAACACAACGCACTTTTTCTCCCCTTCGTATAGAAGGAATGACTCAAAAGTCGGTGGTGCATTCATATCTGAGCACTATCAGTCACTTTTAGTGCTTTTTTCGCGAGCTTGTTCCTGCTTCTTTCTTTAATTTCGTGCAAACGATGAGAAAACAATATTGACTGCCGCCGACAAACTGTTATACTACAAGGGGCGTTTAACTGGTGGAAAAAATGGAACCACTCGAACTGTAATACAGTTAAAAGGAACAGAATAATATAACTGATTCTTCACATTACGAATATGATACATTTCTTTGCAATTCTGAACATACAAGAAACAATTCACTTAAGTTTAAATAAAACATTCTTAGAGCCTGATGGTTTTTTCTGAACCTTCTGAGCAAATATGTCAATATATTTTTTTTGTTATATCAACATTTTCACCGCAATTACAATAATTTGGAACCGCAGTGTAACGTTGAATTCTGGAATTGAATGTGATTCCATTTATGGAATAATAAACAATCAACAAGAAGTTCTGAAACTTTAATGAAACGAGAATGAAACACTCTTTGTTATACTGTCATTCGTCATCGATTGCTCGTTGATAGGTTTTCCAGTTTGTCTTGTGCCGTTTGAAGAATCACATTGTGTGCAAAATATAGTGATTTTCCCTGGAAAAGCCTGTATTTTCCATAAAAATTCCACTTCCAATCGCTTCATTTGGCCAATTTCCAGTCTTTAAGTGTGTGAAACACCCGCCACAGTTGGTAAAAAGTCCGAAGTTCGGGGAGAATAGCTTGTGTTTTTTGTGCGATAGAGACTCGCCCAAAGCGCATCATACCGAACTGGGAGTACTTGAGTGAGCGAGACAGAGAGAGGGTGACGAGTTTCTTGGTGAAAAAATACTAGTTTTTCGACTGAACATTGAGTGCTTCTGGTGGTCATCGTGTCGCTGGAGAGTCTGAGTGTGTGCTGGAAGTGCGCATTTGGCGAGGAAGTGCGGGAAATCGGCAGGAAACGGAGACTAAAAGTGAGTTTGGCGTGTGAGCGTCCTTTGAATGGTTTCACACAATGGATGGCCTCAAGAGGTATTTTTTCCACTTGTGATTATAGGCAATTCCTCCGTCCTTCTCCTGCAGGATCGGCCAGACCGGGTGAGTGTTGAGGGTGAGCGTGGTCCCATGTCGTCACGTGAGCACACCCAGCGAGTGTGAAGGCGACCAACACAGTTTTTGCGTCAAGGTGATTCCTCGCGCTGGAGGACTTCCTGGAGAAAAGTCGTCACTACACAGACGCAGTGGATCATCAGGGGCGTGTGTCATCACACAACAACTGTTGATTTGACGAGGAACTTCGAGGAGGATTGCGTCAGTCGTGTGTTGCTTGTGCTCGTGCAAGAGTCGCACTCTCGCAGCGTGAGAAGCTGACTCCCGGATTCGGGCGGGTGTGCTGAAAAGGAGCTCCTGTGGCGGCTGAGGATATCCGTGAGTGGGATTGTGTGTGTGGCGAACGGATAAAAGATGGCAGAAGCCGGCAACAACAATACATCGACTGCATCCCAGAATCCCAATGCTGAGGTCATCCGTGGGCAGACCTTCGAAGTGGGGCCGCGATACACGGATCTCTCTTACATCGGCGAAGGCGCCTACGGAATGGTTGTGTAAGTATTCTGTTCTCTTATCATTGAGTCTGTCTGGGGCGATAAAAGTACTCTTTTCCGTATGAAATTGACCAATTTCTTGCCATTCACCTCAACCACCAAATCGATCCGATTGCCCCCAGAGACTCGCGCTGGGCAATTGAATATTCCGCCCCATGCTGATGATGATCAGTGTAATTAGCTAATTAATGATTCTCACCACCGCTGGGGCTCGATATTGAATGCGAGGAGGACAATTTGTGGGATGAATGTCTCATCTTTGTGGCACTTTAATTGCGCCTGACGGTAGAATGGGAGAGGGAAGCGCGAAGGGATAGAATTGCAAGTGAGGCCTTCGACTTTTTATGTCGCGTGTCCCCCTGCAACCCCACACAAATGGTGTCATGTTCGCCCCGTAATTCCCGTGCCAGCGCGCGGCGGTTGGATATAATGCTGGGATGAAGGAAGAGAGCGTTGATGGGCGTTAGGCTTCCAAGTCGTTTCTCGCTGTGAAAACAAATCCACAAGGTCATGTACCCAAAACCACCACCTTTTCCATCCATTTCTCCTCTCTCGCTCGTGCCTTCGGGGCGCAGCGAGGCGCGGAAGGGCGAGTGTCTGCGCAGTTACATCGCATGCGGGAGCGGAGGGACGTGTGTGCGCTCCAGGAACAACATGGCAAGGTTGACGTAGTCACAATTATAACGAGAGGAGAACGGATTAAGGGTGACGTTCGCCCCTGACGAAGGATTTATCTCTACAATCCTATATGGCAGAAATGTGGAAAAGAGGACTTGCCGGGTTCTGTAATTGTATTTGCACTCTTAAGCTAGAGAGGTTAAATTGATTCACCAACAATGTGATTTTGGATTTTTCCCTCCTTTTCGGCTCTGATATACTTCAGTGGTGTCACATTTATTGGCTCTATTAAGAGAGTTGATTTAGAAAAATCTAAATCTTGCAAAAAAAAAACGTTTAACACAGACAAACGAGAAAAACATTTTAGGAATATTGAATTATTCTTTGCGTCTGTTTTTCCACTTAAACTATGGCAATATTCCTAATAATTTGGACTTCATGGACAAAGGCACAAACTGAGTTCTCAATAAATCTGTTTCAGATATTTTAAACTTCACTGAATAAGTAAGGATTTCAGTGGCAATGAACAAAACACCCTTAAATTGTATCCATCCTTGCAATCTAGTAAAATTGGAGAGTGGTGAGGAAATGTGAGGAATTATTTGAAATTCAACACAAAGCGATGATTAATTTTATAGTACAAACCGTTAAACAGAATTAATTGCAAGTCAGGAGCGATAATTATTATCCACCCTTGTGTATGCGATTATAGGAGAGTTATTATGATATTGTTGATTATCGGTGTAGATGTGAAACCACTGAAAACTTTGATTAGGGATGGATTTATGGTCGTAAGCAGCAAAATAATGTATTTTGACAGAGAGCAAAAGAAGATTTTTCTTTTCTTTTGAATACTGAGATTGATTAGTGGGTTTGTTTTTGAAAATACCTTGAATAGAGATTTGCAGTGTGTTTTTTAGTAGTTCACTATCAAGGAAATTGTCTGAAATATTTCCAGTTCAGTTTAGATGTCAGTTCTTCGATTCCCTTCTTTACAATTCGTTTCTCCTTGACTCCAAGCAATTATCATAGAAGAGGTTGAAAATGAACGTCAAGTACATGTAGAAATACAAGAAATTGCTTAAACAAAAGAAAGAAGACGAAAGATTTATAAAAATTAATTCCAACTGAAACGTCAATAAACTGCTTTTGTTGCTTCTCATTGTATCACTATTTCGTGATAATTTATGCAATTACAATATTTGCATATTATCCTGTAACTAAGATAGACGTTAAATAGAACGAAACACTTTGGATTAATATGAACACGAGTTAGTAGGATAATTTAATGCCATGCAGAGTTTTAATTAATCCCATCTTCACAGTTAATTGTCAGCAAATGTGTCACTTAATATTTGAAATGTATGAGGAGATTTCGGGAAATTGTCAATGAGAGGAGTTATGATTTCAAGCATGATAGAATAATGCTGGGCCGACGAGTGTCTGCCATAAAATCCCGCATAAAGTGATAAAGAGCAATTTGCGATAAAGACACTGAAGTGTGTACTTTTGCCATTGAAATATGCGTGTGTTTGTGTTGTGAAAGGGCGATGGAAAATAAAATTCCTCCGTATGCGTCTCCCTTAATCCGTCCGTTTGGGATGTGAAAATACCATAATGCTTCATTTATTATTAACACGAAATAACTTTAGACTTTCCTTCCGCAAGACAGCACTGTCATATTTCACGCCGAAGGAAAGAAAGGGCGCCAAAGGGGTGAGAAAAAAAACAATCTGAAACGTGTCTTAATTTTTAAAAATTGCGGATTTTTTTTTTCTCCAAATTATACACCAAATTCTTGATATTGGATACTGTAAAGGGATTTATTTTTTACTGCTTTGTTAGCAGCAATGTGAAGGTTTTGGCTGTATTATGTAGACTCAGACTGACTGACATTTAATTGAAAATCAGGAGATAAATTTGCAATTCCTTGTGATCCCATCTTCCCTATGAAAGCAACAATATTGCGTGCTGGCATAAAGGAGTAAATTGATGAGAAAAGTCAGGGTGAGAGGGAGAGGGAGAGAGAGAAAAAAGAAACTTTGAGTGTGAATAATTGAGAAGGGTTTGGGGCGTGAAGGAGAGGATGCGAAATCCATTCCTGGGTCGAGAGGCATCATCATCCAGGGTTCCACCAAAATTGCGTATATAGATTGTGTGCACATGAGAACATCGGGTAAACGATGAAATGATTGTGGCCCGAATAACAAGGGATGAGCAGCAGAGTGTGGGATATCATGGTAATACTGAGGCCAGGAAATGAAGGGATGAAATTTTAATTGAACATAAAAATCTAATGCTTGTTTTTCCCACCACCTCAAATTGTGTTGTCCTGCGGTGCCTTTTCTGCGAATGGACGCCTGTGTTCATACGATGGTCAATGTTATGCTATTTTGGGGGTGATGAATGAGCGAAGAAACAATGCTGCTGGGGATTCTCTATGGTCTTTTGGGGGTGGGATTTTTTTCTTCCTCCAATGAAGGGCACAAACTCCAGTAATAACGTATCGTCTCTTCAGTCTATTCACTCTCCTCACCTCTTATCATTTGGCCTTTGAGAAATAAGTTGTAATTGTTTGTAATGGAATTCCATGTTTCATCTCTCATCAACAGATCCGCCACCGACACTGTGACAAGGACAAAAGTGGCCATCAAGAAGATATCGCCGTTTGAGCATCAAACCTATTGTCAGAGGACACTGCGGGAGATTAAGATCCTGACACGTTTCAGACATGAAAATGTAAGTAGAAATTCCTGCTCAAATTGTACACGCTTCACTGACTGTGGATGAAGGAGAGAAAGCTTAAGAAAATTTCCCCAAACTCATTGTCAATTGTGTTGTCATTTGAAATTGAGAAGAAGCTGCGGAATCTCCTCAAGGGAGGATTAAGGCTCCAACCCCAGACACACTTGTGACTTTCGCTGTGTGACGACAGAGAGGAGAGAGGATAAGAGGCAAAAACACTAAAAAGATTTATTTCATCTCCACCCCTTTTTCGTTTCATTGCAGATAATAGACATAAGAGATATTCTACGGGTAGATAGTATAGACCAAATGAAGGATGTATATATTGTTCAGTGCTTGATGGAGACTGATCTTTATAAATTACTGAAAACACAGGTGAGAAAGAAAATTACACTGGCTACAAAATAGCACACGCGAGATGTCAGGTGATAAATTTTGGTGTAAACGGGATTTTCTTGTTCTCTCTTCCACAGAGGCTAACTAATGATCATATCTGCTACTTCCTCTACCAGATTCTCAGAGGTCTGAAATACATTCACTCAGCAAACGTACTCCACAGGGATCTTAAACCAAGTAATATACTTCTAAATACAACATGTGACCTTAAGGTGAGTTCACCCAATCTGATGTCTTTGCTGTTATTGCGTGTGAAGGTGATGAAGGTTTGATGCCAGGATTATTGTTCAGGAATAGTGAGGCGATATCATTGTTTTCATTTAACTCTGTGGTAGATTTAGGATCGGGATATTGATATCGACAAATTCTTCTGCTGAACAGCATTCAATTTTGGGTTTCACAGTTTTTTTTATAACAGGGACTAGATTGAAAAATACAAAAGCCGCTGCTGATTAAATAACTATTCTGAAATGTTAAAATGCTTTGTTCCATTTTGTTGAAAGCCTTTTGTGATATCTTTCAATCTAATGGAATTTTCAATGTCCTAGCATTGTATTTCAAACTACATCTGAATTTCCGTGCTATTTCTCGTGTGATTATTGCATAAAGTTTTGGGATAAGTAAATTGATATGATAGTTAATTCTGCACAAAATTTCTACCTGACTGACTTACGATACCGCCCAATCCATCATCTGCGACAGACGCTTTACTCTTCACTCCTTCCGGTAGTCCTAAAAAAACAGGAGTTTATTGGCTTTAAGAGGAGAGAATAACTTAAACTTAAGAATGACTTAAGAGGTTCTAGAATAGGTAGATAAAATCTTCAGTCTAGAATTTAACCTACTCTAACAGTAATTACTTGTGAAAAAAGGTCGCTGTAGTTTGAGGGGATTAACATTAATTTTCCTCGTCAGCATTAATGGAAAACTCATTAAAATTTCACGAAGAGTTAATGTTTGATTATAATAGAGTTTTCAGAGGCATTTCCTGCGTATAAGGAAGCTTCAAGAGGCGTCCTTGTGAAGGCATACGAGCGAGATTAATTCTATTTTCCTCTCACCATGCCAACAAGGAGATGAATTTTTTTCTCATGTCTCTAAGTATCAAACCTAGCGACAAACTTAAATATTTGTACATTTGAAGATGGAGAAATAGAGTGATAGAGAGGCAAGAAGGGATGAAAAGGAAAAGTTCTGGATGGGACTTTTCCTCCTTTTGGGTCAACTGTAAATAGAGAGCGAAGGAAAGTGTATATAGTTAAATTGTTTGACTTTGAAATGAAGTTCTTCCTGTAATTGAGTTTCTAGCGAAGAAGTGGCTCTTGAGAGAGGGTGGGTTTTTCTTTTGGGTGTGAAATCGTAGCGGAATTAAGAGAGGAAACATGCTTTTTCTATTTGGCAGATTTGTGATTTTGGTCTTGCACGAGTTGCTGATCCGGAACACGATCACACTGGATTTCTCACTGAATACGTAGCAACAAGATGGTACAGGGCTCCTGAAATAATGCTCAATTCTAAGGTAATGAATGCCGTGCTCATATTTCGGCATATAAAGCATAAATGGATGCGGTGTTGTTGGGGGATTTGCGCGCCTCGAGATACATTTCTCATTTCGCTTATCTCTCCCTCAGGGTTACACACAATCAATTGATATATGGTCAGTGGGCTGTATCTTGGCGGAGATGCTGAGCAATCGGCCTATATTCCCGGGGAAGCACTATTTGGATCAGCTGAACCACATCTTGGGCGTGCTTGGCTCCCCATCAGAGGAGGACTTACAGTGCATCATAAACGAGAAGGCGCGTAATTATCTGCAGACGCTGCCGTACAAGCCAAAGGTTCCGTGGGTGAAGCTCTTCCCCAACGCTGATGTGCGTGCCCTCGATTTGCTGGACAAGATGCTCACGTTCAATCCTCACAATCGATATTCTGTGGAAGAGGCGCTCTCGCATCCGTACTTGGAGCAATATTACGAGCCAGATGATGAGGTATGGCAAGTTATTTTAGTACAAGTTAATCACATGCGGTGGAAATACGATAACAAATTTCAATGGTATCAAAATATGAATAATTCATGCCACAAATAGAGATTGAATTATTATTGTTTGCTTAATATATGATTAAGTATTGTTGAAAATCACTTTATTCGCTATTTAATTGCAAATAACGTAATTCTCTATATTTTGAATTATTATACTTAAAGGACTTGGGCAGATTTAAATTATTTTCAATTCAAAACGAATCTCAATATGAATTATATAAAATTTTGATGCATAAAACATTTGCTTCATAAATTTATATCATAGAATATTTTCTTCTTTTGAGAAATATAAAAAAAAAATGCAATGAAAATCAAATAATTAACATAATTTTTGCGATTCTCATGTCTCTCTCTGCTACTTTGCATAAGAAACAGTCATAAGCGTATACTTAAACTCAAATCTCAGTATTTGCAGAATGTTTTTTCCGCTAAATGCTGGGAAATTTAACTATTCACAACAAATTTAATTGATTTTCAAGCAGATTCAATTCAAATTGCGCTAAGATTACTGAAATGTATTTAATGGCACAATTTCTTCATCGCAATTAATGAAAATATTATTATTTATTCATAGAAATTCATTTAAAGTTCTCACATAGGATTTTCATAAATCTAAGTCGAGATGTTTTAAAATAGGGTAATATTTTAGATTGAATGAATTGAGCGGAAGTTATCGTTATAGATAGAATCGTTCAATTTATCGTATCTCTATTTTATGCTGCTGATGCTCCATCATAAGCTTCGAATCGTGAATGCTATCAATAATCTTCTTTTCATCCTTTATTCGGTCTATTAAATCTTATATTAAATATCTTAAATGAATGACGTCAGAAGCTTCTTCAGTAAAAACATCTGAATTGGAATTGAGAAAAAGGGAATGAAGATGATGAATTATGAAAGCAATGATATTCTAAATAATGAATTACTTAATATTTAAGTAACACAAGTCGAGAGATCCTTGAGACATTTTCATTCCTTTTCAGCTCGCAATTGCATATTTTTAATATTATATGGATGGCGTAAAGGGAGCACTGTGAATGGGGACAATGATTAATTTTCTTCTCTTTTTCTTTTTCTTTGTTTCTCTCGCCAGCCAATTTCCGATGAACCTTTCAGCATTGCCATGGAGCTGGATGATTTACCGAAGGAGACGCTGAAACAACTCATCTACGAAGAAACTCTCCTGTTCAAAGAGAAGAATCCCGATCCAGTAGTTACGTAAGTTTCTGGAGCACTTCGCAGCAATGAAATGAAATGGAATGATGACGGTGAGAGCGATGAGAGAGCAGTGGAGGTGAGTCAAATGAGATTTTGAGGCATTTGCGAAGGGAGGGAAGAGAGCGTTTAAGGATATTCGAGGATGGCGAAATGCTGGAAAATATTGTGCATAAGGCGCTTTTATGGATTAAGCAAGAGGGAAAGAGAGAGATAGAGAGAGAGAGAAGTGGTTGGTTAGAGCATGCAACAATGAAGGGAGAGTTTCGTGGAGACAACTGAAATCGTGAGAGTAAAGCAAAAGATTAGTCTTTTAAAATGTGAGTATATAATTGTGTATAAAACAACAAATTTTAACCCCCAAATGGAAGAATATTGATAGTAATGTTAGGAGATATTATGAAAATAAGGTGTTATTTTAGTAAGAAGACACACAAAAGGAGTTTTCTTCTGGTGTTGTGCCATGTAACAGAAAAAAAGTATAAGAAAAATTTAACATTTATTGCGATAAACTTATTGAACTTCAGCATTAAACAAGAACACATTCAATATGCATGCCATTATATCCTCTCCCCGAGTATTTACACACCATGAAATTGTAAAATGAATAATGTGAAAGGAAACTCAACGTACATAACGGATCTTTTCAATTGGAGCATTAAATGTAAATGGTGTTTTTTGCCAATTGATCATTCAATTGGCACCATTGTTATTTACTTGATATATATACAATTACAGATATTGAGCTAGAGAGAGAGACAATTTTTCAATATGACAAATATTACTTAGAGAAAAAGTGAAATGGGAGAAAAATTTCATAAAAGAGAGAAAGAGAAACTTCACACACTCAGGCTGAGTGCTTGTTATTAAAGAGAGAAGAGTTATATATATATATATAAATATATGTTTGAACTTGTGAGGCAGAATGAATAGAGAACAAAGAAATTTGTGAGGAAAGAAGTCTCTAGGAAGTTCATTGGAGAGTTATGAAAAGAAAAAAAATTGCAATTTAATTGAATATTTACATATATTTTTGCGAGTAAAAGAAACTAAAAAGAAAATTTTATTAGATGTGTTGTAAAAAAAAAATGGAAAAATTATATGGGAAGGAGAAAATGCGATACCGAGAAAAGGTTCCTTAATTATTTGTCCTTCTCATGAATTCGCTCTGTTTTCTCTCTTCGTTCCAAGTGTGCTATTGGATAATCAAAATTCACTTTAGAATGGTGAGGAGAAGAGACAGGAGAAGTAGCTACATATATTTTTAGGTCAAGAGAAAAACAAAGAAAGCAACATCCCTTCAGTCTGTCCCTTGTAAACTTTGACACTTGAGTTTTTCTTCTTTTTTTTTATTCTTTATATGTACCTGAGGCATATGTTGAAGCAATTGCGAGGGATTCGCTTGAAGAACAAACATCCTCTTTTTGTCTTGACAGAAGGCAAAAAATCAATTTTTTTCGAGAGAAGGTATTTTGGGCGGAAACATTAGAAAAAAATGATGTGGAAAATAGTTCTGGAGAAAGTATATATCGAAGAATGTTTAGAAGAAGCCCACCATATCACTTAAAATTGAGACAATTTTTACTAAAAGGAGAAAAAGAGAATTTTCAACATTTACTTTCCGAGGAGGAGTTTTCCAAAAGGAGAAGAAAAAAGATACTGCTGTGTTCAAAATATGAGAGTTAAACATTGCGTATTTGCTATGGAAACTTCTCATATGAAAATTAAGAAATTTTGAAAGTTATTCCAATTATAAACATAACGGCGAGGTTCAACTTTGTGTTTATCTCGTATCTATTCGAATTTCAGGCGCGAAGAAAAATGGCAAATTATTATAATTTATAGTTATTTAAACCACGATTTGTAAGGGTGAAAGCAGAGCTTTGTCCAAGTGAAGCGCACATCTTTGCGATATCACAAAGCAACGGTGAAAAGGAAAATATGAACAGCCGTGAGCTCAAAACAGCAACATTCACAGTGAATCTAATAACGTAAGTGTCCAACTTTTTTTTTATACTATGTCTGTGAGATGTCAGCTAAATAAAAGGAAAACCTTGATTGCAGTTTAAATCCTTCTGACATTGTGAGTCTTTTGAGCTAAATTAAGAGCTACTGATAAAACGGCCACTCTTGCAATTTGACTTGAGATTGTGATGAAAATGTTGTGACATTTTCGCACTATTTATTGATTTTTGAGTACTAATCCTGCATCTATTTATGATCAAGAGGTTTTTGGCAATGATTATTCGAAATTACCTGCTCAAATATGTATTATTCCATATCGAGTCAAGGAATTAGCAAATAATTTAATATGTTGTTGAAAAAATTCAAATTATTTCATTTTCATAAATTCAACAGTGACTTTATGAATGTTCTGAAGCAAATCTTGTCTTTGAAAGAGCTCGTACTTTTATTTATTCTTTGCGAGAGGAATTTCTTTTTCATATTGTTGCAATCTACAATAAATTGATAATAAAGTATTTATTTTCTGGAACGCAGTAGTTCAATTTCTCTCCAAGGCATCAAATCTCATTGGAAACCAATAATATTCAGAATATGATGAACAATCAATAAAACGCACAAAAAAAAATAGTTAAAAACAAAGTTGATGGAAGTGAATAAAAACGAGCGATAGAATGCAGTTTAAGTAAATGATGTGAAATGGAAACCCATTATTTTCTTCTACCGTTTTATCCATGGAAAAAACAGAGTAATTTAATTGATGTAGCTGAAACTCTTCACATTTTCAACTCACACGCGTCGCATAGAAAATTGAATTATTCATTTTGACAAAATTTATCGGAGCTGAAATTGCGGTGTAACAGGGAATTTGCTAATTTACAGCCTCAAGAAGAGCACCAAAAATACATTAGCGTTCAAATACTTGCTCTGCGTCCCTTCAATTGAAATCTCTCTGCATTATAATTAATTGCTTTCGTCCTGTGAATGCGGAGGAAAAGGGTAAGGTGTGTCAGACATTTCCATCAAGCCGTGTCCCATTGAATTTCTCTTTCGAATATTTGGCAAATAGATTTTTAGAATGATAAGAGATAAAACTCTACATTTTCGAGACTATAAATGTTCAAAGTATAACATTTTGATTGTATTTAAGATAAAAAATAGAAGAGAATATATCTTGTTGATGAGATTTAAAAAAAAACCCCAGCATTGAGATGAATATATTTTTTCTTCTTTTTCTCAAATTGAACATGATAAAAAAAAACTATCTCGATGTTGAATTCATGCATACATAGAAGTTGATTTAAAAAGTGTGGAGATAAAATCAAGACATGTCTCTAAATGTGGTTTAAAACATAAATGGCATTTGTACTTATTATTGTAATTATTTAAAGTGTAATTGATAAAAAATACCATTTGAGGTAAATTTAATGAGAGGTGAAAACAACTCAAGTATTGTGTAATTCATGATAATAATTGTATAACAAGCCCTCTCGCTCCCTTCAAATTTAATCAGCCTGTGTGTCTGTTGTATACATTAAAAAAGACGACGATGGAAAGCAAGGAGTTGCAAGAAAAAATATTGATTATTATTGAAGTGATGAGGAAACGACTCTACTTATCAGAGGAGAATTTATCATAAAAATCCGATGTGGAATTTTTCTTGTTATTCTAAAAACAACAACAACACAGAAGAAAAAAGATGATTGCAATAGCGCTAAAATGTGCTTAAGATTGAATTCCACCAACATTAAAACAAGAGAGATTGATGAGTAGAAAACATTATAGTGTCTAAGATTGGAGAAATAACGAATGGAAGTGATGAGAAGATGGATTTGAGAGAGATGATTGTTTTTATTTTAAGTCTATATTCTATCAATTATTGTACAATGTAATAAAAATACAATGTTATTTTATCATTCAGAAATAAATGAGTCGAGAAATAGCTTCGTGAATTATTCCTAGACAATCCACTAATGTCTGCAATTGACAACCATTAATTATTTGTAGAAAATGTTGGCATGGAAATTGCAGCGAAGAGCAAATTATGCCATCCTTCTTCCTATGGCATGAGCAATTCACCTTCCGGATAGCTGGGAATTGCATTACAACTTCTGAGTTCTGCATGCGAAAGGCAAGGCACACAATTAGTTCCACTCATTAAGCAAATTAAGGATTAAAGAGCATGAAAACTTGCTAAGAGGGTTTTTAGACACGTAGAATGTACGTAACAAAGGTGAGAGCAAATTAATTTTTTATAAACCTCTTTTCAGGATCTCTCGGTGTTATGTTGCATTTAAAATTTTATCAATGTGCTTCGCAATGGAGTTTCTCTTAATTTAACAGATGAAGTGAAAACTTGTCGAAGATTAAATTCTCGGGAAATGACTTCGACAACCATAGTTAAACATTTACTGAAAATCCCAAACGTTTCTGGAGAAAGTGAATTATTTCTTCAATTCAATGAACAATGAAACAATCTCAATTTTCAAAGCATTAGAAATTCCAATGTTTGTTCTTTGGTGACATTCTGTCCTTTATTATTATATATTATATTGCTTCTCCACATCGACTACAATTGTATACACATAATACAGGAACAACAAAAATTAAAGTAAAACAATAATGGTAACAATATCGCAATACATCATGTCAAAGTGAGGTGAAATATATCATTTTTCATACTTTCGGGAATAATACAGGAAATCATGGGATAGAGAAAGAGAGAAAAATCAATTTCCTTCGTCTGCTGTTAGAGCAAAACAGAATTAAATTTCACATTTCCTCTCTTCGTTCTTTCACATCATACTTTTGAGCCTTCCAACTTTCATTTTTTTTCACCAATGGGCCACGTTAGAAGCATATTTCACTCCCTCGTCAGACCATAAATTGCTCCACACTGTTCACTCACACTTCTGCTTTTTATTTAATGACAATTTGGCACCTGTGGCTCATCCTATTCCCCACGCTCGCCCTTTTTAATTCTATTTCCAGCGGAAAATACAGTCCGGAAAGTAATTGTGGAATATGAACTAAAGACATACAGGCAAGCATCAGTGGAAATGCCGCTTGAGCTGCCATAAAAATTGAAAAATTATCACACATTTGATAAATTGGTTTTGTCGACCATCATTTCACTCCTTGTCCACACTGAGGATCGACATTGTCCCCAGGAAGTACTCTACATAATAGATTTATGTCCCTATTGAAAAAGCAGAGGAGCTTCCTTTGGGCGTTTCGGGGAAAAACTTTCAAAATGAGCCAAGAAAAAAAACCGGACAAGCGATTGTGCTTGTAATGAGAAGGGAAATTAGAATTCTATGCGTTGAGAATCATTAATATGCCCTCTATATTCACCCGCGTTCTTCTTGTGTAGCGAAGCGAGGCACTCCAGTGAGAAAAAAAAGAGACTTCCACAAGTATAAGGATATAATTTATCTCCAATCTCTCCCTGAATTTCCGGCTCTTAAAGTAGAACAATGGAATTTTCATTTTCACAAGATAAAAGTCTGACTCGAAAAACCCTCATTTTAATTCAATTGATAAATGATTTTGAGGTAGAGGAAAAAGTTTAGAAAACCAGAGTGAAATTCCATCAAAGAATATTCCATCGAGATTCATGTGGAAGACATTTTGCCCAACAATTGAATTTGCCTTCAAACCAATTTTCAATTTTTCATCCTTCACGAGTGGCTTTTCCTGCACCCTTTTGCCCTCTTCCTTTCTCCTTGTACTAAATCTGCTTATGAGGTGAAAACTCTTCAGAATCACCGTAAATCTTTCACTTTCTCCTCCCTTAAATACTTTTCATCTCTCTCTCTCTCTCTCTCTCTCTCGTTTTCAAAGAAAGCATAATCGAAAAACTCACTAAATTAAGTGAATTTAGACAAGAACACTCTCATCGCTCTTCTCAAACAAAGAAGGAGTTTTGCGGCTTCCCAACAAATCCACTTCTCTTCAATAACAATAATTTTTGGGTGGGGAGGCAAGACATCGCCTATATAGCACAATAAATAAATATAAATATGGAATGGTCGGAGCGAAACTCCGCATGGAAAATATTGCTGTCAGTTGAGATGATCCTGCAGCAGTGATGATAAATCACCCGGTCGAGCAATACAGTGATTGGAAATTAATTGGGCTGCTTATCCGCACGAAGTGAATTACGTTAAAAAAAAACTCAGTAATATGGCTTCAATTCTGCCGCCAAGACGTAAATTCTCAAAATTAACAGAACAATTCAGAGGAAATAAGTCTTATAAAGATTGATTTTAGGATTAAAGGACAATTTTCTCAAAGTATAAAATGTATGCATTAACCAGCAAAAGCGAAGAACTTGTTGACAGTATTCAGTTAAATAAAATCCTTATTTATGTCTAAAAATGTTTCCAAAAAGTAATCTTAAATTCTTTCATTCCGTCAGAGGACATTTAGACTTCTTGCAGCCCATTAAATTTCCACCAACTGTTCACGTAAGTCTCGATACTGATAGATGATTAATTGTACTGAAATACGTCAAGTGGGGATCAAAGGGAGAAAATAAACTATATATAAATATATACCTTTAAAGCTTTCAAACATAATAAATTGCCCCAACTTTAACTGGTGATTAATATCTTGGACCGCCCAATTGACGTGTATCGCTTTAGAAACTTTGCTCTGGAAATGTGAACATTTCAGTTCTATGGCAAAAAATTACAAATTCACGTTCTTCCAGAGCTACACAACATTGTGATCATCACTGCTGAAGGAGACTCTTATCTAAAAGATCACTCCTCAATTGTTCGTCGCGGAAAAGTTGTTAAAGAGAACCGTGTGGATTTTACGTGACAATGGGAATGTCTCTTGATTTGCTAGGATGTCGCCTCGTCGACAGTGGAGCCCATAATCGTCCGCGTTGAGAGAGTAAATCATAACTCCTCCGAAGTCATTATCCTTCACCCACTTCGCTTTGCACTCCAGACTCACGACATCGTCGTAGGAAATCCACTCGGTTCCTGCTGTGGTGAAAGGCGAGCACGTCGCATTATCGTACTGCGTGGTGACGAAGATGTTGTTTTGTTGAAACCAGCACACTTCTGAGTATGACACAAAGCCTTGGACTCCAGTGGAGCCAAAGGCCGTCGCCGGACTGCCGATACGGTGGTTGAGAGGATTGGCCAGATGGAAGGAGTGCCCGTAAGTCGGCAGACCCACGACAATCTTGTCCTTGTCCATGCCGCGCTCCAGCCAATAGTTCACAGTGTAGTTGATGTTGAGCATCGCCAGAAGTCCCTTCTCGTTATCCCTCGCGAAGAGAGGCGCATTGATGCCCGTCATAGGCGATATCGCGCCATAGAAGTGGTAATCGTATGTCATCACGTTGATGAAATCTGCATAGCTGTTGATCTCACCAACATCATACGCCACATCGATGATGGGCCGCGGTGCCGCCACAGCCACAGTTAGCAAATATGTTCTGTGCTCTCGCTGATACTCTCGCCGAATCTCGTGCAGGAGTTGCGAAAAGTGCTGTCGTTGTCGATCAAATCCACCTGGAAACTCCCAATCCAGGTCGATTCCGTCCAATCGGAACGTTTCCAAAACACTCTTCACGCTCTGAATGAAGAGCTTCCGCCTCGCATGATCTTTCACCATCTCAGGAAATCCACTGTCCTCCATTCCGCCCGTCCACACGAGAATCTTCAGCTCCTGGTTGATCTTCTTCAACGCCGTCAGCTGCACAAACACTTTCTTCAGCACATCGTCCAGCAGCAGCGTGTGATTCACCACAGCAACGTAGCCCACGTTGATGTGTGTGCATAAGTGCGGATCAATGTCCTGCGGTTGAAGCTCATGCCGCCTCTCGACATCGTACGGCACTGAATAGTAGCACACCAGCCGCTTCTTCCCTCCGCGCTCCGTGGGAATGAAGTTCCCATAGCGCGATGGCAGGATACGCTCGTTATCGAGCTCCTTCATTGACACTGGGGATCCCTGTGTCCTCTGCAAGGCACTTTCCACTCCATTCGCGGTGGAATTCGTCACTGCCTGGGTCTCGTGGACCGAGAAATCGCTCAGATACTGAGAATAAATGTTTGTTCGATGAATTAAGAGCGCTGGAACATCTAAAAAAAAGAGAAAAACATAACGCTCATTCCTCACAGCAATAATTTTCTCAACTTTCATCAAAAAGTGCATATCAAATCTGTATCAAAATTAACGAAACAACGTTATGCGACAGAAATGTTTTCCTGCTACAATCATTTTCAACTTCTTTTCCAATCTGTTCTTTTAAATCAGACGCTTAATATATATTTAAACATACTAATTTGCAGTCTGAAACAGCATTTTTGCACATGAATATAAAACAAAGATAAGTCGAAATTAAACATGCTGACTGTGGAAACTACAAACTCAGCATTCGATATTCATTTACAATTTCTCTCATTTTCTCATAGGCCCAAATTAAACTATAAATTTCTGCGTGGATTAGCGTAAATAAAGCCTGGTTAAATATCCCAAACACGCTTCTAATGAATGACGCGTTGTTTGTTAGAAAACAAAGCCTTGACGCAAATTGCGAATTTACAATTTACTAAAAAGCGCAATTGACCTCGCTTTTACTTCATTCCGTTTTCATTGAATATGAATTTGTGATAAAGACAAATATTTTCGCAAAATTTCACACTTCATAAGTAGATTGGATTGAAATTTAATGTGTCTGGTTGATAATGGAGATAACTAAGAATCGAATGCAAGAGCGGATGTGGCAGAAGTGAATCATGTTCTCTGCATACCAAATAATTTTGGGGGGTAATTGAAACTGTTCCGGTAGATGATCGTCCACGTCGTGTACACGGTCACGCTGGAGATTGCACACAGGAGGATCAGCAGCGCCACTTGCAAATAAGAGGAGTACTTGAGCCTGCAAAGAGAACACCACAATGTCCTTAGAAGCGCCCCAATGTAGAAGCTGGACAGGGAAGCTCACCTATTTTCTCGCTGACCCTCGAGCAGTTCGTACTTGACTTGCTGTTGAGACATTTCTTCCCAACTTTCCAGGTGCGCTTCCTGAACAGTGTAGGCTTGAACTCCTGATACACTCGGTACAAAAGCGCCCCAAGACTAGGCAGAGACACACATTTAACTCACATATGAGTGTTGTTTTGCAGAGAAGTTGAGGAAAACAAAGCAATTGCTGATAAGATTCTTGTAGTCGGATGACACTTGACAATCAGCTGAAGGAGATGTGAGCAGATCATAATTTAACCGGCGCAGTTTTCCAGAAATCCAAGATGTAAAATCTCTGCTAAACGCATAATGCATTACAATAGGGAATTACTAGTTTCTCAGTCACATAATCATCGCAATTAATAAAAACTTCGTTTAAATTGATGAATAACGAATCACTCCTTTATCCTGCTGACCCTCCGCCATAGAATATGCGACTCACACGACTGGAAGCGTTCCATCTGTCCGTCTGACTTCCAGTGTTGTTGATGTGTGTGTGCGTGACAGAAAGAGAAAACGTGGAGCAAATTGCGTGAAGTCGTGGAAAATCCTAAATTTCTAGTGTCCTTTCTGTCCTGTGGCCCCCAAAATGCCACCACTGCGTCGCCCCAATGAGGGCCTCTTAGCTCGCGTGAATTTTCCATTGTACTCTGTCGAGATGCTGAGCAGTCGTCATGTTTTGGTGGCTGGCGGTGGAGGATCAGCAAAGACTGGCGTTGCCAACGGATTTGTATGTCTCCAGGAATGCCTCAAGCACCCCAGAACGTTAATTTCAATCTCTCTGTTTTGCAGGAAATCTACGAGATCTACCACAACGGCGACAGGTTTGTGGCCGAGGAGATTGTTCGCCACGAGACTGGACCCAGCGTCGTCATGAATTGTGCTGTACGCAGCGATGGCAGGAGATCCTTCCTCGTGGCCGGCCAGGAGAGTCACTGCCAACTCTACCACGTCAACACGAAGATCATCGATGAGTCCTCAGTCACTAGCAAGCCAAGTGAGTCCGATGAGAAGACCACAGTGCGTCAGCGACGCACTTCCACGCGTCAGGCGCAAAATTCTGGCGTTGAGGAAATTCCACAGGATTCTATGTCCATCCGACGTCTGTCATTCGACATCAAGCCTGGTGATTCAGTGCAGACGGACTTTCTCGACCGGGAACCCATCCAACGCGTGGTGAGACTGAGTTGGGATTGCAAATTGATGGCCACTGGAGGAACAGACGGTCGCCTGAGGTTGTGGAATTTTCCCCGCATGACCAAATCACGCGACATTGCGGCCCACTCGAAAGAGCTCGACGATCTCGACTTCAGTCCGGACGGGAAGCTCGTTGTGTCGATCGCCAAGGACGGCCTAGGCGTGGTGTGGGACGTGGCGACTGGCAAGGAGGCCGGCACTCTCGCCTGGCAGCCTCCTGAGGGCGTTAAGTATCTCTTCAAGCGCTGCCGCTTCGGCGTGATCGAGGACAAGAAGGACAAGTGCCGCCTCTTCACTCTGGCCAATCCGCTGGGCAAGTCTGGCCGCCAAAGAGGCTTCCTGCAGCAATGGGATCCCGAAACTGGCAGTCTACAGCGCATGGTCGGTCTGGACGAAAGCCTCTCTGCCCTGTCAGTGCGCGACGATGGACGTTTCGTGGCCATCGGCACGATGTTCAGCGGATCGGTGTCGATTCATATCGCCTTCAGCCTTCAGCGAGTGCTCCACGTGCCCAATGCACATTCCATGTTCGTCACCGGACTCCAATTTCTTCCTGTTCTCAGTTCGGACGGCCCAGCAATCTCCAGCGACTCCGAAGCAGCTGTTCTCTCCATCTCCGTGGACAACCGCATTTGCATCCACAGTCTACAGTACAGACGTGAGTTCCACTTTGCCCCTCCCCTGGAAATAACCAAATAATCGTTAATTCTCCCTTTCAGACACTCTTCCCGCATGGGCAGCAATTATCCTCATCATCGTCATTCTCTTTCTCACATTCATGCTGTGCTCTTATATGGGATTGTAGCTGATATAAGATCAATTGCCCAATATTTATTCACCTCGAGAGCCAATCTGATACTTAAACAGCTTGCTGAATAGCATTTTTGCCTATAGCAGACAGTGAAACGGAAGAGAAGGAATGCAAACTGCAGACGCTCAATCAATTAAATAACGGAAATTTCTATGTAATTGAATAAAAACAAACATTTTAGGAAAAAGTGATTAAATTAATTGTTCAAAGACAGATTTTATGACTTTTCTTGAGTTTGTTCGGTGGTAGAGTGTATTTAATCAAATAACGTTGGATTACTAGGAATCTTAGGAGACATTTTAAACTAAGGATTGAATAAAACCAATAAGCATTATTATAAAAAATTGTTAAGGAAACATTTCAGTACCCAAACAAACGCCTGGTACCTGGCGTCTCCACTGTATGCATAAAATCAATCAGAAGTACTTTCAAGCTCAAAATTCCTAGCAGTTTTGCACTGTAAAATTCTAACTGAAGGAAATTTCTCCTAGTTGAACTGAAGATTAACTATTTGAAGTGAAGAGACCGACAAAGCTTTCAAAAAACCATAAGTAAACAACGAAACGCTTCAAATTGACGCCATTACTATGTTGTGTCTACATCCGATATCCACACGCAGGCATATTTACCACTATTGCCATCCTCCACAATTGTTGGCAAGTGATGCTTGCCAACAATTTCAATCGTGTGGGTAGAAAAAATCCTACAGTGACGACAATCAACAAGCTTAAGACGCAAGTATTTTGACAAAAGAATGATTAAACAATTGTTGGAAATATATTGTTGCATGACAAAAATCTAGATATTGTCGGATACACGGAAAAAAGTTAGAGCAATTTGGCGAAAAAATGCCCGAAATTCAGTACATGTATTAGGAATTTATTCAGGTGCAAAAGTGTCATCCCCTCTTGCTTTGATGATCCTATAAAAAGCCCCATAGATCGAACTTCACACGCAGTTCTGAACTGAAAGTGATCTAAACTTTTTTTCTTGATTACTGCTGTGCCAAAGTGAAAGCAGTTAATATGAAGATTGTGGTGTTTGTGTTTGCTGCGCTGCTGTGTTTTCAGGTAAGACACTTTTCCAGGAAAATGAATAAGTCAGGATGTAACAGTATTTTTTTTCCTTCAGTTGGCCGCAGGATTTGCTCTTCCCGGATTGTTCGGCAACATTTTCAAACCAATCACCAATACTTTTAACAATGTCGTGAAAACTGTTACGGACACGAGCAAAACTATTGTGACAACCACAACGGACGTCTTCTCAAATACAGCCGATGCAATTGCCGACGCTACCAAAGATATTCCCATTGTTGGCGCCATCACGGAGACTGCCGCAGACGCAGTTGATGCAGCTCAGAATGTTATCGATACAACTGCCGACGCCATGGCCGATGCCACCAAGAGTGCCGCTCAGTTGATGACTGATTCAGCAAATAATGTCATCAACGACGTCAGCAATTTCTTCTCAGGAACAGGTAACTGCACCGCCGTCGCCAGTAACATCGACAGCCTCCTTTCGGACATCCTGAGCGGCATGAGCAACGGAGATGTTATGCCAGCGAACCTCAACAATCTCTTGAGCACCGTTCAAGACTTCTCGGCCAACTTCTTCGGCGCTGCTCTGCCCGCCGTCAACAACCTGATCGGCGCTCTCAATGTAGCCAACGTTTCGGATCTCATCACTGCCATTCTCAACGGTGGATTGGAAGCTCTCGGACTGGATCCCAACACATCCGCTTTGCTATCAAATATCACAGAACTCCTCGGTGACGCTGCAGCGCTCGCCGCCCTGCCTTTCCTCTTGAAAATCCAATTCAAGCTCCTCCTCATCCAGGCCGGACTCAACCTACTCAATCAAACCATCGCTGGATAGGCTTAAGAGCTATCCAAGTAGACATAACATCGTATGTCTTAAAATAATTACGCAAATTCCACCCACCTCAAGTTGTGCGCTCTATTCAGCAATCCAAACTGTATCCATTTATACCGCTGATAAAATAATAAAAAGCTAATATGCACAAAGATGTCACGTCTCTGCAAACAGTCAGACTGTCGGAAAAATATCAAACTAGATTCTGCCGAAGTTACAGAATAAAATGTTTATCAATCAATAAACTCAACACAAAATATTTTTCAATATATATTCCGATGTCTGAATTGTTTCCAATATACATAGTATTCGCAAATTAAAGAAAAGAACCGACTATAAACTTGTCTGCGAATGGAGATTGAATGGAGTAACATTTGTGTACATTTTGTGATGCTTGATGTTGATATATTACGTACATTTGTCACAATAATTAATAAAGTTTCTGAAGACACTTGAAATGAAATTGTTTTCACATCTGCAAGTGCTATTCTGTTATCAGTATTGCTCGAATTTAAAACCCGGATCAATATGTATAAATGCTGACTGAAAATAACAATAGGTCAAAGAGATAAATACCAGAAATTCTCAAATTATTATTACACCTTTCAAGAAATATTTGGTTTCAATGATATTCAAAATAATTCAGTATATTCGATAGATTAATTCTGCAACTCAATAAAGAATTAATCTTGGATAAAAGCGGAATTTTTTATGTAACTCAGAACTAGACTGTTCTATGTTGACTTGGAGTAAAAAAGCAAAATAAAACTATTTGTATTATTTGAATACAATTCTTAAACTCTTTTCAAAATTTATTTCATCCATCCTGACCATAAAAAATATGACAAAAAATCATTTTTCTGCTATTTTGTGCAACAATTTTTTTTATCTATGCATTTTCCGTAACACTTTGTAACACAAGATGATGTTGAGAATTTAGGTTGAAGTGCAACATGAAACAACTTGAGAAATACACTAACCCACAATTCCCGAAATATTGAAATATTGTATTTGAACAAATGCATTTGGTAACGCTTAAGACACAGTTTCAAGACAGTGATATAAAAGCTTGAGATATTGAGTACGATAATTCAGTGTTTTATCAATTTTCCCGGGGAAATCTCTAAAGATGAAGATAATAGTAATAGTGCTGATATTGGGAATTCTTGTGGACGGAATAAGTGCGTCAAAGGATGCGAGAAGTGATTTGGAACAGAGCCGAGGATTCTTGACTAATGCCATTGGTGGTGCGATTAATCTGTTGACTAGCGTTGGCACTGGAATCGCAACTAGCATCCAGCAAGCAGTCTCTAATATAGGAAATGTGATAACTCAGAAAGTCAATCAAGCCACACAATCCGCAGGCAGCACAATAAATCAAATAATACAAGTCCACAAAGATGTTCACAACAAAACAGCATCGAGTAAGTTGCCAATGTTTTCATGGGAGCATTGAAAAGTTGTTGAAATAATATCTTTTTTTTACAGCAATTCAGAACATAGCCAACGAGGTTCTGCATGGAGTCAACACTCATGTCACCATCACAAAGAATCTCACTGAAGCTGTAGCCACGGCTTTGGCAAACCATATCAAGAAGACAATGCAAACGACTAACATCACCCTTGGCGGTGTGGTAAGTATCGTCGAGACTGTGATAGACGCTGGGCACAAGCACTTGGAGATTCTCCTCAAGGGAGCCACAAATCACACAGCAATAATAGTTGAGAGCGTTGGAGACCTTGTTAAGGGATTGGTTTCTGCTTTGAATGCCACCAAGATAGGTCAACTCCATCACTTACCCAATCTTCTGCTCGCCGGAGTCACGGATATCTTGACGCATCTCGTGAATTCAACAGTTTCCCTCACGAAGGTCAACAGCACAAAGATTTTAATGTCGGCCTTTGTGAAAACGGCGGGAAATGTTGTGGATTCTCTTATAAATGTCCTCCTTCTAGTCACCAATAAGACAGGAAATGCGACAAAACACAACTTTGGACACAGCACAACTGCTCTGCTTCAGAGCTTTGCCGGACTTTTCGACAATCTGGCCGACATCACTAAAGAAATATTGAATGGAACAAAGATAATCCTTGTGGATAAGTTTGTCAACAAAACCGATGCACTCGTGCAAGTTGTTAGCAACATAGCAGACCTCATAACAGATCCTGCAATATCCTTTACGGAATCGCTCGTGGACAAACTTAATATAACATCAACGATACTTGTAGATAAGATACACGATGTCTTTGGAGCGATATTCAACATATCCACAGATGCAGTTGAGAAGATAGTTGATGGGGTGCACAAGACAGTCAATGGCACAGCAGTGACTCTCTTGTCCAAAATACCTAAGTTCCAGCGTTTGGTCACTAACACCACAACCAAATTGGCCGCCATTCTCAATGATAAGATAAAGAAGCATAACAGCACACTGCTGGCCATCATGTCTAAGATAGGAAATAATGGCACCAAGTTGATGGACAAGTCACTAGCTTCAATAGGGAAGATGCTGGGCAACATAACCACAGGTTTCCAGAATATTTTATTCACCACGAAGAATGCCCTCATGAACGTCACAAAGACACTTGGAGGGACGATAACATCAGTGGCTAAAGGGGTGATTCAATTGGCTAACAATGTAACCAAAAAGCTAGGTGATTTTGTAGCAGGAAAATTGGATTGCGCAGCAGATTTACTGCCGAACGTGGTGAAAACAGTTCAAGGATTGGGCAATCATACTGTCGGCTGTGCGGTGTCGAAACTGAGTCACGTATTGGGACATGTTGTGCAGAACACAACAGCTTTGGCTGGAGTGACTGGGAAAGTCTTTACAGGAGTAACAGACCACTTTGACGCATGCGTGAAGAACAATAGTCACAAGTCCTTCCCACAAGCTGCCTGTTTAACTAGTTTCATAGGCACAACGACTAACAAGACATCCATGATAACTGAACACTTGGCAGACACAGGAGCAAAGCTCGTGGACAGTATAGTGGAAACTGGAAATTTAACTGATTGCCTCCAGAAGACGATGACCAATGTTAAAGACACAGTGATTGACTTTGCAACTTGCGTTCTTTCCAACACCACCAAATCAGGAAAATCTATGCGATATTTTGGAAAGGATACCCCGAAAAGTAAGATAGATGTTGAATTTAGAATCCAACTGATTTTAACTGATGTCCTTTCTAGTTCTAGCAAAAAGACCTCAAATACCAAAACGTGAAGCTGGAAGAGTTAGTAAGGAGATGACATTCGATGATGCTGAGGAAATACTAAGAAGTTTTATAAACGATCCTATTTTCGAGATAAAATTCGACATTGACGAAAACTACGAACTTCCTCTTAGAGACGGCATTTGGGATATTTATTAGTTCAGATTTTGCATGTTTCTTTTTGTGTGCTTTTTATACAGTCAACTAAATAAAAGAACCAACTGGCTTAATAACAATATCCTGAATCTGTACATGCGGAGGAGTTCCCAATGCGTAAAGTACAGCTGCAGAAATGTCCTCTGCTTTCAAATGAGGAATGGTTTTTAGTGCCTCTTCACTGTAGCAATCCATTATGTCTGTTTGAACGACTGCAGGACTCACACTGGAGACTTTGATCCCCAATTTTTCTTTAAGCAACTCCTGACGATGACCCTCAGTCAAAGCTTTTACAGCGTGTTTCGTTGCACAGTAAACATTGAAGTTGTAATCATCGAATGTTGCTTGCATATTAGGCACAATATGTCCTACCAAACTGCTAATATGAACAATGTGACCAGCAAAAGAGCGCTTCTTCATGGATTTGAAAGCCTCGCGAGTGCAGAAAATCAATCCGATCAGATTGGTATTCACTGTATTTAGAATAGTTGCAGAGTTTCCTTCGTCGATTAAACGTACAGAAGGAATGAGGATGCCGGCATTGTTGATCAAGACATCCACTCCTCCGAATTTCTCATCAATCCAAGCGAAAGTCTTTATAATTTCCTCTTCTTTCATCACGTCGCAGTTCGCGGAATGGAGATTTTGGCGCATATCTTCAGGAAGATCATTCTTCAGCTTTTCGACTTTTTCCACTCTTCTCGCCAATCCTACAACTATCATCCCAGTTTTGGCTAAATCCTTGGCAATCGCAGCACCGATTCCTGCACTCGCTCCCGTCACAACGGCAATCTTTTTCACCCAGCGATCCATTTCTTTGCTTCGACTGAACTCTCCAACACTCTCTGAAATACTGGAAATACCAAAGAGCTTTTGCATTCATTTATTCAAGCCATTTCTAGCTAAATTTAGATATTGATTTATGTGATAAACAATAATTTAAGTCACATTTGCATTTCAACACTTCACTCAAAGTATTTTGATTAAAATTCCAAGTAAATATTTATAACGTTTCGATGAGTTTCAAACAAACGATCCAACTGCTTTAATTATGATGTCATGAATCTGCACATGCGGAGGAGTTCCCAAAATATAAAGTACAGCAGCCGAAATATCTTCGGACTCGAGCTGTGGCATGTGGTCCAGTGCTCCCGCATTTTCGGCGTTAGGGGATTGAGCATTGTATATGTCCGTTTTCACCAGTGCTGGACTAATGCAACTCACTTTAATTCCCAAATTTTCAATCAATAACTCTTGGCGTAGGTTTTCTGTAATGGCTTTTACACCATGTTTTGTAGCAGAATAGACATTAAAATTCGCACCTGGAAGGTCTTTTTGAACATTAGGTACAATATGTCCAGCCAAACTGCTAATATGAACGATGTGACCAGCAAAAGAGCGCTTCTTCATGGATTTGAAAGCCTCGCGAGTGCAGAAAATCAATCCGATCAGATTGGTATTCACTGTATCAAGGATTGCTGAAGAGTTTCCTTCGTCGATTAAACGTACAGAAGGAATGAGGATGCCAGCATTGTTGATCAGGACATCCACTCCTCCGAATTTCTCATCAATCCAAGCGAAAGTCTTTATAATTTCCTCTTCTTTCATCACGTCGCAGTTCGCGGAATGGAGATTTTGGCGCACATCTTCAGGAAGATCATTCTTCAGCTCTTCGACTTTTTCCACTCTTCTCGCCAATCCCACGACGATCATCCCAGCTTTGGCCAGATCCTTAGCAATCGCAGCACCGATTCCTGCACTCGCTCCCGTCACAACGGCAATCTTTTTCACCCAGCGATCCATTTCTCACAAGATGCGAGGATTATGGTGCAGTCAATTTGAAAATCATCAAGAAACTAAAACATCACATTTAATTTCAGACTCCTGAACATGCTTAACGAAAAATCTCTATTTTTAGAAACCGAAATAGAAAAAATGCACATTAACATGTGGATATAGTAAAACATAACAAACAGGCTTTCAAATCCATCACATTGTGTTAATATTAGCGAATAGTAATCTCCGGAATCTTTGGGATAAAATGATTTATCGTAAATGCAACTCTATTCTCAGGTATCTCAATAACAGAAATGGCAAATAACAGATCCGACATTATACATATATGAAATTATTCAAGTCATGGTCGAAAGTTGCAACTTTTTGTTGGACAAATTGCCTTGATTTCCACAATTAAGCTTTTCTTGAAGTGAGAACCTTTTCAGTGGTGTCTTGGAGTCATGAATATGATTATATTTTTGATCTAAAATCACTACAAAGTTATAATAACTATTTTATTTCCTTCACCTATTTCATAAAAAAAATTAAACACTCTTCCAACGTCGATTGAAATATTTATAAGAGTTGAATCTTGAGTTGAATATATTTCTACTGTTCGTGTAGAATTTAATTAAACAAATCATTGTTTTCCGGGCCAATTAATTTCTCGATCCCACAGCTTTTAGTATCACGTCTTGGACATTCACATGAGGCGGAGTTGAGAGTATATAAAGAACAGCTTGGGACACGTCTGATGGCAGAAGATGAGGAATATTCGTCATGTTCTCAGGCTGCAGATCTTCACATAAGTTCGTCGCCACCACAGTTGGACTAATGCTGCTGATCTTGATTCCCAGGTTGTCTCTGGTCATCTCCTGGCGGTAGAGTTCCGTCAGTGCCGTCACAGCAAACTTTGTAGCCGGATAGACATTGAAGTGCATGTAAGATAGAGCAGGAGGTGGAAAGACGCACTGATGACCCAGAATACTGTTGATGTGAACAATTTGACCGGGAAAGTTGCGCTCCTTCATTGACGACACAGCTTCTCTTGTGCAATTGATCAAGCCTACAATATTCGTTTGAATTATATCATTAATAGTAGATGATTTTCCGCGATCGGTCAACTTGAATGTATTATCTGCGACACCAGCATTGTTGATAAGAATATCAACACCGCCAAACAGTTCAATAATCTTCCCAAACACAGACACAATTTCCTCTTCACTTCTGATATCACATTTGAGGCAATGAAGATTTTCCCGAACATTCTCCCCAAGATCACTTTTAAGGGCTTCCACTTTCTCCACTCTTCTTGCCAGTCCAACAACAATCACACCGACTCTCGCGAGATCCTTGGCAATTTCCGCTCCAATTCCTGAACTCGCGCCCGTCACAACAGCCACTTTTTTGCTCCAGCGGTCCATTTCGTGTCGTCAGGTGTTTTTTCTTTTTCTCTACTATATGAAGTTAACGCGTGTTATCAGCAAACACAAATGGACATTTTTTACGATTTGCTCCCAAAATGTTCAAACACATCGCTGAAGACTGTTTTTCATCTCTATTATATTTAGATTGAAAACAAGTCTGTTTCGAGTGATCGTGACCTTCGCAGAAACACATTCCTGCCAGAATTAAGAGGCAAATAAACCTATGATTATTATTAAGATGCTCGTACGGACGGAGAAATTCTAAAACAATTTAGAAAGAACTCACGTTTTATTCAACAATCTTTAAAGCTAAACAATTAAGAATTCACTCTGATGGGTTTAATTGTTATTTCCTGGATCTGAACGTGCGGCGGAGTGCCGAGAACGTAGAGAACAGCTCGTGAGACGTCTTGAGGGAAGAGATGAGGAAAATTTCCCAGCGCCTCCTTGCTAAAGTGTGGCGATAGTTCCGTCTGAACTATTCCTGGACTGATGCTGGACACTTTGATACCCAGTCGCTCCTTGGCGAACTCTTGCCTCTCTGTCTCTGTCAATGCCGTGATGGCGTGCTTCGTGGCCGCGTAAACATTGAAGTAATAATCCGTGGGCAAGTTGGGAACGTTGTGACCCGAGATGCTGTTCATATTGATGATATGACCGGGAAATGAACGCTTTTTCATGGACTTGAAAGCCTCACGCGTGCAGGAAATGAATCCTGTGATGTTTGTGTTTATCGTCTCACTGATTTTCGAATGATTTCCCTCCTGGAAGAGTTTCATTGAGGGATCATAAACACCAGCGTTGTTCACAAGTACATCAATCCCGCCAAATTTCTCCTCTATGAACAAAAATGTCTTCGTCACTTCCTCCTCATCCATCACGTCGCACTTTATCCCGTGGAAATTGATTCTCTGCTGCTCCGGCATGCCACTTCGCAGCTCATCGAGTCTGTCCACTCTCCTGGCCAAGCCGACCACAACCATTCCCGCTTTGGTCAAGTCCTTGGAAATCTCCGCGCCAATTCCCGAACTCGCGCCTGTCACAACGGCCACTCTATTCACCCAGCGATCCATATGTGAGGCACGTTTTCCTGAACAAACTATTTTTCTTCTAGGCATTGAAGACACAGACTGCACTCTTATTCACTCATTGATCCCCCTTTTATACGACTCATAGTGAAATTACCAATGAATGTGTGTATCGTGTAATTATCAGCAATCTATAGTAATCAATTTGCATTGAAATTGTGATTGTGATTGTAGAAAGGTGAAGGAAAGGTTCCCACATATTACTTTATTAGGCATATTTTTTCATGTTATAGTCACAATTGCATTAAAAAGTATCAATAATCGGCTCCCAAAGGTTTCAACATGATTTCCTGCACATTCACCCTCGGCGGCGTCGCCAAAGCATATCGCAGAGCATCACACACATCTTGAACCTCCAAGAAAGGAAACATCCCGCCTATCGGACTATCAATAGGCGCCATTTCCGTGCGCACAATTCCTGGACTAACACTGGTTACTCTCACTCCAAAGTTCTCCTTGGAAAACTCCTGGCGATACATTTCCGTAAGCGCAGTCATGGCGAATTTAGATGCCGGATAGGCATTCAGTGTGAATGGATCAATCTTCTGCGGAACAGAATGACCAGAAATACTATTCACATTGATCACATGACCAGCAAAGCATCGCTTCTTCATGGATTTGAAAGCCTCGCGAGTGCAGAAAATCAAACCGAGGATATTTGTGTGAATAGTGTTAAGAATAGTAGAGGAATTTTCTTCATCAATAAGTCGCACAGAATGATCAAGAAATCCGGCATTGTTGATCAGGACATCCACTCCTCCGAATTTCTCCACAATCCAAGCAAAAGTCTTTATGATTTCCTCTTCTTTCATCACGTCACACTTCGCGGAATGAAGATTTTGGCGCACATCTTCAGGAAGATCATTCTTCAGCTCTTCGACTTTTTCCACTCTTCTCGCCAATCCCACGACGATCATCCCAGCTTTGGCCAGATCCTTGGCAATCGCAGCACCGATTCCTGCACTCGCTCCTGTCACAACGGCAATCTTTTTCACCCAGCGATTCATTTGCTTCACTGTGTTTACACTCACTCGATTTTAACTAATTTGATGAATTTGATATACGACACCTTCCTTTTATATTTGGGAGTGTAACGTTCTAAACATCCATTTTATGATTCTGATGCCCTTGTATGCCTTTTTAAAACTTGACTTTTTGCACCTCTACATCGTATACGTAATTTGACGAATAGATCTTTAAGAGATTGAACGCCATTCATAAAGCATCGGCTCTGCTTAGCTTGGCGAGAGTTGAGCTTTTTACGACTTATTCATAGTGAGATTTGATTCGAAGGTGAACATAATTGCCAAAGTGTCGTTTTCAAAATGTATTTTTTTTTGCTATCTCAAAATTTGAATTTTATTCCCTAAAATATTTGAACTAGACTTCATTTTTCTTCCTAGAATTCATAATGCACCCTCGTTTGTTATTGTTTTTCAATATTTCCATAATAAATGCGTGAAAAGAAATTGTGCTATTTCCTCTTGCTAATAAGAAGTGATGATGAAACATCTAAAATAATTTAATACACGCAAGCGTTTTGAAAAACTTAATGGACTGTACTAGAAAACCAGCAAACACATGAAATCCTAGAAAATTTGTCTTATAACTTAAATACGTGCGCACTTTAATGACGAGGTGAACATCAATTGGGATAGATAAACTCTGTTTAAACCATCATCGAAGCACAATGTTATTTCAAACGAATGTACATGGATTAATGATGTCATTCATACGCTTTGTCTTGTCAACAAAATTCAATATTTTACATATTCTGCTTTTATCCACGTAAATTCAGCTTTTTCTCTTGAAACTTATAGCTTTTGTAGCAGAATACTTGCTACAGAAGACAAGAAAAATGTGTACATAAGAAATCATTTCACATATTCTAATTTAAAAAGTTATATTCAATTATTGTTTTTCTTACATTTTTATTAACCAACTACATAGAAACAAACAACATTGTAACCAAATAAGTATAGAAAACATATATTTTCCTCATCACCCTCCAAAAACGCAATGATATTGTTAAAGAATCGCAAACAACGGAAGATAAAAAAGTCAAGTTCAGAATGAACAAGTCGGTCTTATCAGAAGCTCCTGGACATTCACATGAGCTGGAGTGCTCAAAGTGTAGAGAACAGCAGCCGAAATATCGCCTGGCTTGAGATGCGGCACGTGCTTGAGCGCCTCCTCGGTGAAAGCTGGCCCGATCTCCGTTTGCACCACTCCAGGACTGATGCTGGTGATCTTCACACCGAATCTCTCCCGGAAGAATTCCTGCCTATACATCTCCGTGAGCGCAGTCACACCGAACTTGGTCGCCGGATAGATGTTGAAGTTGAAGCCGCCAAATTCCTGTGGCACCATTGGAATCGTGTGACCCAGGATACTGTTGATGTTAATGATGTGACCGGGAGAAGAGCGACGTTTCATGGACTGGAAAGCCTCACGCGTACAGAAGACCACACCTAGAAGATTAGTGTCAACTGTGCTGCGCATGAGATCAGAATCTGCATCCACGAGCTTCTTGTCTGTTCTGCCGATACCCGCGTTGTTAATCAACACATCAACACCACCGAGATTCTGCTCAATCCAGGCGAAAACCTCAATAATCTCCTCTTCTCTAGTCACATCACACTTCACCGGATGGAAGAGCTTCTGGTCATCAAGAGATAATTGCTTCCTGAGCTCTTCCACTTTCTCCACTCTTCTGGCCAATCCCACAACGACCATTCCCGCCTTAGCCAGATCCTTGGCAATTTCTGCGCCAATTCCCGAACTTGCGCCAGTCACAACAGCCACTTTTTTCTCCCAGCGATTCATGGTCTCTTCTTCAGCGCTAAAGAATCCTCTCCACTTGGATAGTGATTAGATACTGATTACTTTCTTTCACTTTCTCCTGAGTAATGCCTTTGACCGCGCGCAGTAATTATAAAAATACCAGTTAGAGGTTTTCAAACTTATCTAAGTGAAAGTGAAATTTATCCAAACTGTCAAAGAGAGCTCCCGCCTTTTGCGTCCGCTGTGTGTTTCATGCAAAGAAAATAGTGATGTCTTGTGAAGAATCAGCAATAAAAGTGGTCAAGTTCATTCTCAATGTGGTCGAGAAGAGGCTGCCCATCAAGAGGGGTGAAATAATGGGCGCTATGAACGATGGCTTTGCGACAAACAAGACATATCCGGAAGTCATGGTCCGTGTGGAACATCACCTCGCAAAGGCAAGTATTTCTCAAGCAATCACTTAATTTACTCAAATTCTGATCTATGATTGTGCTTTCAGACTTTTGGCTATGCAATCCAGGATGTAATGGTCAAAAACACCAAGAGCTACATTGTCGTGCCCAAAAACATAACCTCACATTTGGTTATGCCTCCCGGAAAATGGCCTGAAGTTACACTTCTCTACCTAACGCTCACTTACATCTTCATGAAGGGTGGAAAAGTGGCAGAAAATACTCTATGGAGGTTCCTGGGTACTCTCAACATCTCACAGGAAGAACGCAGTGATGGAATCTTCAGAAACGCAAATAAACTCCTCACAGAAACCTTCGTCAAACAACTGTATCTCGTCCGGGAGAAAGATTACGAGGAGGGCGGAGATGCAGATTTCGTTATCCAATATTCCTGGGGGCCCAGGAGTGAGTTTGAACTGTCCAAAAAGGCTGTCCTTGATTATGTGGCTCAGGTAAATCCATCAGACAACAAAGATCGCTGAAGTACTCACATATATCTTTCGTTGCAGGTTCTCAAGAGACCGGCGAGGAGCTTCATTTTGCAGTACAGGGAACTTTATGGCGCACCAGCGAGCAGTAGAGATGGTGAATCAAGTCAGGCAGCGCCGTCATCGCTGATCCCACTTTGATTTGGAAGATCTTGCAGCAATATTTGGCTTGTCCTGTGAACCAACAGGCGTGCTGATAATTCTCTCAAGTTTCTTCTCCTCTTTCATCATCATCTTCCGGCGCTTTTTGAGACTCGGCACATCATCGAGTTCGTCAAACATTTCTTTTTCAATTTCATTAATATCATCAATTGGACGCTTGAATTTTCCACCATAATCATCATCTCTGTAAGAGAATTTGAATTTAATGTTAAATGAATTCACAAGATTAGATTAACATGAAATAACCTGAAGTAATGTTCGATCTTTTCATTAATCACGGAGAGTTTGTCTTTGAATGATTGAGATTCCGGTGGTAGAAGTGAATTCTCCCGGAATTGAAAGTACAAATCCTGTTCTGCTACTGTTAATCCGGCCTTAAGCAGTTCACTCCGTTCAAATTGCCTCTCCAGAATGGCCGTAAAGTCTTTTAAGGTTGACAAACCTCCTCTGGAAGTTGATGGCCCAGGACAGAGAATGGATTTTGTGAAATTTTGCTTCCTCGTAAGCTCTTCCTTCAGATTAGATTGTGTGTTTCTTTCTTCAAAAAGATTCCTTACAAGCATCTTCTGCTCCTCGTCAATGTGATTTTCTGGGGCTCTGAAATCACCCATAGTGATTATAGGGAGAAAATCTGCAATAAAATCAAACAAATGTACATAGTATTAGAATATAAATGTTTAAAAATACATATTTTGCAAAAGTTCCTTGAAATTATCTTGATCTCTTGATGGCAGAGGCAAAAAATTGGTATCATAATTTGCGATCCTCTGTTATATTATTAGTTTCTAATTTTCACGACATTGACTCGTGTTTGAACACAGCTAAGGAAAATTGCGTGGAAGTCCAGTTTCTAATCACGCGCAGAAATTGCAAGTGATAAAGTGTGTTCGAGCACAAATGGCATAATTACAGAGTGCACGGCTGGAAAAATTGCGTGCCAAAGGATGAGAGGCGAGTGCGAAGCGCACGAGAGAGAATGGATATCGAGAAGCAGTGGAAGAAGCAAAAGAAATGATACGAGATGGAAACGAAGGAGAAGCAGTGAAAACGATCTTTGTCGTAGCGCACACAAAACGATCCAAATTCCCAAGACTTGTGCCTTTCTGCCTTTTCTCGCCAAACCAGTCGCCGTCGAGCTGTTGAGCGCACAAGACATCTTCCTTCAGCCAATATCCAAGCGTCTCTTCGCCAGTCGCGCAATTGAGGAGGGCATTTCTGTGTCCGTGTCGTACAAAAATCCATCTCGTGAGGCTTCGTGCATATTTTCTCGAGCTGTGCACTTATTGGGAATTTCGTCCGGCGATTTCTGTGCCCGCGTCTCGGTGTGCTGGTCAGACTCTGTTCCCAGCGAGGCCCAATTAAGGCGGCAATTAAAGCGTTTCCTGTGACAAAGATCGAGTGTCTTTGGTATTATCTCACATATATACATATGTATATATGATTTGTGGAGTGAGAAAGAGTGCAGAAAAGACACACCAGAAGCCAAGTGGAAAGATGAGAAAATGAGCACCGTGGACTGAGCAGATTCTCAACAGTTCCTCTTCTTTTATATGGAATTCATCGACGAGGGACAATTCTTCCTCGCTAATTAATCGCATAGAAAAATTTGACGACTTTTTTCTCCTCCAAATCCACCAATTTCTTGTGTAAGTGTGAGATTTTTTCCGTTCTCTCCACACCGCAAATGTTATTCCATCCCAAAAGAGACCAATTTCCATCTATCCATCTCGCTCAGTTCTCTTCTTGTGTTCTTCTCTGGCCATGGTGCAAAAAATTCGCACAAAAGTCGGTGATTTTTATCACCCAATCTCCCATGAAATGAGAAGGAGAACATGGAGAGACTGAAAGAATAAATACCGCACTTTGTGTACATAAAACATATATAAAAAGATTACCAGCAGAAATATTATAAATAGCTACTTTGCTAATTTTCAATTCTTCACCTCTTTGCTCTCCACGCCCAGGCCCTCAGACTTTGGCTCTTCCTCTCCAGTATTTTTAGCGCAATTTGTGCGCGGGAGCGTGCAATTGTATTATAACCATCCGCTGTTTTTTTTCCTTCCATTTCACCTCCAAACATTTCACGATTCGCGCTCCCACGTTTTTTATTCTTTACCCCGCGATCGCACCGAAGGCATGACCAAAAGAGAGAGAAAATAGAAGATTTGGATGGAGAAACCCACTCTCTTCTTCTGGTCTCGAGAGTTAACATCACAGAACCGCAGACCGAATGTCGTCAACACGAGAGATCTGAGATGTGATCTTTCTTCGCGTCTTTGTAATGACTCTCGCCACAATCCAAATCAATCCTGCTACTCTTATCGATCATCTTAAAATTATCCTCAAATGAACTAGAAAGAATGTCCTTGCAGAACTATACATCTTCTTTTCCTTTTCCCTCACTCAAATTTGAGAAGATTTAAGCAATAATTCTGATAAACAGCGCTAATTACTAATAATCACTAGCCCTCTTAATAATTCTCTTTAAAAGCATTTTTCGTGTAGAAGGATACATGATTTTTCTAAAAAATAATACCAATTTTCCCAATTTCCATGACATTGTGTTCCAATATTTCTAAGACTAGACTTCTAGAACTGAAAATTTTCATTCACCTGTAAAATAATTCCATTGCGTTTTTCACTAATAAATCATTAGGAAAGAATAAAAATTAAAAAAAAATACCAGTATTCAATGCACAAAATTGCGATCCTTTAGAATATGTTAAATACCTGAAAATCATTTGTGGCCACAATATAATCTTCCCCACAACCAGAAACCAGACAAACTCCTTCACTTCACCTCCCATAGAATGAAGTGATGAGGCAAGATGATGTCCAGTTTTTGTTGTCCTCTTTTCTGCACATTTTACTCATTCTTTTACCTTCAATCTTTCTTCGCGCTGCCCTTTTAGGCTTCCATTTCTGACCTCTGATTTAGCACTGCTAAAAGGTGTGCTGATCGTGAAATTGCCTCCAGTCGCCGAGACAATATTTCTTCTGGTAAATCATAAATCATGCATAATTGAAGAGGTTCGTAAGGCAAACAATTGTCCAGGTGAACTTCCTATTGGAACTTCCATGAAGGCCACCATTTGTCCAAATGATCATCATCTGTTTGCAGGAGCACGAGAGTCCCTATTTTGCACAACTGCTCACAAAACTCTTCGCCATGATAATATTTTGTTGGCCAAACAGTGAACATTCTTCTCCTCCTCCAATATCTCACATCATCTCTTTTGTCCATGTCTTCGGTCACTCACGATGGGAAGATAAATACAAGGTATGCAGACAGTGAGAAAAAAGGCCCTTGTTGAGGAGTGAGAAATGATGGACATTTGTGATGGTGGAGTTTAACAAGAAACACAGCAGCACAGAAAACACAACGCAAGACAAATCATGAGACCATTTCCTTTTCACGCCTGAAACACATGTACAAATTTCCCTCTAAAACGAGTGGCAAAGTGTCTATTGTCATTAATTATGTTCAACAAGAGTATTAAGACATCTCATCTCGCACAGTTGGAGTTGGACGGACGCGAGGAGGGAGTGAGAAAGCAAAGGGAAAAAAAGCGACCAAGAGGGGAGTAAGAATTGAGGAAGAATAACAGAATGAACGACAGTGAAGCATCATCGAAACCTATGAAGATATTGAGGATCTTTACGAGTGAAATTAAAAAGAGAACGCGATGATGGAGAAGAAAACGATATAGAAAATTATGTGAGAATGGGAACACCTGTTATTGATGTGCCCTTATAGCTCCGTAAAAAAAAACATATATCAATACAATACAATGCAGTGTTTTGGTGTGAAGAACAAGATTGACTTAGGAGAAGAGGAGTGACTTTGAGATTATGCCCCCCTGATGTGTTCAACACAAACCCACAAATCATCAACATTGATCATCGACAGACACAAAATTTTCTCACTCTATTTAACAACTTATGCACACAGAGAGCCATAAAATCATAACCATTTCCTGCTATTTACACACATTGATTGACTGGAAAATAGAATTTGTGGAATGGGGTGAAGCAAATGATGTTTGAGATCTATTTTTGGAAACACTTTCGAATAAACTCTCGATGTTAATATCTCTCTATTAGATGTTAAATATGTTTTCAACTGTAAAATAATGTGAATAAGGTAAAATGGGATGAAGAAAAATGTGTCTAAACAACACTCTGAACAGAATCATTTGTCAAATCAACAAATCTTGGTTTTCATATTTTATCATATCTTCATATAATAAAAACAGATTTTCCTCAATTTTTTACCTCAAGCCAAGTTTAGGAGATTGTGGATCATCTGTCTCTTCTGGGAGTATTGAAAGCTATACAAAACACACGACATGAGATACCAAAAAAAACGACACCACGTCTTTTCTTGCTCTTCACCTTTTTCACATCCCCTTTTCATCCTCATTCTCACACTTTCAGTCTCTCATCTTGCCATTTTCGCAAATGCAACTAATCACTTCTCACTCGCTTTTTGTGTGCCTTCGCATCTTCTGCCCCTTGGCTTTAAATTTAAAGTTCTCCACCTCGTTTATTAGCATGATTACCATTCTCCACAAGCGCACGGCGTTGGTGAGAAACACGATAGAGAAGAGGTGTAAAATTTAATGCTCTCTCTGCACAAAATCACTCACAACAGGAGGACTCTTTATCGTTTAGACTTTAGTGCTTTTTCTCTCTTTTTTTTCTTTTGTGCCTCGCTGAGACGTCTTGAAACAAGAGTACCTGTCTCACTGGCAAACTGATCGTCAGGTGGATTTATTTACCAGGCGCGAGAGACATTCGCGCGGAAGAGATTAGGGATATTTTTTGTTTATACACCACATTGAACGCAGTCAATATTCTCATTGCAGTTGACTTGGCAAAATGCCGGATCTCTGGCAAAACATCTGTCTTCACATTCTACTGACTTGCCCTATATTTGTGAACGTCTGGTCACGGCACGATCATTTGTACATGGGACTCGATCATCGACACCATTTGCACTACGAAAAGGACAATGATCTCTCGCTGTGGATCAATGAGATGCAAGTGAAAATGTTTAGTGGTGAGTATTCTTCGTCTCCCACATTCAAATTACATACACACCATAATTCTATCCCTTTTCTCAATCGCAACGTGAAGGTTTCTCAATGAAAATATTCGCAATTGATAACGGTAAGGTATCACCCCATATTAAGGATCCTAATTTCAATATCTACCTTCCAACTATACCGTCTGAAGTAAGTTATGTGAATTTTACATGGAAATCCGGTGCCAAAAAATATGATTATCATTTCGATAGATTGCAATCATTAGATGAAAATATTCTTAAGCCACCAATTATATCTATTAAGACAAAGGGACGTGTTCCACGCAATCCTAAAGGTATGTCCAAATTCGTGCCGCCGAGAGCAGAACTCATCGGCAGTATTCAATTACAAGATTTCTCTCGCTTGTTTCAGAATTCAGTGTTTTATTGCCATGCTCGGGCAATGTGTCAGGCATTGCAATGTTCAGCATTGGCTTGCTGATACAAACACGCAAGGGTAGACCCTTGCCTGGCACCCCCCTTCGGCTCACCCTCAAGAAGGAGTGCGCCTACAGAGGTGTGTATGACAGAGCTTCACTAACGGCTTCGCAAGGTAGTGTATTGCTTCCTTATAATAAGACACAGAACATATTGTGAGGCATCTTTTCCAAATTTATGGTGTATCTTTCATCTGTCTATCATTTTGATTTTTTTTGCTTTCTTCTGCAATCAAGATCCAGCATATGTATGCAAACTGCCAGTTTAGTCAAACATATGTATAATTGAGAAAATATTGCATAATTTTTAATACTCCGCCCACTTCAATGCCACGCCTGTTAATTTCTGCCAGAATTTTGGTCTTGATTCCAGAATTGAGCTTTCTTTCCCACATATTCATTATCATTAAATCATCGCCACACATTTCCAATGCCAACTAACTTAAAGCTTAAGCCAGCTGATAAGGCAACTGACACAATCCAGGCGTATCATCTTAACAAATCCCACCGAAAATACAGGTCCAGACCCAGAATGTGATAAGAAGTGCGCAAATAACGGCTGGTGCAATCACGAGAAGATATGCCAATGCCCGGAAGGCTACATGGGACAGTACTGCACGCAGGCTCTGTGCTATCCGCAGTGCCAGAACGGTGGCAACTGCACGGCGCCGGCGGTCTGCTCGTGTCCGCGAGGGTATCAAGGACGCCACTGCGAGGGAGGTTAGTGAAAGCAAGCAACTCTCTCTCTCTCTAAAGCCATCTATTTCGCCGATATCACAACCATCTCTAGACCTTCTTGGAGATGGCGATTGCTGCCTTGCAGCCCACTTTTATCACCTCGGTCAGGGCGCGGTAGAACGGCGCCTGCTCGGCACCATGATCGATGCCTGTGTCGTGGTGCTCCTGCTCTTCATCGCGGAATTGCGTGATTGTGGCCAGCAGCTCTTGGTCCACCTTCGGATCCGCCATCAGCTGCCGCAGCTGATCATTGTAGTGATCCACGATTACTGTCTCCACAGCCACAGTGCACGCCATGGCGGCTTTCTCGCCTAACAGGGCAGTTCCGGCGCCCAGAGCGAAGCCCGCCACGTTCCAGAAGGGCGTCATGACTGTGGGACGCACGCGGTGCTTGTTTATCAGCATCTCGAAGCGGCGTCTGTGCTCCTTCTCCTGATCCCACATGTGCTGAATCGTCGGTCCCACTTTAGTATGCCCTGCAAAATAAATCACAGTCAATTTGCGCGCTGCTCTGCGCGTGCATTTCCTTACCCAACACTGCCATCTGTCCTGCATAAATGCGATCAGCTCCCAGCTCACCAGCGTGATCCACGCGAATGATCTCGTCAACCAAAGCGGTTGGCCTCTTGTGGAGCATCCTTCTCGACACTAGAACCACTCTCGCCATTTTTAGGCACTGAAATTGACCCAAGAATCGCCGTATATTTTCAGGTATCTGTGCAGAGAAGTGCCTCAACGGCGGAAAGTGTATCCAGAAGGACAAGTGCGAGTGCCCCAAAGGATATCTCGGGCTCCGCTGTGAAATATGTAAGACTTCTCAATGCATGCCGTCGACCAACTTCTATTCTAATCTCTCTCTAACTTCTAGCCAAGTGCACAATTCCCTGCCAGAACAACGGGAAATGCATCGGGCCCAACAAGTGCCGCTGTCCGCCGGGAATCTCGGGTGAGCACTGCGAAGTGGGCAGGAGGCAGCGCTCGACATGCAAGAAGCCCTGCAAGCGGGGCATCTGCATGCCTGATCACAAGTGCCACTGCTTCGAGGGGTGGTTCGGAAAGTTCTGTGCTCGTCGGGAGAAGCATAGTCGCCCCAATTATCGCAGCACCCCGAAAGGCAGGCGGTGAATCCCGGACGAGCCCTCTTCCCGCCCTTCTGGCTTCCTCTCTTCACTTACACGCCACCCTGTCTCCGTTCACACTCCCCGGTATTGATTCTATGTTCTATCTCTAATGTGATAATAAATTTACTTAAAGAATCCCGAACCTGGAACACTTATTCAAAGATGATATCCGCAAGTGAGGTTAAGTTGTGCTTTCTGGGTGATTTCTCTGCGTTCTTGGTCGATTAGCTGACGTACTCGTACACAGGCAGTGTAGAAGTACTTTATCTTGATGTTTTGTTCACTGTTATTAGCTAATCACTAGTATTTTGAGAGAAAATGTACGAAAATAAAGCTCTTTTATTGTGTTTGGGGTGTTTTCAATTTAGAAGTCTTCAATGAATTGCCATGCAAGTTCGTCACAAATACATGTCGTGAGATGTAATAAATTCAATAAAATACAGCTGTAATAAAGCAAGTGAATCCCGTGAATCCGAAAAGCTGAGATTTATTTTAAAAAATTTTGTATGAAATTCGTGGAGCTGAAAGATTTATCTCGTAAAATTATGAGGTTTTTCTTTGAAAGTCTTAAGAGTTTATGCGCGAACGGTGTAACAAATTATTTGAACTTTGCCGCGGCGAATGTCCCAAAGTGGGCTGTCAGGGGCACGTGTGATGATTGTCATTCTTTTATATCTTTTCCTCAGCCACGAGAGGAAAACATTGCGTATTTTCTGATATTTCCTGCATTTTCTTCACTCTCCACGCAATTTGAGTGATTTGAGATCTCCAACCATGGATGTTGAAGAAGTAAACATTAGTGTGGAAGAGACAGTGGCTAAGAAAGTAGCGAAAAAACGACGTCAGAACGATGCGATGGAAGTTGATCAAGTCTCGGGAATTGAAGGAGCCCCAAAGTCTGCAGCATCTGGACGGAAGCGCGCCAAATCCAATGTAGATCAGAGAAAGATCATCGTCCCTCTCAGAAGGTGAGATCGAATGCGATTGTGTTGAGTGTAGGCGTTTTCCATAGAGTTGTGTCTGATTTCTGACAGGTTGGGAGCTTTGAAGGAGAATTGGCTGAAAATCGTGAACCCCTTGACGGAGAATCTCAATCTTCAGGTGAGATTTAACCTGAAGAGCCGCCAGGTGGAGATGCGACTGGGTCCAGAGACTCCGGATGTGGCGAATCTGCAGAAAGGCGCAGATTTCGTCAAGGCCTTCGTATATGGATTTGAAGTTGATGACGCTCTGGCCCTCCTGCGTCTGGACGATCTCTTCGTGGAGACTTTCGATGTCATGGACGTGAAGACGCTGCGCGGGGATCACAAGAGTCGTGCAATTGGCCGATTGGCCGGCAAAGGCGGACGGACGAAGTACACGATAGAGAACACAACGAAGACGAGGATTGTTCTCGCCGACAGCAGAGTTCACATCCTGGGCAGCTTCCAAAATATCCAACTCGCCCGGAGGGCCATCTGCAACCTGATCATCGGCTCCCCGCCTAACAAAGTCTACGGGAATCTGCGATCAGTGGCTGGACGGATTTCTGAGAGGATTTAAGCGTATTTATTATGAAGGATTAAATTTTGGTAAAGATCAATACGAGCATCAGGAATAGTGTCACACTGGCCAAGATGAGGATACACATCATCTTCCTGTTCTTTCTTTGGTACATTTCCGCGCGCTGCAGCTGTCTCAGACCTGCTGACACACGCGTTTGCGTATTTTCCACGTTGTAGTCGATCCTGTCCAGGATTGTGCCCTGTTCCTGCACCATTCCCGCCAGATCCTTAAAGATGTCATGCAGGTCAACTATGGACTTAACAATACGTGACACTTCCTGTTCCCGCCGCTCGATCAGCTTCGTGTTTTCCTCCTCGAACAGAAGCAGCTGCTGATGCGTAAGCCTAGAAGCCACCGGCTGCTGAAAGTACTCGTCGATTTGCTCATCACTCTCGTCCAGCAGCACTGTCGCTTTGGGCTTCAGGAAGTTGTCGAAGGTCTCGACTGTTGTCTCCCTGGCGGGCTCCTCGAGATCAATCGTGGTGAAGTCCTGCGTCTCGAAGAACACATTCGAGCGCTCCTCGCGCGACGCCATCTGCCTCAAGTACGTATTCTGACTGTTCCGAAAGCGGAATGTGATATCCTGCAGCTGCAGCAGGAGGCAAGTGACCACGTTCTGCGTGAGGCGCTGCTCCAATCTCTTGCCCTGGCCCAAGCTCGACCGGATGCATTGGATGTGGCGATGAGTCGAGGCAATCAGCTTCGATATCTCCGTGCTGGCATCCTCAATTAGAGCCTCTTCCTCACAGTGGTCATCCATGGTGGGTCGCTGCAAGTGTCTCATGTGCAGTGTGGTCAATTCCTCGAGCTTCGGCTTGATCCTGGACATTGTGTACTGCGCTTCTTCCAGTTTGTCAATCCATACTGGCGGCGCTTCGTTGTCGTCTCTCATCTCCAATCCCTCTTCTGTGTCTCTAGCTGATCTCCTCAAAAGGTGTTCAGCATCGGAATCTCTCTGCAATTATGCACAAAACAGACATTGAAATGCCATTCCAGGACAATAAGAAAACAGCTTCACTTACACTCTCGGGATACATGTTTTTGCTCTGTGTCGCATTATTCCGCATAATAAGGAACACCTCTGTCAGATTTCGACTAGCCATGGCTCACTAATTGATTCCTTTCTCAAGGATTTTAACTTTTTTCCTCGCGTTCACCAGCTGGTTGTGGAATTTCCGTCTGACACTTCGCGGCGAAAGTGGCGAATAATCCGCCGCTAAATATTGCTTCCGCTCACACTCCATCGAGTGCGAATTGTTTTCTATATTTTCGCCATCAATTATGGATATGTGAAAAGATTTGAGAAAAATCCTTTCTCCTGAAGATAATTATATAGCTTCGAGCAACAAATCACACAAAAATTGCTGATCTACACAAATAGCGGGTAAATATGTGTTTTCCACGCATCAAATATCATTTTTGTCCCTAACCACACAATTTGTTGACGTCCTGAAAGCCAAGTTACATAACAAACTCACAATACACATTTTTCCGACAGGAATCTCCTTGGGAATTTGATGGCAAGTGTCCTCCTGAATCTGTGGCGCAAGTATCGGCTGGTTGTAATCTTTCCCTCCCTCACAGCGTACTTCATCTACGCGGATCTAGAACATACCAAGAAGTGGAAGAAGTCACTGGAGGATTCCAAATAAAGCCAACATGGTCTTGAACAGTGTCTTCGGCCTCACCACGAAGTCTGTGTGGTTCGCTGTGCCCATGACTGGCTTTTGCATTGGCTGGTTCCTGGATTACCAGGAAACCCTTCGCATGACAAGGTTCCGCGACAAGAGCGCCTTGTACGGCAGAGAATTGGCGCCTGGCGAGCAGCCGACCTGGCCCTAGTGTTTGTATCATGGGAGAGATAGTTAATAAATTGAATAAATAAAAGTAATTAAGGTTTTTCTTGGGGATTTTGATAGTTTTGAGTGTCATTCCGGGAGATTCAGCCGGGCGAAAAACTTCGGCGCAGTACAAAATCGAAGTCGAAACGAAACGAATTGTCATTTTTTTTGTTCTTTATTACCCCAGCAAAACAGCGAAAATACCCCCGAAAATGGCTCAAAAAGCGATCAATTAAGTGTATTCTGACATATTTTATTCACAATCAGTGCAAGTTGTGTGAATTCGCAGAGATTTTCGGTGTTTTTCTTCGGCACAGAAGAATTTCCATATAAAGAGCTTCCTGTCCGGCATCGAAGTTTTCACCTTGATTTTTCACCCACTTAAACACAAATTCTGCAGAAATTTGCAGTTTTCTGTGTGAGATAGAAAGGCGATTTTGGCGGTGAAGTGCTTCCAGAGGGGGTTTGCTTAGGATTCGTGGCAGAAACGTTTGTGGAAGGAATATCCGGGATGTCTGGTCGCAGGAAACATAACCTCAAAATCCAGATGGCGAACGAAGCGCCGCCCCCAGTGTAAGGAATTGATGGGAGTTGAAGTGCTTTGCACCATCCGGACAATGGTTTAATGCTTAATTGTGCTTTGCAGGACGCCGCCACACAACCTAGACAAGAGTACAACGATCACAATCGACGACAAGACGTTTGTCGTGGAGGCGGACGACTTGGAGAAGTTGTGCGATCTGGGAAGGGGCGCGTATGGAATCGTGGAGAAGATGCGCCACAGGCAGACGGGCACAGTGATGGCCGTGAAGAGAATCACCGCCACGGTGAACACACAGGAGCAGAAGCGACTCCTTATGGACCTGGACATCTCCATGCGGTCCAGCGCTTGTCCCTACACAGTCCACTTCTTCGGGGCGCTCTTTCGCGAGGGCGATGTGTGGATCTGCATGGAGGTGATGGACACCAGCCTAGACAAATTCTATCCGAAAGTATTCAAAAACAGCCGCCTCATGTCCGAAGATATTCTAGGGAAGATCACGATAGCCGTAGTAAATGCCCTCCACTATCTCCATGCCAAGCTCAAAGTGATCCACAGAGACGTGAAGCCATCCAACATCCTGATAAATCGCAAGGGAGAAGTGAAGATGTGCGATTTCGGCATTTCTGGTGAGTTTCTGGTGAAATTGGAAATATTTCATCTATTTCTCCTTTTCTGTACGTCTCGAGGATCTAAAAGCATTTAAAATATTCTGCAAATGTGCAAACTTTTATATTAAAGAACTTTCCTTGCTTTTCCAGGTTACCTGGTGGATTCAGTGGCGAAGACTATCGACGCCGGCTGTAAACCGTACATGGCGCCTGAACGAATAGATCCAACAGGTGAGAAGCACTCTAAACTAAATTCCTTTTTCAATGCGCTGAACTCATTTTTCCGTCAGGCAATCCGGGTCAGTATGATATTCGATCGGACGTGTGGTCACTGGGCATCAGCATGATCGAGATGGCCACTGGCAAGTTTCCCTACTCCACTTGGGGCTCTCCGTTTGAGCAGCTGAAGCAGGTGGTGACAGACGATCCACCGCGCGTGGAGCCGGGCAAATTCAGTCCGGAGTTCACGGATTTCATCAGCGTGTGCCTGCAGAAGCTGTACACAGACCGTCCAAACTATGAGCAATTGCTGCAGCATCCCTTCCTGCAGGAGCACAGCGCCAAAAGCACGGACGTGGCCACGTTTGTCGAGGAGATTCTCAATTTGCCAGAGTAATGCGGTGCGCATGGAGATAACAGTAATATTTACTTAAGAGAGTCACAAGGAGAAGTAGTGTGGATGAGAACGAATAATACTAATGTCCTTACTTTTTTTTTCATGTATATTAATTTAGCGATGAAGAAGACGATTATCATATACTAATGAGCAATTAATTTGAGAGAGAGATTTGAGAGAAAAGAAACATCTGTAATATTTTCTCCTAGAGGATAACCAATTGAAAGTAGAATGATACAAGACAGAAAAAATTGCAAAGCAATCTTGATAAAGAGTATAAATCCTCAAGCATCACGCCAAGTATGACAATTTCGAACGATAAAACAACTCAAGCATGCAATTTGTTGACATTGAGATAAGAATGGTGTCTGAGAGAGGCATCGAGAAACATGAAAAGTGCAAAAGATATGCAAGAAAAGCCAATAAGTCGAAATCGAGGTCGAAATAAAGTCTACGGAGCAACTTAGAATGTTGTTTTTTTTTCCTCATCATCTGCAACACTGAAGGGAATAATGGAGAAATCTACTAAAGATATATTTCTTTCTTCACTTTGATCTATCACAGAATCTTAAATACTTTTGTCGGCTTGAAATTTAAGATTTCCAATTACACTTCGAATTGCTAATTTTTTTATTTTAGAGTTTCATGTGCAATTAGTTGTAATTCAATTATTACAATCTTCTTGTGAAATTGGCGGTTTTTAATGTGATTCGTATTGTCACATATTGAAGGAGCAAATACGAATGATTGACTTCAAGGAGTCGGCAAAAAGGTATAAAATCAGTAATTTATATAAAATTTAATTAGAATGTACAACTTTTATTGGCTATACGACGAAATATGATTTAAGAGACTCTTAAGTGAAATAAGAGACTTAAGATATTCGCTTGAGTTCGCCACGAGGCGCTCTCTTAGTGTGGGAACGTTGCTGGGCGACAAGAAAAGGGTGCTGTTCCGTATAAACAAACGCAAATGTGCGTTCTTCACTCACGATTGAGCTTAATTGTCCAGAAAGACTGTGAAATGTGTTCCCGGAATCATTAAATTTCAACTGAAGAGTGAGAAATCAAGTAATCCCAGTGAAATCAAACGTTCAGCAAGTATTCTGTTGACTCAGGGAATTTTTGTCAATTTTCTATGTGCTTTTTCTCAATAGTAGTTTGTGAATAATTAAGTGCTCATATTAAGTGAAGCACCACTTCAGCATCATCTGGGAAAATCTTCATATGTCAGTGTGCATCCGTGGCGGAGAATATCGATCTCCGTGTGTGTCGCCAATGGAAATTGCTGTGTGAATTTTTCCCAATATAAACCAAATCGATCTAACAAATCGTAACAACAAAACACCATATAAAATAAATAAAATACGTGCGGGAGTCAGTCGGAAAAATAAATAAATAAGTATAACACACTGCAAATTGAGGAGTATCACTCGGATATCACACATGAATGGTGAAAGACGTGCGAGAAGAGCAAATCCGCGAGTAGTGCTAGATTGAAAAGTTTGTGTTGTATGAATAGACATCGAAGGAGTGAAATAATGTTTCCTAAGCAGAAATCCATCGATAAGAGCAATAAAATGTCGGAAATTGATGAGAGCATCGCGAAGAACTTCGACATGAAGAGGGTGAGTTAATATTCCATTCTAGAGCATTTACATCTCGTACTACGAAAGTTGTATCGAGACATGAATGAATTCTTTCTTTTCCTGCAAACTTTCGATTTCACGTATATTTGAATTTGGGTAAACAATCGAGGGATTTTGCTAATTATTTAATCGATAGACTTCCGATAGGGCTGCAGGTGTGGTATTCAAATGAGGCGTTCACCCGTCGAAGACTTTCCTTCGTGACAGGGCGAAATATGGGGTAAAAGAACTTGAACTTGTCAACCCTCACACCACTCGCGCCTCTCATTCGCGATGCCGTGGGCGGAAAAGTCTGTGATTTCCCCCACGGCCGGAAAACTCCAATGAATTGAGCCGAATCGTGGACTCGAGGAAAAGCAACAAGAACGTGCGTGCAATTGCTGCCCAAGCATATAAATCTTCCGCCAATTTCCACAGTCTTTCGCCCTTCTCAGGGTCCCTGTTTATTGAATCAACACCACATGTTTTGCTCAATTTATTTGTCCAAGATGATATATCATTTTTATGCCGCTCATCCACGTGCTCGAGAGTCATAATCAGAGAAAAACAATTCAAGGCTGATCCTAGGAGGAATGCACACAAGGACGTAGTCAGAATTTCAGTGGCGAAAGCCTAATTCTGAGCTCTTTTTTGTTTTATCCGTTTTCTCCTAACGTATTGCTTAGAAATGTTCATAAAACCAATTCTCGCAGGATTTTGTTTTTGATAAAATCTTACCAAGAACACCCTAAAATTTTAAAAGTGCTGCTAAAGGATAAATAATCTATTGAAGCGCTTAGAACACTTAAATCTTGCAATTTTATTTCGGTTTCTCTCGTTGTGACTTTTAAACAAGCTAAAGATAATGCAATTTATCATTTAACGCCTTTTAAATTCACCCTGAGTATCAAATTCAATAATATTTAGCTCAGGAATATTCATTTCATCGATAAAATCTTATCTTGATGTATAAAACACTGATAAATTTGAGATATTAATAGAAGCACTTTACTGAAAAGTTTTTCTATCACCTCAAATGCATGCAAAAAGAAAGCATATTTTCGTGATTGAGAATAATTTTCAAGTGCATTTTTCCCTCAAAGATCCTCGTCAGAGGCAATAAAAGCAGCATATTTCTTCTTCTATATTGTGCACCTCAACCGTGAACATGCTATATACTGTGGAAATTTCATAAATATAGAATTTATGAATAGTGAATTGAATGCCAATTTGCTGAATTGCTGTGGACTTCCGAGAGAGAGAAAGAGAGAGGGAGGATTGGGGAAATAGGGCGGTATTTTCCATTTGATCCGTGGAACATGACACAGTCATGTTGCCAATAATGTGGAATAGGTCGTGACACTATTATATTTTGAGGAAAATATTTAGTCATAAATCATTGGATTTCCTCCTTCCTTTTGCACATTGCGCCATGTCTCAATATTCGCGATATTGAAACATTCTCAACACGAAGTTTTTCTTTTCTTGTCTCACTGATAATTTCGAGGTTTTTTTCCACGCATATGTTTTTCTTTGCAGAGGCTGGGAAAAGGCGCTTATGGAATAGTGTGGAAGGCAGTGGATAGGACGACATCGAAGACTGTGGCTGTGAAGAAAATCTTCGATGCCTTTCGCAATGTTACAGATGCCCAGAGGACATTTCGTGAGATTATGTTTTTGCGTGCCTTTCGCAATCATCCGAATATCATTCAACTTCTGAGCATTCATCGCGCCTCGAATCACATGGACATTTATCTGTCCTTTGAATACATGGAGAGTGATCTGCACAATGTGATCAAGAGGGGGAATGTCCTGAAGGACCCACACAAGCGATACATCATGTATCAGCTGGTGAATGCCATCAAGTATATGCACTCGGGAAATGTGATCCATCGTGATCTGAAGCCCAGCAATATTCTCATCGATAGCCAGTGTCACTGCAAGATTGCGGATTTTGGTCTGGCGCGTTCTGTGGCGCCACGGCAGACAGACTCAATGGCTGATGAAGAGGTGGGAGAACTCATCCTGACAGACTACGTGGCCACGCGATGGTATCGCGCACCTGAAATCCTCGTGGCCAGCAAGCGATACACCAAAGGCATCGATATGTGGAGTCTTGGCTGTGTTCTGGGCGAAATGATCCGCGGTAAGCCTCTGTTTCCGGGCTCCAGCACGGTGAATCAGGTAGAGAGAATTGTGTCAGCGCTGCCGGATGTCACACAAGCGGATGTGAAGGCTGTGGGCGGAGGCTTCGGGACGGTGCTCTTAAACTCCACAGGTGCCAAGCACGGGAAGGACATTGCCATTGATGACCTTCTCCATGGTGGAGCTGAAGACGGGATTGCTCTCACCAAGATGCTCCTCATTCTCGATCCAGCCAAGAGATTGACGGCCAAGGAAGCTCTTTCTCATAGATATGTGGAAAGGTAGGTGAATGATTTTGACTGGAAAACTCACAATGTCTTCCAACTAATATATCCTCTTTACAGGTTTCGCAAATCAATAGATGAGCCAGAACTCACGAAAAATGTTTTGCCACCTTTTCGGGATGATGTTCAACTGTCGGTGAGTGAGTATCGATCGAAGCTGTATGAATTGATGGCAGGAACGTCGTCCTTCACGCTGAAAAATGGCACCGTGGCGAATGGGAAGCCCAAAAGTCGCATTCCCAAATCCAAAGTGGATGCAGATAAGGTGGCGTGCAAGAATGAGATGAATAACTACCGTAAATTCGAAGTGAGAAGAAAGAGTCTCGTTCGAGATGTTGGTGAGAATAAGCTGAAGCCCATTCAGAATGTGCAGGAGAAAAAGGATCAATCGATGGTGGAATTGAATACGGAGATGAACAAGTGTCGCTTCCATCGCATTGAGAACAGCTCAATTCTGGATAAGAGACATTCATTGGATTCACAACAAAGTGGGAATCTACTGGCGAGGCGAAGTGCGGGGAAGAATGGCTCCACGAAGGTGGCCTACATAAGTCTCGAGGGACATAACGGAAGTGCCATCAATCGGACTCTGCCACAGTCGCGATTCACTGGACTCTGTCGTCACAAGAGTCTGGATGAGAGCCTGTCGCCGGCCGAAGGGAAGCCCAGCAAGTGGTCTCAGCCACTCACAAATGGCTCGAGTCTCTCGCATGAGTACTACGATTCCCGCTTGAAGAGTCTGGAGGAGAAGATTCGCAAGCATAAGCTGGAGATGTCGTCGATTATGAACCAAAGCCAGAAGATGAAGATCGAGAAGTTGGACTGCGTGCCCAAAGTGAATGGAACTGTGGGCAATTTAGCGCCAGTGCGTCGCAGAAAACCCACGAAACTCGATGGGCTTCCGAAACCCACCACGAATCGCGATCGTCAGTCAAAGCTGGATTTCTACGGTGGTGGCGATTGCTATCCTAGTGGCAGTCCCAAGAATGCCCTCAACAGTTGCGGAGTCATCTCCACCAGGGATTCCTTCAAGTTCCACTAAGAGCGGTCTTGGGTATTTATACGTCTATTTTTCTACAATAAAATTATGTGAATGTTCCACATGACAATAACTACATAGTTTTTCTCACGGCGATAAATAGCATTTTCCAACGAAAGGAAGTTGAGCTTACTGATTCTTCAGCTTTCCGTGAGGAATATCTTTAAGATACTTTACACTCAGTTCTAATCTAAAGTTATATTGAATCGATACGGAAACTAATCGCGTTTATTCATTCATATATCCTCAAGAAGTATTATTTATCATAATCTATTGTTGACTGTCGACTACCATTTGTACATATTTGTTCTGTATTTGTAGAACAACACGCGCAAAAAATTATGTTTTTGCAAGAGAATCGTGCAAATGAATTGGTCAAGTTTAACGGTGAATTTGAAGAAGAGAAACAGAATTTGACCCAAAAATTTCGCCTAAGAACACGTTCTTCGAGAATTCTTCGAGAGGTGCAAGAAAAAAAAATTTGCGTGGGCAAGAGAAAGGTCTGCCGATGATCTTCCCGTTACGTTTTGCAAATATACTCAATATGAATCCGAAAAAAAATCTTCCCAAATGGAATGATCACGATTTTAGCGTCGTCTCGCCTGGAGAAGGAATACTTGCTGACCTGTGTGGATCATCTGGTCAAGTTGATGATCTGCAGGTGAGCGCTGTGCTTGGGTGTGTGTGTGTGTAATGGAAGAGGTGAAGAAAAGCATGATAATTGCCGTTAGTTTCTTCTGCATTGAGAATAGCTGGGATGCTGCGATCTCTCGTGGATGAGGAACATCTTCAGTTGGTTGTTGAACTCTATCGTGAGCAGATCGCGATAAAATGTTGCGACTATTGCTTGCTCTCTTCCTAATCACTCTTGTGGTGGCATCTCCTGTGCCAAAGGATTCTGCGGAGTCGTCATCGGCGCAGGATGCGGAGCCAGAGAAGCCTCAGGGATTGGAGGTGCCAAAGCCAACGGCGGAGACTCCGCACCACGAGGAGATCTATCCCGGCGATCTGTCGCCACCGCATTTACCTCTGATGCCACCCAGGCCTATCAGCGATGAGAGACGTCGTCTGATCTTCTATGATCAGCGACAATCGGGCAAGTATAACATCCGTGCTGATCTGGACAACTTTATGATCCTGGTCATTCCGTCATCTCCCGCATCGTCATCCACGGCTTCTCTGCTGGACTTCCTCTCTCGCGGCGCCATGCGGAGGAATCAGGCCAAGCACGCTCCCAAGAAGAAGTACACGAAGATCCACAAGCTGAACGTGAAAAAAGAGGGTGGAGTCGAGAGTGATCACGCCGTGGAGATTCCTGCTAAAGACTCTCCTATTCACACGATCCCACCGCAGGCCACCGCTGTGGATCACTTCATCGAGGGCAGAACGCCGTACAAGGTGGATATCTCCAGTACGGCGCGCACGGAGCCCGAGGCGAGGATCGACCTCGCGCCGGTGGCGAAGACGCCGGTGTTGCGCATCATACGGCCGGAGGAATCGAGATCAGGTAGTATGTACCGGCCGTGGGCTTTCCCTGGTGCCACATCGTCATCTATCACCTTCCGCAACGCCAAATCCCTGCCCACATCCGCCAGAGGCGAGCTCAACATTGCGTCCAATTCCGTTGCCACGAGCCTCTTTCCCACACTCGCCACAGACTTCTCCCGCTCCCCGCCCCCTGACAGTGAGGACGAGGATCTGGCTGACACGAGAAATTCCTTTGACAGTCTAAACGTGGGCAACGTGGACGCCTTCGGGGTGCCGGACAAGCAGTACAACGAGGACTGGGAGTGGAAGTTGCTGGGCGCGGAGGAGCAGTGCGGACCGGATCGCAAGAGGGACAGCTATGGAATCTGCCAGTTCGTCCCCGCATAAATTTTTGCATCAGCAAATGTGCCTTATATTATGCGCTGTAATCGATAAGACTTGAATTTAATAATAAATTACTCGTGACTCTTCTGGCCAGTGCTGTATAAATCTCTCCCTTTTCCCACAATCTCCGCAGTTATGATATAATTTGAAAAACATAAAAAGCATGGGCGTAGGCTGAGTGGTGTTAGAGCAAATTTAGGTACAGTAGAAAGGGTTGAGGTAATCCCAAGGGTGATCCAATATGAATTCCAAAGAATATCTGGTTCAACCGGTTCGACAGATGCAACAAAGTCAAGAAGAAAGTGAACATTTCGAGGAATTAAAATGGAAAAACTTACGGGATATAAAGGGATTCGAATAGGCCTATAGAACAGAGCAGATTACAAGGATCGAAATAAGCAAAACCCTGAAGCGGTTTTTTGTATCTTTTAAAGTTCTAAATTACATATAAAACTGGTCTGGCTTTAGAAAATTTTCTCTTCCGTTTCCGATTTTAAGATGTCTTAAATGGTAAGAAGAATATAACTATTAAGACCGCAAAAAATCCTTGTTATTCCTTACACAAACAATTTTTTATGAGAATATCTTCTGTCAAATCTTTTACAAGCTCATGTTTTAGAAAAAAAAATATAATTCAATAACTACGCCCATGATGAGTTAAATATTCCGAGCAATCTGCAGAGTTCCCAGTGCATTGGTTCCTCTTTTTGCAAAAATAAGTCAATAGCGCGTTCTACGTATGTATCTAACTGGAAAACATTGAGTTTATTGAACTATACCAAGAACCTGCCTCAGAGAATTTCTCCGCGAAAGAACTTCCAGTGCTGAGTTAGTGTAAATGCTTGTAATGACATAATTTATTCACCGATTAGTTTTTAATGAGACAATTCCTAGAAAATGCCCTTGAAGATGAGAGCAAAGATGAGGTGGATGCGCTCAGTGATGCAGCCTCGAGATACTTCTCCTAGGCTGGCATCAGACGCGAGAGGAAGCGATTGAAGATGGGCCTGAAGAAGGGATGCTTGTTCCTGCGATGGGCATTGAAGCGCCTTTTGTTGTTCTTGGGAATATTCTCTTCCAGATGATCTGGCAATTGATCTTGAGTCGTGGCGATGATTTCGTTTTCTTCAGCGGAAACGTCCTTCGGAGCAGGAGTCGAGGGAGGCGCTGGTGGCGTGATTTCTAGGCTGATTGTTTGCGTTGAGGCCTCTGAGGACTCTTGTGATTCTTGGGAAGTTGGCTTGTCTGGCTTCGCGATGGTCTCGATATATGGCGATTGGGAGATCTCCTGGTCGTAGTAATCCGTGTCGTCTGAAGAGTCACTGAGCGGTCCGCCACTCATGATATCCAGCGCCAGTCCGCTGAGGAGTGACAAGGCCTGCGTGCTCACGGCTTGACTCACTGGCACCAGAAAAGCCACTCCGTCCAAATTCACCCTGATATTCTCCGTGCCGTTCTGCTTCTGGTCGTAATACAGATCATAGTCCTCGTACATGTCGTCCTCCTGGCCAAAGCCACCGAAGAATCTGGTCGGCGATGCTCTGATGCCAATAACGGCCACCGTGAAGATGATGAATTGTCCACAAGAGAGCCAAGCCATTTCGCGTTCTGTTCCGCGTCTCGATTTCAGCACAACTGACGCGAATCCGCGGAATGGCGACAGAATCACCACGCAGAGTGCGCGCTGAAACGAGTTTGCATCCACCCTGGAATCTCTGCCAGGTCATCACGAGACGTAAAACCTGGAGAAGTACAGTGACTTTATGCTTTATTTCTCTTTTTTGGTATTTGGTATAATTCTCAAAGGCACATTTTGACTTATTTTGATTCAAATTGGAAAATTCTTCCGCCTCTCTGCAGAGACATTTGATTCAACAGCGTGTGTCCAAAAGGTGGTTCCCTCGAGTGTGACTTTGGTACATTGAGGAGCAGTGGTGAGTATTGCTTGATCTACCGGAGTCCACCTGAGTGGCCCAGGACGGGGTACAGGAGTGTCTCGAATGGCGTGCCGTGGAAGGTCTTCAGCCAAATGGCGCTGGTAAGATAATTCTGTAGCGCCTGGTAGAATTCCTCGCGTGTCTTCGGCTTGCGCCGCTGCGTGCTGGCCATCAGGCAATTCACGCCGCAGCAGATCCTCTTCGCCGGCAACATCATGTCATAACTGTTGCCCCAGACATCCTGCTCCGAGTCCAGGGCGTGCGAGCGCAGAGACTCCAGCGTCACAATCGCCTCGAGGTTGTGCGGGCGATTTGTGTATGTGTCTGGCTTGATAAGTTCCTGCAAATGTGGTCCCAGCACCAGATTGCTGCCGGATTTTATCACAGAATTCGCGATCTGCGCCAACTCTTGCACCAGTCGCTTGTCATCAACGCTGGCAGCCTCACCAGGCTGATGCAGGTACCTGCAATCACAGTTAATATTCAGATTGATCGACTTTGCGAAGGCGGACAAATTCCTTAGCATGCTTAATTGATTAAGTGCAAAATTCGGTCATTGGCTAAGTTCGGGGTCTTTTACGGAAGACTATTTTACGGTAAACTATTCTTTTCATGCCGTTCATTTCCCATTAAACTGTTTAAACTCAACTTATTGAAATTTGATGTCCGTTTATCCTCTAACAATGTGGATTTTGCGGATTTCAGTATTTCAAGATCACTTTTAATTTTCCGCTCTAACATGAATTAATGGATTTTATCATTAATTTCTTGTTGCTTATTTTTCTTCAAAAACTTTTCAAGTGAAATCGACATTGAACTTTCAATTTTTTAACTCTAAATTTTGAATAGTCACAGATTCAAGTGGAGAAATGCTTTGCATCGTCATTGGAAATCAGATCAATGCGAAAATGCTACAAATATCCAACTGAATTGAAAGAGTGGGCGACTTAATCAAGCACGAACTTTCAGCATGACCAGCAGTGATAAATCAATAAAAAGTGTGGCCTTTCGCCAGGGCATTTGCGCCAATTTTCCCTCGACTCCCGAGTGCGCCTCTGGCACTTTCCTTTGTGCTTTTTTTTATGGGGGGAAAAACACTGCGAGCTGGCCATGCGGAAGGAAGCCTTACCTGAGCGGGTGCATGAAGAAGCGCGTCGGTATGGCCACTGTGTCGGCGAGGTAGAGGATGGGGAACGGCGTGTCGGGCGCGGACTCATCCCTGAACTGCACGGTCGCGCTGGTGTCGTGATAGATGTCCGCGAAGACCACGGTGTGCGGCCCGCCCAGGCGCAAGGCACTCGGCGACTTGGCGTGCATGGACAAGAGCGTCTGGATAGGATCGTCGGCATCCACGGGCGAGGAGATGCCGATGAAGTTGTACGCGGCGGAGAAGATAAAGTTGAGCGCCGAGGCGAGGATCTGCGGGTGGATCTTATTGTTCACAATGAGATCCATGAGGACGTTGCAGGCCTCGGCGGAGTTGCACTGCAGGATGGGCTGCGAGAGTGTGCAGGAGCCGCAGCGCCACTCTATCTCGTGCTCCTCCGTCTCGCGGCGCAACCAGGCCAGCGGATTGAAGCAGATGCGGCACAGGCGACTCTTGGTGCGACAGATGTCCGCCAGCATGTCCTCCACCAACTCCAGGTTGTCGTCCAGCAGTTGGCGCTTCATGTAGTTCCTCCACAGCTTGAACTCGATGTGACTGTGTGCGAGAGAGGCAGAGAAAGCGCGTGAGTTTACCAGTTTCCCCAACGCCAGAATCGCGCGCGGGCTATTTTAATCCCCAAGGACGCGACGTGCGAGAGATGAGGAACTTTTCCAAGCAGCTCAATTTTCCGTGTCGCTGCTCAAACTGAATCTGGGACCACTTCCTCACTAGGCACAGTCTTTTCCTCCGCAGCCAATGGAATTCAAAATCAATAACCGTAGCTTATTGATTTTAGCGCGCGCCGCCTCGACAGAGTGCAACAAGTTGACGGCCATTCTAACCTTGTATATTCGCAGAAGATAAAATAGGACAGCTCCCTCTCGTCGAATTCGCATACGTCCAGCAGTGCGTGATCCATTCTGCTGGCTGAAGGCACTCTCACACGCCCCAATGAGACTCCCGGTAAGCAAAAGAAAAGCGAGAAATGGTACAAATAAACAAACGAGGCACTCCACCAGACCACTTCCGACGACTGCCGCGCTGTCACGATGTCGCTGCACTCGCTTTCGATGATCAGGGTTGGCCATTCGCCGTGTCGGCGAATTTTCGAAATTTCCAACTTTTCATAAATGGGAAAACGAAAATACAGAAGCTTTCATCTTCACGCAAGAAGTAAAGTTACATCTGAAGTAAAATAATTTAAAGGCCGTAAAAATTCACAATTTATTTCATTACCAATTTGATGAATGCATTAAAAATTCGATGTTTTCGCACCTTACAGTTTTTTCTGTATTTTGGCCAATCCGCCGCGGCGCCATCATTTTGTATGTTTACCGCTCTTGATAGCTTTTCTCCACACTTTTGTAACTCTTATTTCGCCCCGTTCTCTTCGTTCTCCACCGAAAGTACCGTGAAAGTTTTCTTCGTGCCTCTGGGTGTTTGTGGCTCGTCGTGTTGGTTGTTCATCTCTGTGATTCTGCCCAATTTGGGCTTGGTGCTTTTGGTGCGAATGGAAGCGGCCGGCATGGAGCTTCTGCGGAAAAACGGCGCCCCATCGCGCGTGTCAGGGATGAGGAAGCTGCTGCGGACACGCTCAGGTAATTTTGGATAGATGTTGTCCCGGTAAAGAGCCTCAATGTCCTGTATTGTGGGGCGAGTGGACGGAGGCTGCACCAGAGCGCCCCATGTGTTCTGATTTCCAGTGCTAAGTGGCATAAGCGCTCCTCTGCTCATCCTCCTTCTGATCTCCGCCCGCACATCGCTTCCGTGATTCTCTGAGTGCGCTTCGAAGCCGTCAATTTCGCGTTCGAGGTTCTGCCTGAGGGACTCGGCATCGTCAAATTGGCAGGTCTTGTTGTAGTCTCTGGCAATCTTGACGTCGTGCTTCCAGAAGTGTGTGTGCGTTTTCGTGACCATGGGAGCGACTTCCTTGATCCGCAGGATGAAGACGCCCATTAAATAGATGGAGATGACATTGGTGAGAGTCACGCCGAGGCTGACTGTGGCCTGCAGGATCAGTTCCGTAAACTGGTGACTTGAGTACTGAGATGTCTTCACGAGGTCTCTGAATCTGGTGTCGGACTCCTGGCCGAACAGATTGTAGAACGCCGCCACGGCCCACAGAAACCCAGAGTTGACAGCTGGCGGCAAGAGGGACGCCGAAATCGCCACTCCAGCCAGTGAGCCAGCATTCTCGCCCAGAATCCCTATCGCCACAGCCGCTCCCGAAGGCAGAGCAATCAAGATGCCCACAACAAGAGAGTGGAGCTCACATCGGCTCAACATTTCCGGCGTTAATCCCTTCTGGAGCCCATAGTATCCGTCGAAAATGCACACAATCAGACCAAAGGAAAATCCCACCAGAATGCTAAGGAGAATCCCTAGAAGTTCATTCGTGACTCCTAACTTCGTCAGGTTTCGATCCTTGATCACTGTTCCGAATGTCGCCGCCACGATGGGGCCCATCAAAGGAGAGATGAGCATGCTGGCTGCCAGGAAAAGGGAATTGTTCTCCACCAGGCCGAATCCTGCGAGGAGGCTGCAAAGAAATTCAAGGATTTATATTGAATCCAACACAGATTACATGGTATATTTCATCTACAGAGAGATCAAGAAGTGTTCATCAAATGCACAATAAAGCAACTCAGGTACTCAAAGAGTTTACAGATTTAGAAACCATTGATATTATAAAAAAAAATCCTCAAATTCGGTTAAATTGCTTTACGTTAAAAACCAGTTAGTCGCGGTAATTCAGATCAATAAATTATATTTCAGTTAAAGTTACGAGTTCTTTTAATTAAATTTTCCTCTGTGGTATGCACAATACTCGCTTAATTAATCGTTTTTAATCCTTTTGCTCTCGGTACGAGTTTTATATTATTGTTGGGATAATTAAAATCCGTGTGTTCACAGAAGAAAACATGCTGTGAATGAAAATTGCGGGAAATCCTGCATCCTCTAGTAGATGCACTTTTGTGGACTTTCTATAGCTATGAAATGAATATATGTGGTGCATTGAGTGTTCACACTCCTTCTCTGTCGCTCTGTCGGTCGCAGAGGCTTGCAATGACTCACGCGGCCACGACGATAAGTGTGACGAAATCGAATCGAATCTCTGCATTGACCCTCACTTGATCCACCAGTTGCGCGACATTGAGGCGAGCCGTGACCGAAGCCACGAATCTCTCCCAGATGCCCTCCTTGTGCTCCAGATCCGTCTGCGAGGCCGTCCGACTCGCGGCATCCGCCGCAAAGTCGTGCACGGTGCAGGGCGTGAGCGTGATGGTGGAGCCCTCACGATAGCCGATGCCCCACTCGCTCAGCCACTGCGTGACCCGATCGCACCTGTGTCCATTCTCCAGTGTGAAAATGATCTGCCACTTTTGGCTTTTGCGAACCTCCGTCCAGGCGGCTCCGGAAATCTTCCCTCTGGCAATTATTTCCTCAAGGACGCGCTCCATTGAGGATTCTGGCGGAATATTGAGCTCGTGAGTGTCCTTCGTTGCCTCTTGGCTCGCCTTCTGAAGCACAACTTCGCGCAATCGCTCATTTCTGTTCTGCGCGGGAATTATTGTCGCTTTTTCGTGTTTATTGAGCAATTTGTCCGTCGGTGAAGATTCTGTGGCGTTGTCTTCAGCCTCTGTGTGGCCTTTTGCAGCATTTTCCTGAAAAGCATGCGATCATCATTCTGCGATTAACAACTTCATGGGCATTTAGATGGAAAATTTGAGACAGATGTTTCTCTTTTTTTAGACAAAGTTCCGTGACTTTTTCCACACGAGTATTTGGAGAGATTCTAAATATTCACATTAGTGCTAAAAGAAGTGGCAATATTTGTTTTGTGCTTATTAAATTAGACAAATTAGCAGATAAGATGACAAAGCGTGTCGCAGCGTCTCGTTCATCTGCTTTTTTGGACACCATTTACTTTGGCGAATTGTTCTAAAGAGCGCGCATGCTTTTAAAACACAGGTTCAAGACGGAATAATCCAGTTTTAGTGTGAATAAGAATTTGTCCGCCAGTTTATTTTCTTTTTGAGATCTATTGAATAAAATTCCTCACTGGCCTTCGGCGGTCAATTAAAGTGTTTTTTTTCGATTGTTTTTATGAGATCAACATTTCAATCACTTCTTTCGCATGAAAGGTCTCTGCTTGGATATTTAATTGACCCATTTATCAGATGAAAAGCACTTTAATGCAATACACACATTTGTTTCTTCAAATTCTTACAATATTTTTCCACACTCACAGATTTTTTAGTATTCTTGTGATCTTCAGGTGTGAAGGAGTCCTTGCTGAAGAAGGACACTTTCTTCTCACTGAGATTCTCCTCCTCCTTCTCTGTGGGAATTATTATCAAAAAAAGCACACCATCCATATTTTTGAGCCACCCTCGCGCTGGGAGGTTTGTTTATTTCACTATTGCAAAAGGCAAAGACACCCAAAAGTACAGTCTAAGCAGCAAATGTTTATATCTGCACCTCGACGCAGAATTCAATGTGAAACTGATTTGAGAAGTGACTTTGGAATGTATGGCAATTTCGAGAGGCTGTGAATCAAATCATATGATGATTGTGGGCACTGGAAGGAGGAGGGGACAAATGTCTGGGTGGCAGAGAGACACGAGAGGCGTTGTAAAAGTGCCCCAGTTGAGATTTGCAATTAAATCACCTGTTAATTGCAATAGAGTCACACGACGATGCTCGGGTTGCTTGTATTGCAAAATCTGCCAAAGGCTATTTACATTTAAGATTTTTTTCCCTTCATAATAACTGCGATGTATTTTATCAGCCTGACTTTAGAGAAAATTCATAACATTGTGGTGACACTCTTTGTTGATTAATGGATTAGCATGTAATTATTGGGATACGAAAATGTGGTAACGAGATTCAAATAATTTGATATACAGTGGAGATAATTCTTTGTATTTGCTCATAATAACAGTGTTTAAATATAATTAATTGTGTTTGCAAATTGCAAGATATTAGCATTTCTTGCTTGTGATTTTGCCTTTCAATCAGTTCTTTTAAATCTAATTGAAATTTTTATCAAATTTCTGTTCTCTAAGTTTGGCTAATCATAATTTAATACATATTTTGTGCAAATTGTGAAAAACCCGACTTTGTTACGCAAATTTTAACATAACATAATAATAGATTAGAAGATTTGGCATTGCTATTGACTTGAATACTGAGGAACTTTGAACTCTTGGTTCCGTTTAAAAATCACTCCTATTGCACTGCTTTTTGTTAGGTAACCAGATATGAATATTGTGCTAATAATAGGTGTCAATTAAAAAAAAAAAACTACATTCTACACACTGACAGAAAAAATGCAATTAAAGTCTTTTTCGAGACAGTGTAAAGAGTCTCTCTAAACAGTGAAAACATACTTCGGAAAATTCCTACAATCACATGAGTGAAATTATTTATTAAAATGTTGCAGTGCGAAATTGAAAACATACTTGTAAATTAATTACATACAAAGAGTGACATAAATATCTCCGGCGGTATTATGGATATAAGTCTGAGTAAAATATGCCCGAAAATGTTTGCCAAATGTATTTTCCTAAAATTAGAGCTCATTAAGATGAATCTCTTCTTGCATCACTCAGCCTTTATCAAACATACAATTAGCTGTGCTTGTCTCCAAGATCTTTCTGTAAGTTTATCAGTGTAGTATATGAATGTACTTTCTGACATTAATCAGAGTGCTTCTGTGCGCATTGAGTAATGTTTGACGACTAGTATTTTTCCCGTTTATACACTCAACAATGTTCTGTTTACTCAAGAGTTTAGGTAAGATTTTAAAGTGTTGGAGAGTGTGGCAATGAGGAGACGAAATTGGCGATAAGATTTTCCATCGGAGAAACAAAGTGAAGGCCTTATCAGGATCTAAAAATATGGTTTACAATCAGTGTGAATTGGATGTAATGAAATCCGTATTTGGTTTCCACTTTCTAGAATTATCTAGTTTCAATTGAGATTATTATATTGTGTATGATTTGTTTGGTATGAGAAAAGGCATGCAGAAACATCTGATACGAGTCATGTGGAATTATCATTGTTGCGAACGTTGTCAAGATGTTTGTTATGGGATTTTTCATATTAGTTAGACTGCGAATTCAGGGAATTTTTGCACGTTGTTTGCACAGTTGTGACTGTGCTCCTGCATGTGAAACATTTCCTATTTTGTGTGCTCTTTTTTTTATGAAATCTAATTGTTCTTTAATGGGATTAAGATTGTAAATTTAATCCACATTTCTTGTGTCACTCATCCGTAATGTCCTCTTAAGTACACAGTGTTAGCAGGAGATTTTATGAGATTTCACGTGATTTCTTACAATGGTGGTGATCCTGTTACTCACTCTATCTAAATGGTTTGCGGCTGGCAGTTCTGAGAGGGACAGACAGACGAGATGTCTTATGTATGTGTTGCATTGCAAACATACGTAGGTAGAAAATAGAGCATGTATATTTTGTTGGGAAAATGCTGTATTTTGAATTACGGCCGAGAAGCTCACAGGGAAATTGTATATAAAGAGAAAGAGAGAAAGAGAGAGCGAGAGAGAGTAAATAATAATGGGAATTGAATGAACGTTGGACGCATGCGTTGAGATCAGCTGATTCAATGGCACCGAGACGCCTAGACAGTTCCAAAGTCTATTCGACGGTGTTGTCGAAAAGGGATACTCAATCGTAGCTTCCTGTTCCTTAAGAGTTTTTTTTCTTGCGCTCAAAACCATTTAACTATGATTTTAATTACTTCTATCTCTTCATTCTGATGTTTATTGTGAGGGAGGCGCTCGTGATTGGTGGTGATTTTGTGCAGATGTTCAGGAATGGTTTCGTGTGAGCAGCCCCTTTCGATATTCTGTGAGACGTCAATATGTTGGCCTCCGGAGAGTGAGAGTATTATGTGCATTCTGTTGAGAGAGAGAATCCAGAGCGAGATTTTCCACCAAAAACTCACAGTGTTTCAATGTGGCCGAGTGAGAAATGGCGGCCAGTTTCAGTGAGAATTGTCTCTGGGAAAATCATCACCTAAAGACATTTCACCAATTGCTACCACTAAAGATACTTGATTGAAATCAAATTGACGCCTTGTGTCCGCGTATCGTGTCTGTATCTTTGTTGGATGTGCGGTGTTTCTTTTGGCCTTTGCCTTTTTTCGGTCCTACATCGGTGAAAATTGAGGATTGACGTGTGGGAAATAGGGAGAGAGAGGAAGAAAAACTACGTTATAAGAATTGATTTGGGTTTGCGTGTTTTAAGTGAATTGAATCGTATAGAATTTTGTTGAGTTTCCTCAGTCCTCCAGCGATATTTTCCTCTCGATGCTCTGGAGGGATTTTGATTGAAAAGAAAGCTTTCTCTCTGTAAGTTTCCATCGTCAGAGGGTTACATAATTTTTCATACATAACGAAAAGGATTTTTCTCTTGTCACACTTCTAAGGTCAAACTATTACGAGTTCTTTTCTCATCATTCGCGCTAAATGTGATGTTTCAAGAGAGTAACTCACTCATTTTCACACACATTTTCTCCATTTTTTTCGCTGTAGAGCAAATATTATATTGAGTGAATTTATTAGAGAGCCTTTCCGTATCCCAGAGATTAATTTTTATCTGTTTGGTGTCAGTATATATTGTATATTTATGGTAAAATGAAGCGGATTTCTGCAGAAAATCAAATATTCAAGGTAGTCTAGCTGTACATATATAATCCTAGTGGTGTAATATTCTTTAGTCACATGTTATATTGATTTTGCTAACCTCTCTTTCCACCGCTGGAATGTGATGCTTTAGAGGGCATCGAAAGTGGCACGTTTTCACCCCTTTTTCGCGATGTCAGACGAACTGCAAAATTAAATTTGATTCAAATTGAATTCTCAAGACTTCAGTCTATGCGTGGAAGAAATTTCGCACAAAAATATGGCTTTAGAATGTTAATGCAGAAAGTCTGCAGATATTCGGTACGGATGATTGAATTCTGAAATCATAATTGTATGTTTGTAGAAGATACCATTTTCCATCTTGATCCGTGTCTCTTGCCTACGAATATATTTATATTATATCTATCGCTTTATTTCACTTTGTTGACGATTTCACAAACATAAACTGCAGATTCAGTGGTCTGCAAGAGGATCTGCTTTTTGCAAATAGATGCTATCTATTCACTGTGCTGTGTGAAGAAGGTTCAAAAGACAAAGATAGAATTCATATCGTCATTGCAAGACAAATACTGAATTCTTGTGACCTTCTCGCAGTCTCACTGCGAAGGCAAGACTTTGGGTGGGATGTTCATTATTCCGGAGGTGAAAAAGTTGATGGATCTTCGGTGCTATAGAGAGTATAAATAGACAATATATCTGGAAGAGTCGCGACTGTGTTCAGAAACAAATGGCCTAAATGTTTGTTCAGTGTATGAGGATGCTTTTGATGAGAGATTTTGCCTAGATTTTGTGCTAAAAATGGATTAGCCAGACATTTAGTTGTGTTTCTCGACACTCCTATGCAAGAAGACAGCGTGGAAATATGCGCAATTTAGCAAAATACATTTTCTATAGCATCAGAAATGGGCGGTTTCTAGATAACAGATCAGGATATGAGAAAATACAATGTTATCAGGACGAAAAATACTCTGTTGGGGACGTCTTGCCACGACAGAAGCGTTATATTTGGAATTAAAAGTTTGAATTGCGCTTCAAAGTGATTCTTGCATTTTGAATTGTTCGCAAAAAGTTTAGCTCTCTATAAATCAAGCACACCGAGTGCTTATCATCGCTCTTTCATTTTGAAATTCTCGATAACACAAATGAATATGTAAATTCTGCTTAGCCACATTTTTTTTATCACTCTTCTAAGCAAATATAATGTTCCACTTTCAACTCTGTTTATATGCTCTTAATGTGATTGAGTGAGAGAAATTTTCGAGAATATATAGTGTCATGGTGTTGTTTGCCTCACAAGGATTTTCTTCGGACAATTTTTCTATGGAGTTTGCTCACAAGACACATAAATTTTTATGAATGTAAGCCTTCGTCGTGGTTATTTTTTGGACTTTTCTTTGGTAACCAGCAGAAAGCAAAGAAAATTGAGAAATTCAAGAAATATTGCGCATCTCTTCACTTTTCTAAGCTCTCTTGTGCATATAGGCGTTGAGAGGACAAGAAGGACATTGTTGCGTAAATTGATAAGTGGTGTGGGAAATCCAATGAGGACAGAGCCTGGGGTGAACTTTTAATGAATTTCTCACTAGTGCACAGTAATTGTGTTTTGCTTGTTAAATCCATGGTCTGGGGAGTGGACAAGAGTTCAACACTGTTAGCGTGATATATGAAGTATGTAATATTATACATTCCTTTAGATTATTGCATATAAATTGGGTGGATTTTTTCTTTGACAAACATTGAAAAGGCGCAGATATTTAAACAAACTCGTGAGCCAAAATTCTTTATAGTAAGAAAAATCTCATCGCTATTTGATGGCAGTTTCACGTGAATACCACATATTTTTCTCACTCACGACTTCAGTTTAAAAAATCGTGATTTTTCTTCAGGAATTCTCTTCTCTATTTCCTCGCGAATTTCTATGTGGTGGAAATGCCATGAATTAGAATTCAACTGCTTACCATATTATTTATTTTTTTTGTTCAGCTATGTGAAGAAAAGATAGTTTATATTTTGCCTTGTGTGTATGGTATATAAGGGAGTGGATTTCGTGTGTTTGTGCGGCGCCTCGGTGAGTTTTGTTACTCACTGAAACGTTCAGTTTGTGTGTGACGCGGGATTCATTCACAACACGTCGAGCCGGTCTCTCGGCTGGTCTTTGCTTGTCTCCCAAACAGTTTGTGAAGTCAGATTTTCCTATAAAAGGTATATTCTACCCGTCAACTTAGAATGGAAATAATGGCCAGTGAAGTTGTGCTATTTTCGGAAATTGCAATCAATTGAATCACACACAAGTTCTCCAGTTGGAGAGGAACAGAGGCGAGAGATCTAATTTTAAATCTCGTGTTTTAATGTGAATGGTGAAAAAGTGGCAGCACATTGTCATTCTGAAGTGTGTCATATGGAATTACAATTTTAATTTAATTTCATTTTATAATTGAAAAGCGCGAGACGAGTTGAATAGTGAGGAGTGTTTGAGGTGGAATGAAGAGTATATATATGTAGTCATTATTTTTGCGGTCACAAGAAATCCATCAAGTTTCACCAGAAACTCACAACAGAAATTTGGCCAAATGGTAGGGAGGAAAAAACCACAATCGTTTCTGTGTGCCTTCCGCAAATGATGAAATATCTTGTGTCAGTTATTTTTTCTGCAAATAACGATCCGCCTGACTTTCAGTGCGAGTCGTTCATCGCGATATGTTTGAAAAGAACATTTGTTCTCCACGGGTAAATTCTTAGAACGGGTCGCTTACAAGAAACACAGTAATATTTGATGGATTTCCACGTGCAAAGTCAAGTTCTTGCTCATTCTCTTCTTCCCCAATTATATGCGACTTTACATATTAAGCGAACACTCCTTCGTTCAGCGCAGAAACTTGTCTGCGTATTCTCTTTGGCATATCCGCAGTGAAGAAGTTGTGGAGAGACAATCAAGTTTTTAGCTCGCAGTGTGACTCATTTGATATTCCACTTGCAAAATCCCAGCCCAAGTGCAGTGATTATAGGCTATTACTCAAGAGGTCATGTTTGTGAGGCGTGAATTTTATCATCACAATGTTGAGGAAATTCATTAATTTCTTCAAATGTGTGACGATTGCGAAGCTCATTTCCATCGTCACTGTCAATGTCAGGGGCAAAAAGAACTTTTAATACTGTGCCAAATGATTAAATAATATAATGTATAATGTTGAGAGGAAGAAGCGCGATAGAGATAATCAGCTGTTTGTGTGATAATGATATATGTTATAAAGCGAAATAAGTGTGGAAATAGTGTGAAAGTGCAGTTCAGCAATAATAGAGTTAGGGTTTGCTCGAAATAAATCAATGCGCGAAGAAGATACTGAAAGAGAGAAAAATGTTCCCTGCATTCTCACTGTGTCTCAATTGAATTGCAATGCTTGAGTTCAATCGCACTACAAGTTCAACAGAGTTCACAAATTCTCTAAATTCAGACCACAATGCCACGGCGTTACTCTCTTATTTCTCATTGCACTGACCACAGGAATACTGCAAACAGGGTGATATTGTGCCATTGGCAATTTTTTTGTTGAGCCGTTCTGCTTCAATGAAGCCATAATTAATATTTCTTTAATCCTCAACTGCCTATAAATTTCCCACCAACACTGTAAGCGCACAAAAGGAGAAGGAAGCGAATGGGGAATAATCAAAACCGAGCAAACAGCTGGTTGAATCTCCTTGCCAGTGACGGCGTAAGAAGGGGGAATGTTGTGTCAGAGGGCAGAATGGAATGGAAGGAAGAGGCCAGACTCTACCTCTATTATCTCTTTTACATTTTGCTAGAAAAGAGGGACGGAAATGCCACAGTCACATTTAACCATGTGTTTTTAGACTTCTTTTTTTATCCCTCAAATGCCACTAACATTTCTCATATTTCCCTCTTACTCGGGCAGCAACTAAAGGAAGTCTTTCCTCACGAGGAAAAGGCACTTTGTATCATTATTATTTCCATCACTCTTACACAGACGCTTGCGTGACGTGGATTTCTATTAGATTTTGTTAAATGCTTCTTCTGAAGCTCTTTGCAGTGGCTGGCGAGACTCGTGTAAATAGAATGAAGGCGTTGTCTTCAGATAACCATTTCTTCCCCATCTTCTATGTTCAGAAAATGTGTCTATATGACAAAAATTCACGTGGGAGATGTGTAAGTTGCACAGAGAAAAATGAGTGGTAATTACTTGGTTAAAGTTAATAAATTGATTTCAGACTTTTCAAAAAATTCCTAACGTCCTAAGTCTGCAATAATGGGTTTTTTCACACACTGTAGTTACTTGAAATCGTACTTAGATTATTGATTTTTTAAATCAATTAACTTTTCTCTGTGTAATATGTGTCATACCACTGGCGAAATATCAATTTTTCACACTTTCATAAAGTCTAAATTAATTTACAAAAATTGGCAAAAGCAATGTTTTCCGAATTCGAAAATAGACCAGGATTTTCTCATGTAGAGAAAAAAATGACGTGTGCAGTGGAAGTTCAACAGGAATGTCGTTTTGAATATCTAAATTTATCCTAAATAAAAATTGTATAAATATAGAAGAGTGAAATATTAATGGGGATTGTTTATTGAATATGACTTTCACATACTCTAGTAGTCAAATTTCGAGACTGTTTATCCAATAGATTTTCACATTCATCAAATGGAATTACACGTGTTAATTCTGTATTTCTATTGCCCTCTAATAAACGCTAAAATCTCTGCTTTGTACACAATGTAACGCGTATTTTCGCTCAATTATCTCTTCATCGTGATTAATGCTCCAAAGTCGCACATTCCATTGTAAAGCGCCATAAGCTTACGTGTGTAATGGATAATTTCGTTGCAAATAGAATGGCTTTAAATGGCTACTCATGAGTCTAGCAGGGATGAATATTGGAGATAAGCTCAAATTGAATTCCTGTTGTGGGGCTCGTGAGTTCCCCAAGGGATCACAGTTCATCTGTGTGCACGATTCTCCCTCGTCGAGCTCGCAAGTCCTAAATTTATATCACCTTCGGTGTCATTGAGTGTTATTCTTGAGGCTGAGCCGGAGGATTGTGTTTGTGGGGTGGAAGTGATGATAAATATTTAAGTGGAGGAAAATCCTTTACTAATGGAATTTTCTCTCTTTCAGGTGCACTCACTCGGCTGTTGGCAAAGAGATCATCAATGGCGGTGGGAAAATGACTTGTGGTCTCATCTGAAATCCAAGCCTGAGTCAACTGGACACTTTGAGTGAACTGGAGGTGAATTAAGTGACACGTGAGACAGTTTTTCAAGTGTGCAGAGGCGACACACAATTGAGAGTGGATCCTTAAAGACGCCAAAGACAAAGAGAAGAAAGCACTGTGATTTTTTTTATTCCCGTTGTCTGCTGGAGAATGACAACGTCTCTGCTGCAACTGGAGATGAACCTTTCGCGCCAGGGATGCTGCAAGAGATCATCGAAGGCAGCAAATCTCGCTAAAGAGCATCCAGCGAATGAATGTAGTCAATTTTTCCCCCATGTCCATAGTATATATAGTGAGAGTATTAGTTTAATTTGTCACGGTGGCGTCCAGCTGTGTCGTCGTGTGAGAAATTGTGGTAAAAGAGGCGGCAGCAGCAACACCACGATGGCCGTAATTATGGTGCTTTTAGGAGTGCTCTTATTTCGCACACAATTGGTTTTGGCGAGGCCCAATCGCACAACCGTCGAAGGATCTACGGATGTTTTCACGGTGAGTCCATTTTCCGTACCTCAAAGATGATTTTTTTTAATTGTTTTCGGAAGTTGAGATCGTGAGATTGGCAGTAAAAATTACTAATATGCAAAGGGAAGATGTGGTTTTAACTTAATTATCTTTCTTTAATTTGCTACGCCTCACTTTTTTGTGTATTTCAATCTAATAATAGACATTTAACACTTGACCTACATTTTTATGATGCCTTTTGATCATGCGAAATAATTCATTCAATTAATAATGTGGCGGAAAAAGAGTGATGACAAGTAAGATTTTTTGTTCATTCGCGAACAAATGATATGATATTTTCGTGCCATTTGAATTATGTTGCTATGTAACTTGCAATACAACGATAATTGATAGTGTGCTGGTAAATTGTTGAAAAGAGTCTACATACATAGTTAAATAGCTTTTAATACATGATAATAGATTTTATGGTGTGTTTTTTTTCAAGTTTAGTATTTCAGCCGGGAAGAGTTGTTGCATTTCTTTATAACACCGTATTTTGATGTTAGTTTTGGAAGAAATTCTTGATTTTTACTTCTCTTCAATTTCTGTCCATTTTTTCGGCTCAGAACTCTCGATCTGAAGTTGACAATTGAGCGTAAAAATTAAAAGTCATTACACAGAAAGCGATAAAAGATGAAAAAGAAAACTAATTGCATCATAAAAATGGCGAATCGACACTAATTGCTGCATTTTTCAAAGAAATATTCCCACGATACTATTGTGCATTTGAGCACACCAAAGAAAGATCATGGAAGAATGCAAGAAAGCCTTGAGCAATTAATTTTACAAATGTTTTGCGCATAATATTGGGGACGTTGTGAAAAGAATTCTTTCCTAAATTCAGTGTTAATTGACTGCCTATGAAGAAAATTTCTAACTCCTATAAATCTCAACATGGCTAATTCCAGCATTTTATGTCTTGGCTTTCGTTTCATGTCGCCTTTGCCCACAACATAAGCTGCAATTAAGCTTCATTATGGGGCAATAAATGATTCCTAAAAAATACGACCATAAAGCCAAGCAGGTCCTTTTCGATTGAGTCAGAGTACTTGAAAAAAAAATCCTTCCATTCCTTGTGTTTGGAATGTTGAATAAAATTTCGTGTGGAGGTGGAGCGATAAATCAATATCGGTGGCAATGGAGGGGAAAGTGGATCAAATTATTCACTGGAGATTATGGATGGATCGGCAAATTAACAATTCACCATGCAGTGACGCAGATTGGCGAATTTGCCAGAAATCTACAGACACATTTTGGGGGCGGCAAATGAACTTTAACCTGCGGGTGTGGGATGGCTTAGTGATAGATATGTTGTGAGGACATTTGCGCATTGAGAGAAGTAGTGGAAAAATTTGATTACAACCCACGCGTCTTTCTCTCGTTAATACGCAAAAGCTGCTGAATACATATTCTAATTTATTTTAAATTCACGAGGTTTGCAAACGGATTTCCATACTTTGGATTAATAAAAATCCAATCAAGGGAATTTGAGGATTCTTCCTCACTGGAGATTAGAGACAAAAATTACTCCGCAAGACAATTTCTATTTATAGATAGACAAGAGCAGTGCAAGTCGGAATTAATTCAAGCATTATTTTAATGGTCTTTTAATTGAAGATAGAAATCTGGGAGTTTCTGCTGCCTATCTGTGCCGCAATATAATAAAATTCAATGGTCGAGAGTAAACAAACACCGCGACATCCGACAATTACTAATTAATTCACTCTTGGGCTTCAAGTATTGTTTATCTTTCCACTGGTGAAGATTGAATTGGGTGGGCGCTTTGCATTCAAATCAATCTTTTTCGAGAGCTTGTGTCAACCTTGGCTATGACGGTCGGCTTTTGCGAGGCGCCGAAAAATCTCGGTCATCTTATCGAGAATTTACTCAACTATCTTATTCTTGCAGTGCGATAACAGAAATGATATTTATGACTTTCAATTCAACATGTAATTGTATTTTCTTCACTTTTAGACAAAATAAATCCACTGTTGGCCTCATTCTTTCTTTTCTCAAGTCATTGAGTATTATGTCTGATTAATTTTTTTTTTCACTCCTCAGATATTCTCCGAACAGAAGAAAATATAAACAAGTTTCTCAAGTTCACAATGTGATAAAAAAGAGTTTTCTTTATCTATGGTAACTCTATAACCTGATACTTTTTCAAGTGATTTCGATTGATTTCTTCAGACTAAACAAAGCCCTATTTAGAGTATATGATAAGAAATCCCAAAAGTGCCTCTCATGAGCTCTTACTCAATTAAGAATGTGCTCAAGATATGTGATTTATATGTATGTCTCACAACTGCTGATTGCCTTTATCTGTAAAGTGGACATTCTGAAGTGCTTTATTTACAATTTATCACAATTAAACACATTATGAAATAGTAATTATTCAAAAATTTATTTTCTTTTAGGTTTTCAAAAGATTCTCATAAGCTTGGAAATGTGATGTTGAAGCCCTTATTTTTACAAGAAATCTAAACCTTTCATTTGACAAATACTCTTAAATGTTTTCTCATACAGTTATATTTGAGAACGTAGACTGAATGTGTCCATGAAAAAATCCATTTAACCACCAATTTGACGGTAGAGGAGAAAAACGCATATAAATGTATGAGAAAAGTGATAAGAAAATGAATATTTTATTGCATTCTTCGTGTTGCGTAAAAAATGTATTAATATTACCTGAACCGGTGCGCGAGGGAGATATTTATGATGAATTCATGTACATGATAAAGGGAACAATTGCTGCATGTAAATTTTCCACATTACCGCATAATAGACACGTAGGGCGCTTTTGGGCAATTTTATGTGGGTGAAATGATAAATTTTGAAGGCTACTGCATTTAGTATTTGAGAAGTATTGATTGTTTTTGTAATTCCAGATCGATTCTGCGAAGCCCTCGGAGCTGAAATCGACATATCCGGGCTTGGATTTCGGTCCAATGGGCCCGGACAAGAGGTCGGCGGAGGTTTTGGCGTCCGAGCCAACGACTTCCAGTTCCCACAATGAGGCCAATGAGATATCGACAAGTGATAAGCAAAGTCATGGTGATGAACCCGTGGAGCACTATCCAGTGACGACGGTGGACTTTTCACGTGTGGAAACACCCTTCATCATTGGCATATGGATTCTTTCAGCGAGTATTGCTAAAATCGGTACGTGAGAACAAATAAGATATATTGTTCTTCTGGGGCACCATAAATTTCCGCAGACATTACTGTACGCAAAAGTGTCTTGTGAATTTGCGTGGGGCAAATACAAGATATTGACTGTTGAAAATTCAACACTCGAATGTATAATTTGCACAAATAGAATGTTGACAGAATGTGATGCCGCGTGACAAATTTAAGGCACACTTGTTACAATATTTGTATATAATTCCTTTCATACCAAAAGAAAAAAAAGAGAGAATTCCTGACGCATTTGAATGACGTGCGCAGTTTTCAGTGTATCAAGTGAGACATAATCAACAATAGATTGTAACTGAAGCATCCACTTTAATTATGTGGCTACCTTGAGCTGATTCGCCACTGCAGAACGGCTAAAATGACACGCATTTGCTAAAATTGATAGTTGATTTATAACCCGTACAAGCTCATTCAATTTATCAACCATACTGCATTCTCAATTCCACTTCAGTTTTACCACATATTTTGATATGTGGGTGGTGTTAGCTAATTAAAAAAAAACTGAAAGTACTATTTTTTTATCAGAGTGATAATGAGCTTCAATTGGTTGAAACATAAATGCTTACACCAATGGCGAAAAAAGGCACAGATTGTGTTTCAATAAATTTTTTATCATTCAATTTCTGAAAAAGTTCATTTATATTAAATATTTAAATTGATAATTAATATAATGTTGAATATTTAACATGTTTTCTCTCTTGCATTTATTCTTTTTAAATTTTGCTTTTTATAAAAATATTGTTTAAAAAAATTGTACTACCAAAAATGTTCGATATTGAGCTAAAATAACATTAAATGACTAAGAAGCTATTGATTGAATAACAATAAGTAACGACAAGTAATTCTAGCAATTGAGCAACGAAGAGAATAAATTGGTTTATAGCCTGTGTGTGTGTGTCAACTGAATGCGAGTGAAAGCATTTTATAATCTGCCGCATCTCTTTTAGTTGCCTGATAAGATCAATAAAATGTCCTCTGAAGCGGACATAAAACTCTATCGTTAGCTGTAATTGAGTGTACTTATAAAGAGCAAGAGAGAGGGACAGAGAGAATTTATGAAATGGCAATCGATACGTTTGCCGTCTCCACAGTGGCAATACATATGTTAAAAATCGTGTTATAATTTCGTGCCACTTATGTCCTTTTCATCCTTGACCCTGTCCTTGTTGGGAATGCTAAAGTGAAATGGCGCGACAATGCTTTTCGTGTGTAGAATGTGCAAACAAGAGAATATTGTGTTAATCACCAGTAGACGGCAGAAAACTGTGAATAATTCAGGTATTTTCACCAAAAGAGGGAAGTCGAGAATATTTCGGTGTGAATAAATAAACTAAAGTATTTTTTTTCATCTCATTTGCAGGCATTCTCTGTTTTTTCTCTTTTACTAATATTTCTTTTCTCATTTCAGGGTTTCACATGACACCAAAACTCAATAAAATCTTCCCCGAGTCTTGCCTTCTAATCGTTGTTGGTGTTATAATCGGAATAATATTGTTTTATGCGACAAGTGTTCAAATATCACCACTCACGCCAGACACCTTCTTCTTCTACATGCTACCACCGATAATTCTCGATGCTGGATATTTTATGCCAAATAGACTCTTCTTTGACCACCTTGGCACCATTTTGTTGATGGCTGTGGTTGGAACAATCTTTAATATTGCCACAATTGGTGAGACGATAAATTTATTTTCAATAATCCTTCAAATGAACAAAATTTCCTTGTAATCTTTAGCATTAGGTTATATTAACATTTAACGGGTTAAAATGGTATCAATTTAAGAACGATAAAGTCCATCAAATTAGACTCAATCCTCTGGAAAATATAAGCATATTCTCACTTTTTGGCTATTTAGGTTTCTTAAAGTAAGGTTAAAATCTACAACTTTAAGACACATAAAATATGAAGTAAATTTTTCCATCAAAAGTTTTATTTGCAGCGGATTGTGCGTTGAAAGATTTATTGCGATAATTCATAAAGAAGAAAAAAATCACACAAGAAGTATACTTTGAACTAAATTCGCTTTTAAAAATTAATCTACGCCATAAAACTTGTGCGGAACTGCGAGTTCATATGTATTTATGAGATTATTTTGTGAAAGATGGCCTGTAAAAAATTTATGGAAGAGCTGTTGAAAGTTATTTGGATTAAATCTATCAGCTCTGCATATGCTTAGAATGCGAGGAAAGCTTCGGGGCGGGTCTAAACGTGTATGTATAGGTGTGTAATTAAGCGTGAAGTAAATTCATTCTTGATTCTATCATTTATAGCTCATATATGTACATAATTTGTGGCTTTTACCCACAAAGAAATACTCATTTAATGCTGTGATATTTCCCAAATTTTCCATTGATTGATTTCCCATTCTCACCTGTTTTTGCTATTCAGGCGTGTTGATTATTTAACTGACGATGACTGTTGTTTTGTTTGTCTCTTCAGGAACGTCTTTGTGGGCCTGCGGACTCACTGGAATCTTCACGGCGGAGGGACGCGGTGAAATTCCCTTTCTGGACATGTTCCTCTTCTCCTCACTCATTTCCGCCGTGGATCCCGTGGCAGTGTTGGCTGTCTTCGAGGAGATTCACGTGAATGAAATTCTATACATTGTCGTGTTTGGCGAATCTCTGCTCAATGATGCTGTAACGGTATGTCATTTGTATCCACACGACATTATGTTGCTTGAAAGGATATTGAAATCTTATCCATTTGCACGTTTTTGATCACGTTTTTTTCTTCATTCTCAACGATAAAAGGTGGTTGTTTATCACATGATGGACTCGTACAGTGAAATAGGAATATCCAATATAGAGGCTGTGGACATTGTGAGTGGTGTGGCATCTTTTCTTGTCGTCGCGCTTGGCGGAACGTTTATTGGTGAGTGGAATTTGTTACTTTCATCTCTTTTTGCTTCACAATGTTCAAGGTTAAAAGAAGGATTCTTTAAAAGACTTCGATCACTGTCACTCTTTTCGATCCACACTGGCAAACTGCCCTTAAGAGACTAACTTTCTTGCACTTGGTGTACACTTGCGTTATCAGAAGCTCACAACTGCTCATTTTCATGCCTGCGTGAGATCAATTGTGGGGCAAAAAGTGTAATTCAAGTGGCAAAACATAGCCTGTTTAAACGAATAATCCACTCCAAATACTGCAGAATGAGTATTTGTGTCTCTGCGAAGGCCTAGGAATGATCACTTTTGCCGGGATAATTGAGTTTTTTCCGGTTAGGAGAGTCACTTTACTGCGTGATTCCGGATTGAAGAGCCTCATCCAGTCTCGATCTGACATGAAACTAGTTGTATGAATTGCTGAGCATTCTACACATCATTTAAATGAATTGGTTTAAATTAATTGACTCTCGCATATTCCTCTTTTCTCCTTAGGCGTCATTTGGGGTTTTTTGACTGGACTTGTTACGAGATTCACGGATCATGTGCGCGTAATTGAACCAATATTCATATTTGTTATGGCATATTTGGCGTACTTGAATGCAGAAATTTTCCACATGAGTGGAATTCTTGCGTAAGCATTGAATCAATTTGTGTATCAATGATATTTGTTTATAATGCATATGCACGTCTCTGGAATGTTACAGCATTACCTTCTGTGGTATTACGATGAAGAACTATGTTGAGGCCAATATTTCGCACAAATCTCACACGACAGTGAAATATGCCCTGAAAATGTTGTCCAGCTCATCTGAAACTATTATCTTCATGTTCCTGGGAGTGGCGACAGTGAATAACAAACACGAATGGAATACGTGGTTTGTGCTCCTGACAATTCTCTTCTGCACCGTGTTCCGCATAATAGGTAAATATTGTGTTTGTGCCTGGTTTGACCGAAGTAGCATCGTTTACTTTTAATTTGCATACCAACAGCCATCATTTAATTGTGGAATTGAGTAAATAGTCTCTCTCTCACTCTCTTTTTCGTTGTTTCAGGTGTCATTCTACTTGTGGCAATAGCTAATCAATTTAGACTCCACAAATTATCCAAAGTGGATCAATTTGTGATGTCATACGGGGGTGAGTTGAAGCAATTAAGTATTGCGTGTTGTGCGTGTGTGATTGGGAGTGTTGTATTTAAGCAATTAATTGACACTTCAGCCTATTCCTAATTTAGCTGCACAGTTGCCTAATCTCAAGCTTTTTCTCGTGAAATAATTCCCTGTTAAAATGATTTCCTCAGGTCTCCGTGGTGCTGTGGCCTTTGCTTTGGTTCTGCTCATAAACGAGAGAGTGGAATATCACACGATGTTCGTGACAACAACAATCGCCGTCATCTATTTCACAGTATTTGTCCAGGGCATAACCATAAAGCCACTGGTGAAGATTCTTAATGTGAAACGGGCCGAAAAGAAGAAACCATCCATGAATGAGAGAATTCACGAAAGGGTAAAGAATATATGATACATCCACACAGACTCATGGCTAAAGGTTATTGCACTCCTCATTGCAGTTTATGGATCACATGATGGCGGGCATCGAGGATATCGTTGGAAAGACTGGCAACTACAATGTTAGGGATAAATTTAAGAGATTTGACAATAGATTCATCAGACCATATCTCATTAGAGATCATCAAGTGAGTATCTTTCTTTCTCCATTTCATTGTCAACTATTATAGTGTAGAAGAATGACTGTAATCAACATTCTTGGTGTCTGTCTCTATTCTAGGGTGCTGAACCGAAGATCCTGGAAACATACTCCAAGTTGGCAATGAAAGACGCCATAGATTTCATGCGAAGGAATCCATCGACTCTTGGGCAGATGTCCGGCACAGAGTCGATGAGCGCTCTGTTCAGGAACTATGCCGGATACATGGGCGGAAGGTTGGGCCCGTCAATCTACAGTGCAAACTGGTAAACCAGTAATTCAGTGCATGGAGATACGAATTTACAAGCGAGAGCTATTTTGCAACGTATTAACTTTGATATAAACTTATCTATAGAGATTTACTTATTGCAGCTTCGCAACCACAAATTTAGATAATTGTTCTCTGTGTGGCAAAATTTGTCAAGAAGAGAACGTGCTTTTCTTAGAATGCAATTGAAAACACTTTCTTACCATTTAATGCAGAGTCATAGATTTGGGAGAGGGTAAATGATTTCTTTTAGAGAGTAACTAATCTTTTCTGTGTACTTGTGCAGCTGAATAGCCCAAAAGCAGAGCGCATGCAAGAGCTAATTTTTCATCTCAACTTTTTCTCTCACACCAAACAGCGACGACAGCAATCACAGATTTGTCTTAATATAGTTTTCTTTGTCTTATGCACTGAGTTAGTAGTTTACTGTAGAATTGAATTTATACGGAAATGATTGTTTTCAGGGCGAGTTTAGTGAGTTTCGTCTCTCTAATTGATGTTATTTTCTCTATTTTCACAGTCCAAGCTTCTCAAATTTGGAGAATTCATCACGAAACTTGGACATGCACGAGTTGGATTACAATCCATCAAAGAAAGATCTCACAGATGCTAGAATTCATCATCTTCTAGCTGAAGAATTGAAACCAAGAAGGGTAACTATTGAACTTTCACATTCAGTCTTGTGTATATTTGAGGTGTTCATTTATCACAGTGGTTGATTTTAAGGTGAAATAACACTAAATTAGAAGTGAGACGTATCTTGAAAACTCCATGTTATTTCTCCTTGATTTTTCTTCATTTTCCTTATATTCACTTGATATGAATTCTGTTGAGTTAAACAGATGAACTAACATTACTAGTGTGGCTAGTGTGAATATTTTATAGAGTAATTTGATGCCCAATGCAAAAGATTCCTCTGTGAATTTTTTCCGTGAAGATATTGCCACAATTTTGCATGGCACATTTCTCACAGTTTGGTTTTGTCTCTTAATGTTACCAGAGTGTTGATATTTGTGTTCTATTTTATATTCACAATACACAACATCACAAGATTGGTTTGTGTGTATCGCACGTAAATATCACAGGAAAAATTGCAAAAAATAGAGAAGAAAAAATCTATGTGTTTTAAAGCAATTAAGAAAACACAGTAATTACCTCGGTGTTTCACATATTGTTTCACAATAACCTTTGTATTTGTAGCTGAAATGAGGCAATATTATTAAAACAAGTCATCCACTAAATGAAATTGAGATGGAAGAAGCTAAATTTGCTAATTTCAACTAATTGTGAGATAACATCTGTGCATTCTGTACTTTTGAAAGGAGTATTCTTTTTGTTAATTTTCTAACACTGAGTTTGTTTTTCTCTTGTTTGTGTTGTTAATTGATATCAACAAAAGTATGAATTGAAATGGAGGTATAAATTTCTTTAATGAATTATAAAAATTTTCTCCTTGCAATTATCTCATCCCTATGATTGATGGTGTGACCTTTTTTGACGATGGCAGGCTTCTCTGAGTATGGTACGAAATCGTTTTATGTGTTTTTTACTTGTGTAAAAGGAATCTTTTTCTCCTCTTTGAAAAGTGTACATTATGTTAATATCAACAGTGTGTACAAGAGGGTTAAATTACAGTTGGGGAGGAGTGTCTAACAATAGGCATTCAGTAGCAATTTTAAAAGTTCATTGAACCTTCTAGAATTGCTCTTATCGTCGAGTTTCGAAAGGAATTATGTGTGACACGAAGTTCATACAAACTGTATATTGTAAAATTCTCATTGTCATCACATTCACTAATCTCTGCATAAGAGGTCATCAAACATTAATTTCCCAGTGTTCGAATACACATTATAGATAAAATTGCGATATAATTGAACCCCTGAGTGTTTATTTGCTTTCAATGTGTTCATTTGTGAATATAGAGTGCTACAATGATATAATTAAATGAATAATTTACCCTGCATTTCCATCCCCTGTTTACTAATAAATTATAGCTAAATCAATTTGTTTTTAAGTGTTCTCTGCAACCTTGCGATTTCAAAAGATTTCACTAATTTGTTGTTTCTTTAATTTATAGCATCGTCGCCTGAGTTACAGTCGTCATGCAGTTGACGACAGAGATTTGTCAACACAAGTGAGTTACTAAGAGATGCCATATTTTATAAGGAATTATGCATAACAATTTCTATTCATCTTAAATTCCAGGTCAATTACAAAATGCACATGAATATTCGACGAATGGTGAACGATAGGAAGCATCACAAGCGAAGCAAGAGGTTGAATAAGGTATTGAAACTATTTTCATGTATTCTTTTCAGGTAATCATAATAATAATTTGTATAATAATTTTCAGGATGGCAGTAGCAAACAGAATCATGTCTCCTTCCCCGAATTCCAGCAAAATGGCTCAGCTAAGCAATTGTCGCATGGTAAGTTGAGCTGTAAGACATATTTTAGTAGGCAATTTTATAATTATCTGTCATTGTAGTGGTAACATCTTAATTCATTTCCCTGTTTAGTAATGATAAGCAGCCTTTATTTGAGTCTTTATTTATTGCAGTGGAAGAAATCAAAAGTTTCTGTTGAACACAAGCACTCTCTTGACTCAAGACAGATATTAATTAACTTTCTTTCTTCCAGTCGACTATATCAATGAGGTTCTACATGAAGATGTCGAGGAGGATCCAAAGCAGAAAGCAGCCGCACCTGCTAATGAGGACTGGGACGATGGTTTAACATTCACAGCCAAAGCATCACGTAAGTTCTCTTTCTCTGAGTCCTTTTACGTTACACAGTGTCTCAATTATGCTTCACAAATTATAATAATGTCAAGTTGGCAGGAGAGTCATATTTGAGAATATTACTAATTAAAAAGACGAAATTGAAATATTTGCAACATCCTTGTGTGAATGAAAAAAATTAAAATTAGCTGAGTAAATAGAAGAGAAGGAGAGACTGAAAAAGAATTCTTTCCTGACTCGAAGAAATTGCAAATGACTTTATTAGACATTTATTTTTCATGAGATAAGAAACTATTCATTAATTTTTATCTTTGATTTTTTCTTTCTTTTGATCACTCAAACATCGTTTAAAGCGCTTTAATGTTTGGTTTGCCACTTAAAACAATGATCTTTAACCTGGTAATTATCATTGTGTGAAATGAGAATAAGGTCAAATTTAAGGAAAAGCGTGATACAAAAATTTACTATCATGTACGCATTTCATGTGACATCTTTGTAATTGTTTTCTTCAACTCAATAACATGTTTCAGTTCTTCATTTTCTGGATTTGTTGAGAAAAAAACCAACACGTTGAATTCAATTTTTCACACTAAAATATGTTTTTCCATTATATTATTTTAATTATACCTATTGAGCTTTTCTAATATGTATTACATCTTTTGGATTCTATTCAAATTGAATGATTCTTAGCCTCTCTTTATGACAAAAGACATCTTTAAAAATATGTACATCTTTACAATCTATCTAAACTTTGTGATATTGTCAGAATGCAAATTAAATGTGGCATGTTGAAATATCACCTTCATTTCGACACGAAAACCTAAAATTTGCGCATGATTAAAATATGAGAACTGAAGTCTTATAACATATTTAAAATTGGAAAATTTCCTCGTGGAGCTTCATCATATTTCCCAATGAATTATGCTGTGTGTTAATTAAGGAGTCTATATTAATGTATATTGTACACTTAAAATTCAATATTTTGCCTCCGATGCACAATAAGTGTTTCTTTTTATTATTTTTTACCATTGAATAGAGGAAAGCGAAGTTAGAAATTGTCTGTGCAGAGTTGGAATATTTGTCCAAATTTTCCACTCTATAATCCATCAGAAGAAAAATCACCAACTTTTTTTTATCTTTTTGTGCCTTTTTGATTTTGTTTCTTTTTGTTACTGTTAAATCTAACACCATTTGAAGTTACAAAGAGTCATGAAGATAGGGTATTAGTTTATGTGTTTATTTCAATTTTCCATTCCACGTGCGGCAGCGCCGTCTTATAATTCTCTAATTGCCAACATCTCGAGTCTACCGGGATTTGATGCGTCCAAGGCTCGTTTCGTAAAGCATTACGCGTCCAAAAATAGTCTAAATGAGGCAAGTCAGGACGTTGCGCCAACAGCAGCTGAACTAATTCTTCCTTGGCGCCACGAGAATTCGTACCATAACTTCGGTACGTGTTTACAAGCTAGACAAGAGACCTTGTTTGTATTATGGACAACAAGATTTTGAACAAATGTTCCTAATATGAAAAGAACATTTCGTTTAATTTGTTGGATATTGAGTTTTGTTGAACAAATTTAATATCTTGTTGCTAAACTTGTACTTTTTTTGAATTGGAAATTGCTTGATTTCAATAATGTTTTTTTTTTATTCTGAAGTCGATAAGGACCATCTTACTCTAAACGTATCACTTATCTCGATTATTTACAAGAAATTCCAATTTGAAGCTTGCGAAAAAAACATTGCAATTCATTAAGTAAATCCATTAAATGCTTGTGTAGATAAGTTTAAATAGCAGAGCTTTCTATGCGTTAAAGCTATATAAGTTCACATGTTTAAATGGATTTTCTGAAAAAGAAAAAAACGCAAGATATATTATTTTGTATTATGTTAAATATTTATTTTTAACGCCCTTCTTTCTTTCCATGTGTAAATATGTTCACTCATTACGTTTATAATGTATGTTTTTATAATATGTTCGCATGTGTGTTGAAAATACTCGCCATTTTCCAAGAATTTCACGCAAATTGCGAGAGTTTTTTCTTGTATGTACAATTTATCTCTGTTTATTTTTCACTTGTGAAATTATAATATCCCTTGAAATGTTAATGTTACACACCATCACTGAACCCCTTTATGAATGTTTATCATTTGCATATCCTGACGAGAATGTAATAAAATTTTCATCTCCGAGAAGGTGAAAAGACCATTGCAAATCGTGAGGATGTGCAATGAGAGGACAATTTAGCACGTTTTGTCTCACTTGATTTTCTTTTACCTTTGCTGTAGGTGAGATTGAAAAAAATCCCGTTGAAGAAGATAAGCGACTGTCTAAAGAATCCGAAGGTATAAATTTTAATTTTTTATGTTTCTCATTATCTCTGTGAATGTGTGAAGATCCCAAGTGAATATGTTCTACACCAAATGGTTGTTTTTGTTGTATTGTCTTGTAATGTTTGCTGAGAAAGTCACATTGTTCTCCACCCTGAAATTTGTGTTGATTCGAAAGCAATTAATTTGAGTATACTTCCATCCCTTTGCCATTATTCAATGAAAACCATTACATATGTGCCATTTCCAGTTCAGTTTTTGACTAATTATGTAATTTGCCACTGCTGTTAAATTGCACAGTGTCGAAGATGAAAGAGTTTCTGTTGGAGTTTGGAAAGCTCAGAAATTGTGCGTGCGTGTGATAAATTAAATTTCATTGTAATACATATTCTGAGTATTGGCTGTTCCTCTGGAAGAACGCGCGCGACTGTGCAAATCCTCTACTAATGAACATTTCTTCCATACGTGTTGATCTTCATGTAGGAGATGAAAGAGTAACAACACCAACAGCTACTGAGACAGTTTTGCCATGGAAACGTGGTGAGGAAGAAGGTGAAAATGGTGCTTTGAAGCAAAATGAATTTCCCGCTTGGGCATCTAATAAAGAGTACCTAGCTTATAATTCACCAAGTGCGACTTTCTTAGGTAAATATTCATATTTTCACCATTATATCCAACCGCCCAATAATATTGCTGATAGTGAATTAGAGTAAAACATTGTGTCTTTACTCTATTTCGCCTTAATTTTCTGAACATTGTGAGAGTGATTTCGGGAATAATTGTCGAGAAATGAATGGAAATTGCTAATTTCAAAGAAGATTTCACAAAAAAATTGTTATGTATTGTTTCCTCAACAAAAAATATCATTTTAATCAATAGAATTTAATTATAGTAGGCAGCAAAAAAAAAGTTTTGATTAATATTTCAGGAATCACTCTTGTAATCAATTGAATGTTACTCTTTGTAAATTTTTAATGTATCACTCATATAGAGAATGCAATTTCAATCGAAATTATTGATTTATTTACCAATATTTTATATCACTTTTTAGATGTTCGTCCATTGCATCACTCATTATCTGTGTTAAAATCGTGTTAATTAGTGAGAAATATTCCAAGAATTGCTTTTTAAATAGATATTTCAAAATTATACGTCACGCTGAATTCTGCGTAAAATTTATTGAAACTTTGAATAATTAGAAATTAACAGTTTTTCGTCTAATCAGAATAGAATTTACTAGTACAAAAGCTCTTCTTAATATGAAAAATGTAACGCGTAATTACACTATTTTCTTTAAAACATTTTCTTTGATAGTCTTTGTTTTTCAAAAATTATTTTAATATGATAACGAGTGATGGAGACGAAGATATATTGTAATGTAATAATATAGATAGATCCATCATATAAATTCTGATTCTTCTTCATAGTCTATTGCTTGAGGCTCATTCTTACAGAAAATTTTTCTCACTGAAATTATTGAATAATGTTCATTTTATGTCCCTTTGGCCTTTCTTAGTATGTCAGATGATCATTTCTTTAGGATTGCCAAGAGCATATTGCAACTAGATCCTCATGCCATCATCATAATAGTGATTTCAATCTGTATTTTATTAATCTAATTACACTTGAGGAAATCGTGTAAATCCCATTTCTGCATTCTCACGATTATGATTTTATGATTTAAGTTGTATTTATGATTTATTGATTTGATTTATCGTAATAGCATCATTTAGCTTGCACTTTAACTGCATCTATCTCTCTCTGTATGTTTGTTTGGCGCGCACGCACGAACCCTCCTTTAGGTGGCCTAACCAAACCTAAACAGGCAAAGTCTGTGATAGGTCTCTTCCGGCGCGAGTCATCGGGCTCGGGGTCCACGCACGTGGCGAATCCCATCACGGGCAGCGACTCCTCCATCCAGATGGACAGCAGCGTGGGATCCGGACAGACGTCAACACCGACGGGCAGGGGTGGCGGCGGCGACAAGAGATCAGCGTCGATTTGCGCCATGACGGATGATCTGAGGCCGAGCACCGGCCCATTCCCGGTTACTGCCAGTCACCGTCGCAACACACGTAGAGGCTCGATGCTGGAGCTCAGTGGGTGAGTGCCACAGTTTGTCCATTACAGTTTCTCCCATTTGCTGCCTGTTGACGGGCAGGAGCATGGAAAATGTTTCTCTCCTGTCATTTGTTAGTGCGTGGAGTGAAAGTCTTGCTCCGCTCCTTCCTTGCGTCTGATATTTCAAGGAGACAATTGCTATATGCTCTAAATGTATGAATTGAATGAAGAGAAAGGTTATTTGATGTAGGCATTTAGACTGCCTTTTCCCCATTTTTGGCTCTAATCTTGATAATGCTTTAAATTCCCTCAACAGAAGATTAGTTGCAGCGCAGAGAAAATATTTTGAAGTTTATATAATAATTTATTCCTGCACACAATCACACTACAGAACATAAACACATTACAGTATGAATCCTTTCATGCGGAATATCCATGCTTTTTAACATGTTCCTCCCAATTTACATTTATATTGTGTCTAGATGTTGTCTTGGTGCTGGTTGTGATATGATTTATCATCTCTCCATGACTTTTCTTTCTTTACTAAAGTCTCTTTCGGGTCAGCTAGTTGTAGTGAAGTGTTTTATTTTGAGTGTTAAATGAATTAATAATTGATATGTATTAATGTTTTCCCATTTTTTCCATTTTGTGTGGCTCTCATTATTTTCATTTGTTGTCTTGTCTGAATAACACAATATCACACTAAAAATGTTCACGGTAGTTAACAAAGAGTGCAGCAAATGACTAACTTGGAGAATAATTGAGGTTTTATCTCTGGGTTAATGGGCTTTAAGTTTGAGACTAGCTGATCAAAAAGTGGGGCTTAAAAAAAGGTTTATTTTTTTCTATCTCTGCATTTTACTTTGTCTATTAATTTTTTTTTATAATTTCTCTTTTTTCCTTTCTCTCTCTTTCTCTCTCTCTGTCACTTTTCTATTAATTGCATGTTTTCCCTACAATTCTTGTGTTTCCTCCGCAGACTGCTCGTGACCGGACGGCGGCCCAGCCGTATGTTTGAGCATTTACCTTCGCCAAATATCCGTAGTAGCTCATCTACTGACCATAAGACAAAGCTGTAACCACTAAAAATCAATCTATCATCCCCAAAATGCATGCGCCGCTTTGTAGCCTCCATGGAATTCCACTGAAAAAAAGAAATACAATTACAGATAATTGTGTGGGTGTAACGCTGAAATGTGACGCAGAAACACACGCAATTTTTCTATAAAAGATATCTGTTATAGAACAATTTGCATGGTAATATAAAGCGAATGGGTAGTTATTTCTTGCATGAAGATCTATATTTGCTCTTTGCATGGATGCTGTTGTAAGTTATGGTCTTATTTTATTATTTTATTCTGTTTTAATGCATGAAAAATATTTATTTTTCTCAATTATAGCGATTTAGCTTGTATTCTATTCTTAATTTGCATGATTACTTATAGAAAGCTTAGAGAGCTTTTAGTATGAAGCATATGCATGATGTAGCTTATGCATGATGTAGGAGACTAACAATATGAAAAGATATTTTTAAAGAAATGTGTAACAATCCAATGATGAGATATAATAAAAAAAAAACAATTAATATGGAAAAACACTTCAACAATCAGTGTGTGCAAAAATATTAGATGTAATCCAGAATATTATGATTTCGTGTCACTTTTAAAATTGGCAAAATGATTCTCAAGCTAATTCGTTTTTTGTCTTCCCCCATTCCCTCTTTTATCGTTGAATGTCTGTAGGGAGGCGATTCCGGAGGAGAACTACACGAAGTCACTGTCGCGGGAGAAGTACAGTGTACGAAATCAGCCAATACCCCTGCTCAGAATGACAACGCCGAAGAAGCAGCCGCGAGGCGTGAATCCACAGGCGGAGGCGCTCCTGTCGAACAGCAGCACAGAGTCCGAAAGCGAGGAGGATGATGAGGACGAGAGCAAGGACACGTGAGAGTTGGCCCGACGAGACAGCATTATGAGCATTGAATGGCCTTTGGAAGTTATAATTTAGCGTGTGTGTCTGATTGTATATGAATGAAGATGGATACCACAAGAATCTCCGAATTATCTCGCGATGACGACTGAATTCCAAATCGAGTCGTCACATTAGCCATTCTTGACGGTATGACAGAGTTTAGGAGGACGCAGAGAAGAATACTTGATTGGAATCTATGTACTTAATTATTCCACTACTTTTAATGTGTGATCTTTTACAAAATATTAATTTGGGGAGGATTTCTAAATTTATAAAGGAAAAAAGATTTTAAAAATCATTCTGAACATGAGTCAATGCTATGAAATGTTCATTCTGAGTGATATTTTTCTTAAAATTTTTAAATCTTTTGCTCTTTACAATATTTTTAATCTACTTAAATTCTGAAATGCTCTCTTCGTTTCTAAATTCTTCGCTGAAACCTTGAATCTCCAGCAAAATTCATTATTCTAAACTGTGTCCTTTCAGCTCTGTTCACAGAATGCGAAAAAGAATAATATAGAAGAAATCTATTGGGCTGAAATGGTTTTTATAGGCGCAGTACAGAATTTGGAATGACTATTTGTTAGAAAATTTGACTTAACAAAATAATAGCGTTTTAGGTGATAATATGAGGAGAAAAAATGTTAATTATAGGAGCCTTTTACCCTGTCCTCAATAAATTTGTTAACGTATTGAGATGAAAACTCTCAATGAGAGACAATATCTATTAGTTTTGATGATGAATGATGTGAGAAAAGTGTCTATATTGCAGAAGAAAAAAGATCTTACTTAATGAAAATCAACTTGAATAGTGTACTTATTTTAGTCAAAATATTTTATATATACATATATATTTAACAAAAGTGGATGCTCTGTAAAATTGAAATGTTTATTTATTATTTGGAGTTTTACGAGAGTCGAATGAATATTATTGCATTGATAGAGGAATTTGCATTTGAAGGGAGTTGTTAATCTTTTCAAGCTGTATTTCGCAATAAAATATCTTCTTTTATAGACATAACGGTACAATTTCATGGTGGAAAAGAACAGTTTAAAGTTTAACCCAAAAAATGGCGAAGCCAAATTGATTTATTCGAACCTTCGCCTGGCATCGAGTATTTGAAGACGTTTCCATTAAACGAACTTTTATGGAAAGTGTGTGAAGAGAAAGAAAATTGCCAATATGCAGTCTCACAGAGGTGGAAAATATATTCCAAATTTCTATTGGAACATTTTCCTTCGCAGGAAAATAGATCAATTTAGAAAATGCGCACAGGAAAATGTAATTTTTATGATAATACCAAGAAGAAACTTCAATGATTCTGCGAATTAAACTACAACAGCATTTAGTATGGATACCTACTTAAAATTAAAAAGTGCATTTTGAAAAATGAAGAAATTTGAAATGTTTTTTTTTCGATATGAAGGATATTCAAGAATAATCGTTTCTCATCTGAGATATAAAAAAAGACACATTTACATCCTAATACAAGACACAGTAAAGGAGCAAATGAATATTTTGGCAAAAAAACTAGTGAGTAAAAAGCAAAAAGCCCCATTTCAAGACAAACAGATAATATATTTTCTAATAAAGAAATGTATTACAGAAATTACGTATTGTTAGGCATCATGAAGTAATAAAAAAAATGAAGCAGAACATGTTTTTTTCTTTAGCTAGAAATTTCTTGAAAATCTAACAATTTGCAAAACGCCATGTTTTGTTGCTTCAGCTGAATGACTTTAAGAAAACCGATTCTTCAATATACTAAAAAGGTACTTGAAAGTGAATGTTCAGGTTTCCGAGAAATACTCCTTTTCAGTGGCATAAGTTATTTTCCTCTCCAATGGAACCTTGATTGGAACACACATTTATAAGAAATTTTGTTTAATGTTCGTTCAAACACATGGGTATTGATGTTAAACTCCCTAACTTTTGACATGCAATACATATATACATAAATTATCATAGCATATTTATTCTTCTCCATTAATATGAATTTGAATGCTTCGAAGCACAACATTTTACGGTAAAATTCTGAGAAAAACAACGAGGATGAGTGAGAATTTTAGCCGTTTCGTCGGGTTTCCTATGTAAATGAAATGTTAAATGCAACTTTTTGTTCTCAGTCGATATTTTTTTTAACAACATCTGTGTGAAGGATAAAATGGCAAGGAAATGGAATCTGATATTAATATTAAATTATTCGGTTTTTCTTTCGCTTCTCCACGGAAAGTGAAAACGAAATCTTCAATTTCCTAATGATAAAGCACTATAAAAAGCTTGGTTATAAGTTAAAGTATATTTTAAAGTAATTTATCTCACTTGTGTAGGTACAAATTATTATATTATTGAGGAATCCAACAATTAATCGTTTTTACTCAAAATTGATGACACGTGAAGCGAAAATTCATGCTCTGCAAATTTTCCTGGGTATTTTCACAAGACTTCACTCAAATCTTAACAAATCAAATACACTTCTTATCACTTTTGCTTGTCTCTAAATCCCTAAAGGTGGGAAATAAACTTTGAAGAGCATCTGTGTTGTCAAAGTTATGAGAAGCTGGACATTCTCTGTTAACTCACAACGTCAAAAACATTATTCTGAACGTGAACTCAATTAAACAGAAATCGAATTTGTATGGAAAAAATTCAAGCGTTCCACTATGTTTTTATTAAACACAATAAACATTGTCTTCTTTTCATTGAAAAAAAAATCAATTTAAACTTTCCATTGATATTTTTAGAGTCTGTTTAAACCGTATTTTTTGAGCTTGAAACTTACTTTTAATCAATGTCTGAGCATGGTAAACTCATTTTGTTCCCGAATTCTGTTCTCTTGTCCCTTTTTAGAATGTTTATCAAATCATACGCAAGAAAGCCACGTCTTTGCGAATGCGTGTCAATCAGGTGCTGTCGATGATTGGTAATGTAGCAGACATTACAATTTCTTGAAGAACCCAACGAAACTCTCCATCACGATATCCTTCATCATTCCCATTTCCGACTGATTTTTCCAGCTTCATGTTCACTTCAATATGTTTATCTCACACCTTGAAGCTCAATTATCTCCTCGACAGTCCCCCATAAAAGCCATCATTCTCGGCTGTTTTGTGACATTTTCACTCTGGAAGATTTAATTTAAATCCCCGAAAGTCTCTGAACAGACATCTGTTCTTCTTTCAGTTTCGCAAGAATCTGTACAAATTCTTTGAACAGACATTCAATATTGGAAAGTTTCCTGAACTCTAACAACTTTAATATTTTGAGCTCTTTCGTCTTATGACTTATGAATCAATGGTTTTTTAGAAAATCCCTTTTGTGTTTGTATATTATGAATGCAGTGAAGCTCAAGCTACAGTCAACACAAAATGCAAAAATTCAGCAATTAACATTGTTCTAAATGTTGTTATTTACATAAAACCTCTTGGCCAAGCAAATTTGCAGCTTTTCCCATAATTATATATATTCTATAGTGGATAATTTTTACTAAGTCATTGCTTTATAATTTAATTGGATAGCTCATGTTCTTTCATGAACCCTTGTCAACATAATCAGGCTTCAACAGAGCGGACAAATCTCCTTAAGAGCCGCTATCGCATATATACACTTTCCTATTCTCTCGGCTTTGCTGCGATAGAATATCAAACATACATCATAATAAGGAGCAAACTGCTTTTAATTACTCTGTTCTTATTTACACTATGAAATTTAGAATGGATGCAATTGTGAAGTCATTCAATAGGAGACCGAAATATATATAAACTGCTCAATTTTGACTTAAATTTGGACGCTCTTTATAGAGAGCGCAGATGCGTATATCATATGGTCAGCAGCTTATACATAATTTGGTTAAATTGTTCATACTTTGAGCCAATTTCCAATTAATTGTGTGAATTTGACACAATTCAACTCAAAAATTAACATGGGTGAAAGCGGCACGAGCTTCTCATTGTCATTTAAATTTCAGCCACGTGATAGAATCTTCTAATTTAACTCATTCATTATACGCAAGAGCAACTTGAAATACCTTAAATTAGCTCGTGATTCTGCGATTTGATGAATGATGAGTGGTATCAAAATCACTCGTGTACAACAGACAGGATAAGAGCGATGTGGATTTTTACTGTTCACAAAATTAGGAGTTTCTCCAATTTAAGTCATGCTGTAAAAATCAGAAAAATATGTAATTATTATGTTCAGTGAGACATCCTAAAAATTTCGGGACTCATCAAAAGCTTTCCACGAAGAATTATTTTGTTCCGTTGGACAAGTTGTTGATTCGAAATGGCATTTCCTATTTTGTTGTCACTGAAATTAGGACAGTGGCAATTCAAGTGAATAAATCGCCGGGCGGGCAAAGAGATTAACTTCTTTGAATTGCGTTCCAATGAAAGAGCACTCGAATCAACCCACGCCCATATTTATCTCTCATGTCTTAATATAGATTGCTTGAAGCATCGATAAAGCTCGTTACAAATCATACTATATATCAACATATGTACACAGATTGACAGAAAATACTAGATGGTCACATTAGTTTTCTTGGCGAGCGCTCTGAAGTACAATTCTCTTTCTGCGTCCATACAGAAATTGAGAAAACTTTTCAAAAGTTTACACTTAGCTATATGCTTTTATAATCACTCTGCTTGTCCAGAAAAAGCGTGTATTTGTGTGGCTATTCTTGGCAGATTTATCTTTATAGATTTTCTTTTCAAATTTTTCAATCGACTCAAGTTTTTCCCTGCTGTTTCTTGTATTATATTTTGAATTCACAGAAAAAGACTCACTAAAACTCACCATTCACCATTATCTTTTATTTTCCTGATATTTTTGCCATGACATCAATGTGACATACAATAGAAATATGAGTTTGGAATACAACTATAAAATATGATCCATTGAAGCATAAGAGAAAATTGTTTTGTACGCAGGATCATTGAAAGCATTTTTCTACAACTTCCTTTCTCTCACAGAAGCCATTCAATTGGCCTTACTTATTAAATTGAGCATCGCCAGAAGATGTCAATTTCAACTCCGAGTGCTTCCTTTTCTGTTATTTTTTTTAGAGGACACCAGTGGAAAAGGAACAGGAAAAAGAAATTAGAACGCAATTTCACTGCTTTTTCACGCTAAAGAGCTATCCCGAGTACAATGACGTGAATTGATTGCCCACAAATATTTTGGCCATCAATATTGAACTTGTTGCTGCGGAGCAACTTATAAACCTAAAAGTCGAAAGCTTTACTGTAACTGGAGTGTCAGTGTTGTTTTTTCCCATAGGCCTTGCTATTTCCTCATTGTCACATGATTGATGGTCTTTCTTGCCATCAGAGATTTCCCTGTTTCCTCCCACGGCCTTTCGATGAGAGGGAAAGTGAATAAATCAACTTTGACAATTTCATTGAACTCCAATTCGAGGAATCCTAAGGAGAATCAATGGAAACAGTCAGTGCAGAGAGAGTGCATTGACTGAAATTGAAGATGATAAGTGTATATCTACCTGGCAGGTCAATTCCTTTTTGCACCATTGTGTCGTTGTCAGGAATCATAAAGGTTTTTGGACTCTTTCTCTCTCACCCTCATGTCAAGAGTACATTTTATTGTTGTGTTTAAATGCGTAAATACGGATCGATATGTCTATAACAATACAAAAGAGATTTATGGAATTTTATAATGAGGCAACTGATATTGTCTGGGGCATTGTCTGCAAAGAAATCAGATTTAATAAGAAAATACCTTATGGACGCTGGAAAGCGAATTTCATGATCCTTTCGTCACATTTGGGGAAATATCTTTGATCCTTCTTCCAAGAAAGGATTAATTTTAGAATGAAGCGAATTGTCTATCATTGATATTGGGTATGAAGTGCCCTGGAGCAGAGAAAGTCCAATAAGACTTTGTTCTGAGAAATTCTCTGAAAGACCACCAAAATTCTTCAACCGAAGATTTGTATGCGGCAGGAAGCACGCGGAGGGAATTATTTGGAGAAGAGGCGAGAGAATGTGTGGGAAAGGGAAATTCACGGGGTGACTTTCATATAAACACACAACATTCTGGCCCATCTCTTCGTACTCCAAATACTCTCAAGGTGGAATTAAGTGCGGAAGAGAGTTAGGTGGGCTCAGTCAGTGTACATTATGATTTCCATGATCATCCAAACGAACCCATCTATTTACTTAGCCATTTTACACTATGAGATTCGTCTCTTCTCACTTTTCGTACGAAAACAGTGCTGATGAGAGGTGTTGAGGCATGTACTTAGAGTAATTAAAAATTTACTACAGACAATGATATTTGAAAAGTATAAAATTGATGTGTTTCCACATTTACAAAAATGGATATTTTACAACATGTCCGAAAATCATTCAACTTTTTGATAATCACTTTTGTTTATTTGATTACCAATTGTTCAAGTAAACAGAGATTTTACTGTATAAATGGTTCATTTTGGAAGAGCGAAGAAGAAGCGTTTTCGCACATTTGGCGCGTGCTTTGTGCGCAATTGCTAGATTCTCACAAGCTCACACATCTCGCAGTTGTTGCTGAACAACAGGTCAGTCTCTCGACGTCCTCAAAGCCTTTCACAAGAATGCTTCTTCGGCATTTAAACCCGCAGTCGTGAGTGATAAAGTGATTGATACAATAAAGATTGCATCGATTTCGATTTTTAATTGATCAAAATACACGTTAAAGACCCGACCTAAGCTTTCCCGCGCTTTCAAGTTTGTGTAAAAAATCATGTTAAAAGAACGTGATTTTATTTCTTCAGCACTTGATGACATAGAAAAGTGCTCTGCCGGCTGAGAGATAGAAGAAGGTGAAGTGATTTTATTCGAGTTCGCTGTGATTTAATCGGAAAAATGAATTTAATTTGTTTGCCAAATAAATATTGGTGCCATTGGAGCTTGTGTAAAGAGAAGACTTGTGAAATTTTACGGGTTGCCTCAGTTTAATCAAAGATTTAGAGAAAAAAAAATCTTCAATATCGCCACAATTTATTTCTTCCTCACAATTCCCATTTCACTCTTGTCTACGATTTCGCTTTGGGAATTTGGTGCAAAAAAAAATCCTCACACATACTTTATACGCTGAAAAATACGGTGTTTGTATGGAATTTACTTAAGGAAAGTGAAAAGGAGTTGAGCATGTTCTAATTGGAATGTTCTTGGAAGTGGAATTCCCATACATTGAGTGTGCAAAGAAATTGTGTGTAATTTTGGATGCCACTTCATCAAATGTGCCCCCTCAATTTTTCCACTTTATTCTTTTTGCATCATCAGAAGTGAGAGAGACGGAACACAAACCCCCCAAAGTTGACGGTGTTTGATCAACAAAAACAGAGGTGTGTGACAACAAACTAAAGGTCATTTGGGCGGCAATAAAAGCACAACCAGAATCGGCAGCCCACCAACCACGATACACTTCCAATGGATGTTGGTTTGGGGAAAAGTTAACGCGGAATTTTCACGCTTTCCTGTAGATGAAAGCATCACACATAATTTCATTAAAATATTTTGATATTGATATTGAAGTTAAGTGGTCATGTTGGCTGAATTTTCCAGTTTATTTGGAAACCCTTTATGCAACTTTTGAAGCAACATGCATCTTTAATGTGCTCAAACAACCTTTTGGTAAACTATGTAAATTACTTAACTAATGCAAAAACAGTCTGTCTCTGTGGCCTAAATACACATTTTCTTAAAGTCACGAAAAATCTCTCTGTTTGTTTAGGTTCTTTCCCAAAAAGAGATTTTCTAGGTATTGTTTTATCTGAGATCATCTCTAATATTATAACAATATTTGTGGAACACAAAACGAAAAGCTCAGCATAAAGAATACTCGTTTAACCAAAATTAGGGTTTTACTAAATAAAAATACCCAGTGCAATTACTGCAACCGACAAGTGTTTTTGAAAATTGTGGTTAAACAATATTTTCGATTGTTATTCATGCTGTTAATTCATAAAACATTGCCAAGCATCACAGAATATTTTATCTCTCTCGAGTGAAAGTAATTTTTGATAACATTCAAAAGCACGTCAAAGAGAAACAGCATTTGTAAGTGCTATGAATTTTTTCGCCCAATAACGCACCTTCTCTTTCATTTGATGCCACAAAAAATTCGTGTGCTGATTTATGGAAATTTAATCCAATTTTCTCTACTTTTCTCTACTTTTTCTCCTGTCCCGCAATATCACAAGTCACGTCAATTTCCTTCGACTTTTTCACCAACGTAGTCCAAATCATCCATCTCAAATATACTTTTGATATCTGTGTTCTTTATCATTTCAAAATCATTTCACAAAATTGCGCTGAATCTCTGTGAAAACTACACAAAGCAAATTCTACAGTTTTCAAATATAAAATTCAATTCTATCAATTGAGTTAGGGATTCAAAGCAAAAATTTCAAATAAATCGTGGAGAAAGGGTATTTCTGGAACTGTTCAATGCTCCATGCCTTAATAAGTGACAATTATAGCTTTCGAAATCCAGCAGACAAAAGTTTGGGGGAAAGGTAATTAAATGATTAACGTCTATGCGAAAAATTGTGCGACATAAATTGATATTCTCTCCATTTATGTTTCGTTCCTCCCCTCGTCCATCATGCTAAATTAATTGCTATTAAATTAAATTATATGAAATGGAAAAGTGGACGCCTATCGTGTTTGCTTTTACCATTAATTTGCTACTAACCATGAAAAGAAAATAGAGAATGTAGCACAAGAAGAGGAAATGTCAATGTTTGAAAAACTCCTTGTACAGACGATATTTCAGGAAATCTATGAGACTATATACACTTATCGACAGAATAAAAAGAGACTGACTCTTTTTTTAATACTATTAGAATCCAAAGGAAAAGTCCATGGGAGTATGGAATACCACACGATTTTACCTATCTTTGATCTCCTCTCGAATTGTAGAGTATAAAAGTTACTTTCTAAAGTGCTGTTCATGTCAAAGAAAGTATCACAGACATTTCCCAAAATAAACATCAAAGTGACACGGTACAGAACATTTTTATTTCACGTTTTGTTACATTTACATATGTATTTGAATAATTGAGGGGATATATTTTATCCCCATTACATAGATTTCCTGAGGGAATAAATGGACAAAAATATCTTTTAAATCCTTTTTAACGAATTCCAAGACAAATTCTCACACGAGAAACTATCTGTTTGAGGTCAGAATGTAGCTGTATTAGACTGAGAGTCCTGAAATAAATAACTCATTTGTTGGCGACATTTATACGTGTTTCATTTCCTACCGGTTGGCTATGCATATCTCTTTTACCTGCACTTTAATACGTGCCACAAATTGCAAAATATCTGGTACGAACTGCAAGTATTCTTGAAAATAATTCCATAAGCCCTTGTGCAAGACATTTGATGCAATTAGATTTATTCGCATCACACAAAAGGCAGTAGATTGTATTGTTATAAGAGGAGATGGTTGTAGCAATTTCATTTATCCATTTGCACATTTCATTTTCGCATCCAGGATCATTCGCATATAATTTGGTTGATACATTTTCGGCAAACAAGAAACTGAAGTGTTATCTATATACATAATTACCTTCTTCCCAAAAGTTTATAACAAATACAATGTTTAAATAAATAAATAAATGTAAAATTACAATTCAAATAATGCAAGTTAATTGAATATTGTGTATTGTAAACAAATGCGATAAATTGGAAAATTTCATGAAAGAACTGCAAACTGCTTTGAGTTGAGATTTTATTGAATTAAACAAAAGGAAAGGGGTTGATGAAATTCTGGAAATTACAGTCAATTAAATGCAACAATCACTGTCTTATTGAAAATCGACTGCGAATTAATTAATGTTTTCATACAATTACTTTTACGAAAGCCATTGAGGAATCTTTTCAAGAGCTTCAGCTGAGTAAAACAAGGGGAAACTTAACAAGTTGGAATTTCATAAAAGTCATGTCATGAATGAGATTGAGATTTTGAAATTTTGTTGCTGAATATCATGCGAACGATACTATGAATTACCACTTAATGTTAGTGTCAAAGCTAAGACCAAAGCGTTTCTAATAAGGTTCTGATTTTAACGGATTAGATATGTGATAAGTCAAAGTTCGCATCTTCACATGTTCAGATTTTAGTTATTAATTAATTAATTATTAATTAATAGATTCACAATAACCTTCATATTGGAACTTTGTGTGATTATATATTTCGAAGACTATATTTTGAGTTTTGATAAGCCTTTAATCGTGCAGTGTAGGATGAGAATTATATTAATCCTTTATCTGAATTCAGCTTTAAGACAAGTTAAACAATTCAAGTGTTGGGTAAAAATTCCAGATGTGAAAAAGCAATAACTTGTATATTGATTTGTACTCAAATTTCGCTGATTGAATTTGACATGTCACAAAAATATGTATTAATTTGAATGAGAACTCAATGCATATAATGAATGAATGAAATGTTTAATATTCAGAAGTTTACAATATTATTCATTCACGATGTTCAATAACAGGCCTAATTTATGCATTGACAAATGAGTATTTCTTGTCCTTTCTGTTACGGCATCTTGAAGTGCTATTCAAGCGTCACTAATGAGCACACTGATGTTATATTCAAAATAATCCTCATTCACTAATATGAATAATAAACTTTGTAAGCAATTTCACACACAATTTCAAAATCCCATCGAAATCACATAGAGAACTGAAGAGAAAATTATTCCATGCACATAAATTAGAAAAGATTATGGAAATGATTGTCCAGTCTGTTGGAAAAAGCATAGATAGACACACGACTGACTGTAAACTTAGGCAAGAAAAGTTCACAATAAATGTGAGAAAAACAGAATCAAAAACATATTGGTTGCAATCAGTTTTATCAGTTAAGGCAATTTTCAGCTACAAACACACACACACACACACACACACACACACACACATTGCATCTATCGCCCACAATCGCTCGTGAGAGATAAACATTCTTATTATTCTCAGAAAAGTAGCTCAAAATGTTCTCTTATCATGTGTTTTTCCCGGGAAAATTTTCTCTTCGCATAGTCAACAGTATTTTATGTAATTTTACAGAATCTGGAAAAATTCGACACTAAACACAGTTCAACTTTCGGGACAATGTTTATTGTTATATAATATTATGAGTCGCGGCTGTTCCATCGCGATGAAAGGGTCTTTTCGCGCCAAGATGCCGCGCTCGCGTGCTGTGGAAGAAAGAATTTCCGCATTAAACCACGACATGCGAGATGCGAGTGCAAAGAGAGTGGGAGTTTTGATAAAAATTACTCGCCTTATTAATTTTGTTTGTATCAAAGTGCTCTCCACGCTAGAGCCCCACTAAAAATTAACACACCTTGCTCTTATCGTGGTTGTTATCAAGAAGTTAGAAGATTTTCCAAATTATCCATTACAAGTACATCGGTGGAGTGATAAGTGTTTGCTGGACTTGTATCTTTTCTCTCTGTGTTTGTTCGCCTGTCTGTCGTCGACGGTCTCTCGTATTTCTGCTCGGTGATAATTGAAAAGTAGTTGATTGAACTGCTTCGCAAGGAGGAGACACTCTTCCCCGTACTTGTCCTCAGTGATCATTTACCCCAACCTTGGAGTTTACTCTTGTTTGTTTGCTATTTGAATACATTAAACTTGGCGTATTAGTAAACAGGCTTGATTGAAACCCCGTCAATTTTTTTCCTGATTAATTTGTTCTGTGATCTAAGTGCAAAATATCCGCCTCCGCCTGAAATTTTCCAATAAAATTCCTGTGCTATTTGTCATGTTTTACGTGCTGGTCACATGAGAATTTTGTAGAGGAGAATCATTTTGTGCTATGTATATCACAGTAAAGAGCCTATTTATATCCATTTAATCGCCACATAGTTGCCAATAATAATAAATAATAAAATAATTGACTTCTTTGTACTTGTGACAAGAAAGACTTAAAGAGGAGAATGAGTGCTGCGCAAGAAAGAAATGGCGAAAAAATACGAATCAGGCAGGGAATGTGAGATAAGATAACTTTTTGGACGATGTTTAGACTTTCGGTGGCATAGAAATCAATTATAATTATTGGCGCGTTTCACTAAATACGATGGGCACCCCATAGTGCGCAGCATATGTGCATATGTATTGTAGAATTATCTATTACCTCATCACACACTTACCTTTTTCACATGCTCAATTGTCTGTCAGAATGATGTAAGGAAGAGAACTTTCATATCAAGCACAAGAGAGTACAAGAACTATCTGAGAAGAATTGTTACTGATAAGCAGCACGTAAAATATCACACCAACACTGTCTAAATATTTGTGCATTCAACATCCAATTAGTGCTATTAGAGTCATCCGGACGGCATGGGTCATTTTTCACAGCGCCCACCGCTGACTGAGCAGTAGTGATAAATTAAGTGATGACTATACGCACCATGAGGAAGTCCTGGCATTTGTACAACTGACATTTGCTTAGATGAAGAAACAAGTGTGGGTGATTTTATACACACTTCTAATTGGATTCGTGCGGTGTAACATTGAAAGTGCAGTGGCTCAAAATGTAGTTAAAACCTCCGCGGCCATGTCCACAACACCTGGCACAGTCATCACGGATTTGCAGGTTGAAGCCGTCTCAGATCATGGACACTCCATACAGTTGTTGATAAAATGGAATGGAACGTATGCAAATGGTGAGTGAATACTTTATTTTGATAAAATTACTCCTTGCTAAAACACGTCCAGAGACTTTAGCAATCAAAGACATGACAGATAATTCTAATCCGATCAATTCCCAGAAATTTCTTCAAAGGATTTGAATTGAACAACACTATTTTTCAAATCTCTCCATACATCGTGTATAAGATAGATATGAATTGATTTAGCAAGTCAAACATGCTCTTAAAAGAACGTTGGAGCTGTATTATCAATACCAAGATTAACACACACATATCTGCAGATTTATAGAAGCAAAAAAATAGATACAGTTTTTAAGACAAAATGTTGATATTGTAGATTTCATTTTGCATACGCCAATACCAGAAGTTTTCCGGTAAATTTAAATTTTGCCAGAAACCAACTAACGGGAAAAAATGACTGTATTGATATTATAAAAATACAATAAAAAGTTCGAGTCCTATTAGGTGCAGAACTTCCATCACAATGCTTCATGGTTTCCGGTTTCTAGCGTAGAATGAACAAATTTCACTCAATCGCAAAACAATACAGTGGTTTTGCTCGCAATATAATATGTTTTAAACAATATAAAAAGGAATATTTCAAAATTTTCTGTTATGAAATTCCATCAGCTTTCATATTTTCCATAGAATAGTGCGGTTTTACTGAAATTAAAGTGTTATAAACCCACGTATATGTTTATAGTAGAACGACATAAGCTCAGTTTCATAATATACTTTCAACATATTGAAATTCTGGCATTATGAAATAAATTGAATCTGCAATGCATTGCTTATCATAGCTCTCTAGCTTATTATATAACTTTCACGCAAATCATTATAACATTGTCCCTAAATTTTTTCAACGTAAAAATATTGACAGAACTCTCCATACCTGTTATTCTAAAAATATTTCAATAGGTTGGGGATAAAAAATGGAACTCCTGAAGTTAATGTCAATCACTAATAAAATTCTGGAACCCCTGAATTATAATGCCCCGTTGTTATAGAAGTAATTATCCGGGAGAGAAGCAAAAGCTCTCGATACGTTCAAATATTGGGGTGAATTTAAAGTTGATTTATTTTTATCGATATCGTACAAGTGAGCGACACATTAATTAATGCTGAGGCTAAAGTTCCTGTGGAGACGAAGAACTTCGTCAGAATCTGGTCACAAGAAATCGCGGCATTCTTTGTACTCGGCGTTACTGGACCTGTGCTGATTTCCGGCACGACTTCCGACAAGATTTCCTCTCGCTGAATCTCTTTTATCCCGTCCTGGAGTGCAGTGATTTCACAATTCAAGGGAAGGAACAATACACTGCACTTTGCGTTAGAAATTAATTAATTTTACGAAGCTGAATTTTATTGCTTCTTCACTCGTATATCCAAAACAAGAATGTCAGATAAAATTGCAAAAAATGCAAAATATTCCATTGAAATTCTATTGCAAATTGAATTGGAATGAAGAGAATTGCTGGTAAAGTAAAAGTATCTTTGCTCATGATGAAATTGTAATCATTTTAGATATTTCATCGTATGTACATTGACAACCCTCAAGCAAAAGCGTGTACATAATATGATTTAACTCCCCAATAATTGCGATAAACTATACAGCGAAACTTGAGAACAATTAAGTGTGCAATCCAGATCATGTATTAACGACATTGTATGTAACTCTTTATCGAAAACTTTTAATGAGTCGATTAAATTTTATATTGAAACTAAGTGCGGTCAGAGTAGAAATTTTAGTCTCTTATAAATTACAAGATAAATTATAACATCAAAGCCGCAAATTCAGGCTGATGAAACTCTCATAATTACTGTTCTTGCTGATCTAGCATGACCAACAAAGATAAATAAAATTTTATCTGCAAACAATTGTAATGAAAAATTCAAAGCTTTAGGTAAAATATTGCATTTTCTAGGAAATCGTGAAGCAACATGAAAAAACTAATTAAAATTGCATAATTCGCTAAAGCTCTCCGGCAACTCACATCACACACATCACATTTTCCTTACAGTAATTTTTTCTCCCCTCTTTCACTTATAGATAGTAATATAGACATTCATGTCACGCATGAGAGTAAAAGTAAACACTGCACATCAAATCCCTGCTACGAGTACAACATAAACCCCGTAAGTCATGAATTCATCTGCAACGTAGAACTCAATATATCACACCTTCAATATATGTATTTCAAGTTTATGGGCGAACTACGGATTCCACAAAATCCGTCGCACCACATTGAGCCAAAAAAATGTGATTTCGAACCTGGATGCACATACTTGCTGGAAGTAAAAACCACCAATTGGAAGCCATTAAGCAGTTTAATTTATAAAATACCTGGTAAGAGACAACGTGGAATTAAGAGCGCATTTGCGTATGAAATAAGCTGCATTTCAGATAATACATATAGTATAATGATACTTCAAAAGCTTCGTTCCGCAATGCTTGTACGTACATAATATGTTTTACCCATAAAGATTTTATTTGTCCAGCGTTGGAAAAATTAATGTAAAAAGCCATGAAAAAATGCTCTTAAAGCTGTCATTATACATATATTAATGCGTATTATTTTGCATTACAAACATTCACAGAAAGAGAAATCCTTCCAAGAAAACATGCGATGAATTATTGTTCTACTATTCGCATCGCAAACACGATGTGACTTATTAGCACAATAACAACAACTCAAAGCACGTTTTCTGGCGAAATTGTATAATGAATTACGCTAATCTCTAACCAATAGATGGTGTATGATAAAAAAAAGCTCCTATAGCGTGAATATAATTGTTGGTGGCATATATCAATATTTATTTATCGTTTCTTCTTCCCTCTCTTCACCGTGCAACCCGACCAAATATTGTGTTGTAGATTGTGTTGATGATATATGCTCGTGTTACTACGCCAGTCAACTCCCCAATGTGACTATAAGAGGACGCTACAGCACATTATCACAGACAATTGATATCGATTGGAATATAACAACGACATTTCAACTTCCCACTGATGTCTTTGTGGATCATATTGTCATAAGGTTAGGGTGGAAGCTTTTGGTCTTATTTATCAATGAAATTTTATACACAAAGAGAGTTTATAAAATTGGTTTTCCCTTTACCCGAAATATAGCTTATATAATGTGCGAAATCAGACGCTGCCCCTGCGACTGAATGTATTTGAACCACTGGTTGTGCCACTGGTAATGAATAACACTAAAAACAGCTCAGCCAAATTATTCGGCGTGGCAAAGTACAAGTTACCCAAGAATGCCACAGAAGAAGGACGAAGGTACAAATTGGAGGGACACGTGATAGATAATAGAAACTGCAAGAGTACCTACAGTGTGTCCTTTGTGGAGATACCGGGGAAGGCGCAGCACCAGAAGGAGAACAATGTTGTGATTAACAAGGATATACTGGTAAGTATGGCGCAATTCTACATAACATATTTCACACAATATTTATCTCAACAGTGGATGCTCTTGGCAGTAATTCCAATTGCCATTGTTATTTTCGTGGCTATTTACTGTATAAGATACCAGAGAAAGCTGAAGAGAATTAAGCGACTGCACAACTGGCAAGGAATCTATCGAACAACGCCATTCGCCGCTAAGTATGCGTAATTATTATTTTCTGTTCATTTAATTATAGAAGAGCGCGATGAAAGGAATTAGATAAATTAATGTAATCCTCTAGATCAAGGGAAAGTCATCTCACTGAGCTGACAGAAGCGCATTTACCAACTTTAACGATAGCCATTGACCCCTTGAAAAGCACTATCGTGATTTTCATAGCCTCATTCTGTTGAAAGACAAATAAATTTGAGCGGATTATTTCAAATTGAAAATTATAAACACACACACACGAGATTGAAGGAAAAGCTGCAACATAAACAGAAAGTATAAAAGAGAGATCAGTAAATATCTCATGAACATGGAACTGAAGTAGAAAAAATTGTTTCAATTGCTCAAGCCTTTCAATAATATTTATATTTCCTGAAGCAATTGTCAAAGATGCTTCGCTGCTCCTCAAATCCAATCTAGTATGAATGTGCAAAAATTTTCTTTATTTGCCAAATCCACAAACATTTTCCTTCCATTCCACGTTATCAAGTGGAATTGAGTTTCGCTTAAGCTTGGAATAAATCGCTCAATTTACCCTTCTTTTTTTGTACAACACAAGACAAAGAAAACCCTTCTCAATGAAAAGCTTCACTTTTCATGTGAAATATGCTCTTTCCAGAAATTATTTCTCTTTTTCTTTTTTCTTTCAATTCATCAGCGGAGGACTGAATCACGTTTCCATGCAGGAGAATGTTCTCTATATCGATACAGATATTTTGGTAAGTTGTATGAAGTAATATTAGTAATGTGGATAGTGTCAATTATCCATAGCAGCAAATAAATATTCTATATACAGAGATAAATTTTATCCCTTTAGCCATTTAATTGAAATAAATTGGACTTGAATCTGACAAAACAAATATGGGTATAACAAAGCATAAAAACCACATTCAATCTATCGTCCGTGATGAACAATCACTGACGAGAAAATGGGCGAAGAGATTAATTAAAGTGAAAACTGTACGGAAAACGTCTCTAATTGATGTTTACAAATGTTTCCAAAGCACTACTTCCGTTTGCTTAACGTAAATATTGATATTACGTGAATTATTTTGGATAAACGGATTAAAAAATAGTAGTAGAATTGCGTAATTAGCATCTTTCTTGTGCTCTTTAATTTAACTTCAGTCAGCATCTTTCTTGTGCTCTTTAATTTAACTTCAGTCAGCAAATTTTATTTAATTGTATATAGACCTTTTTCTGGGAATACTCTCTGATATAACTAGATATTAATTAATATAGAATTCAAACCTTTGCCCATATTGCATGACATTAATTATGAATTCTCCCTCTTCAGTGTCTGGAAAGTTTAGAACATGTCTGTTACTATTTACATGTAATTAATTTATACACATAAAATGTGTCTTTCATCACATTCACTTGGAAAGAATGTTGATATGAATTCTCATCAACTCGAATATGGATTCGATGTTGGTGAAATGTTCACGAATTTTCAAAGTCATGCAGCATAAAATGCTTTTGTCGTTATACCACATAGATACGCGTGTTCCTTTTGTGTAAATATCATTCCTTGAATTCCTGAGAAGAAACAACGTGAATTAATAATTTCTCACAAAAATGTAGATAAAGCTTCTCTTTTATTTTTTTTTACGCGTTCTTGTTATTTATATTAGGATAAACAATGTAGAATATTTGAAGATGAGAAAATGTATGAACTGCTATGAACAAAAAATTAGTCAAATTTGCCTTATGGGTTTAAAAAAGTAATTAAACTTTTGAAACATCAAGGGTTTCTTCGCCACGTGGTTTCAAGTTTATTGAGTTGGCTTCCTACTCCCGCCCTTTCATGTCATTCTTACTGGCCTTAACAGTTTCGAAGTACTTCTAGGATTTGCAGAACAGACTGCTCCTTTCTGTTGTCTCAGTCTGTCGCCTTCCTTGTGCATGAGCGCTGATAATTGCCACATTCGACACTTTCTTAAGATCACATCGGTCTTTTAATAAGATTATATAAATTCAGTTGTACAGCTTCAAGCTCGAATGGGATATTTTCCTTCTCGAGAGCTTTGTGGGTTTCTAGAGCATCACTATTATTGTGTGCACTGGTCGCCTGTATTAATACATATGTATGCATGTTTCCAGCTTGATCTTTGCAAAAAGTAACAAATCACATGCTACATATGCGGAATGATTCACATTCATTCTTGCCTTATGAGAAATGCATATAATGAAAATTCACTGTCATGCATTAATTTCGATTTCAAATTAAATTTAGGTCTGATAATCTTGACGTCAATTTAATGACTCATTTAAATTCTGCAAAATTATTTTATTCAATTAAATTTTTTATTTTATCTTTGCACATAACTAAATAACCAAAAATATTTCATGTCAAAATGCTGGACAAATATTTCCAGTTGAAAACTGGGCAAACAAATTATCATAGGTCAGCATACTTTTTGAAAAAGATCTAAAACACAACTCATTTTAACACTTTACCGATGTTCTGACAGAGACTTTTTCGGCGTTTTTCATGCCATTTGAGATTTATATGATACAATTTACTAGTATATAATGCAAATTCATGTCAACAGAGTATCTATTTTAAAGTTTCAGCATGAAAAAGGTAGCTTAGAAAGATTCTTTTGTGGAAAGTTTTTATGAAATCTCGTAAATGTTATTCTTTGCCATTTCATTATACAATGAAAAATTGTTTTTGCGCTGAAAACACGAGATTTTACTTTAAGACCCTTGAAATCCTAATATATGTATATTCAAAAGTTATCCATTATTCAACGATTGCAAGAAGATATGTATCATTCAGCGAAAAGTTTCAGTTTAACTATTCACATATACATCATGACATAACACTATTCTAGTGTACATAGTTTTAAAATCCAATTTTTCTACATCTCAGTATTATCTCACGAGTATGTACATAGGTAAACGTATGCTGGGCACGTTCTTCTGCACATAGAACTTCCCACATGGTTGTAAGAAATTATAAAATTATCAGTCAGAAGACTCTCTTACCACAAAAGCATGATATGCGTGGAATTCCTTCGCATGATATTAACAGGAAAAATGCTACTTTTTCGCAGGAAGCTCGAGCACGAGGTGAGGCGGATTCACTGGAAATTCCACATTCAAGTCTCATAATTGGACGTGAAATTGGAAAGGGTGCCTTTGGGCGCGTTTTCATTGCTCGCGCTGAGAATATTGGCAGCAAAATGGGATCGCGTGTTGTGGCTGTGAAGCAGCTCAAAAGTGAGTAATTCATAGATTCTGTCATTTCACACTCATTCCTCAAACATCTTTCATTGTCTATACATGAAATATGCAGAAACATGAGAATTGAATAATTTCACATTCAGCCTTACTCATTAGATTAAAGTCATACATTCAGTATTTAGTTTATATTAAAATGTGGAAAATGGTAATGCCCAGTAGAGTTTTAAACGTAGATATTTCTGTGTGCGTGAAAGGAACACTTCAAATGCCCCGCATTGTCGTCACAAAATAAAATTCCACCGCTAAAAATCCACCCATGAATTTTCTATTAATAATTTTGTATGTATAAACACGACAATGAGGTCAAATATTTCCGCAGGTATTGTGTGTCTGTTGCGGTGTTTGCGTACTTACATTAATTAATCGATTTGATTATCATTTGATCGCGAAGCCAAAATCCCACTGACGATTCCACCCAAAATTCTTGCATCACGTTCTCCACTCTGCTTTTCTGTGTCCACACAAATTAATCTCTCTTCAGTGAGGCCTCCCTCAATCTCCTTTTCCATTGCAAAATATGATTGCTTGTCATGTGAGGAAATTATTGTGTGCTTCCCTCCGGCGAGACGTTTTTCGAACGATTTTCTGCTCGACTCCCTGAAAGGTGCGGAAGTCTTTCTGTCACTGGATGCTTTTGCTGGTCCACAAGGATTTAATAATGGTTGGCGTGTTGTTTTCAAAAGTGGTTCTGCCACAATAGAACTCAGGCAATATGGCTCTCGAACTCGCATTGCAACGTATCTATTGCAGGAGATGCAAGTCATATCATTAAGGATCTTATTTTTACCGCCAGCCGCTTCAACGTGGTCTGCAAGAAAATGCCAAATTGTCAAAGCACATGCACGACAAAGAGTCAGTAGAAAATACCTCGATTATCTGGTGTTCTTCTCTGTATTCTCTGCAGCTGCTTTTCCATGGAAAGTAATTCATTGGCCATAAACTTTTTAAGGCAATCAACTTGATCCGTAGTGGCCTTTAGAACATTCACCAAACATTCGGAGACTCTATCAATTCTGCAATTAATTTCATTCTTCTCCTGCCGAGATCTATCATCCGCAACCGTTGCTGCGCTTCGCCACTCCACAACAACAGAATCAAAAACCCCTATTGACAATTTATCCCTTAATTGGTCTCTCATATCATGCATTGCCTCTAGTTGTTCATGTAATTGATCACACTTCACCTCCACGTCTTTCAGTCGTTTTGTCAATGTATCTTCCCAATTAGGCTGGTTGAATGATACACGAAGCTCCGCTGGGAGATTTAAACCAGAACTTTGTGATAGTTGCCTCATCCAAGCACTCCATTGATCTTCTGTACTAAAAGTGGCCGAAATGGAATTGGAATTCCTTCTCAAATTGATGCCCTCCGGTGGAGTTGATTGCATAATTCTATTCGTGGAATCGTCTTCATCTTCTGTTGTCCAATCGAGAATATTGAATTGCCTATCGTATGAAGTGTTTTGTGTCAATTGAATCGCTTCTCTGGATATATCATGTTGACCACCTTCTTGACCATCTCGTTGACCACCTTGCAGTCTACTTACTACCTTTTCAATTTCCTCCTCAATGATTTCAGAGCCCAAGTAATTCGCAGCATTCATATGATCAGCAATGAATTTAACTGCCTTTTCTTCACCATTTGGGTAAATTCTCTTGCTGTGATGATTCGCATTGTCATTGGGACGGGATGCAATATTAATTTGACTATTTACTTGTTGATTCCTCATGCTGTCTTCCAAACTTTCAATCCTTGCCCTAAGGGAGTTCACAGAATGTACGAGATTGGAAGCAATCGAATTCTCTGTATTATTATTCCAGACAAAATCTTCTATTCCATCTGGTTCACTTGTGGTATTGGTTTGACCCACATTCTGTTGAATAGCACGAATGTCATCACGTGCCTCAAGGAGATTTACTATTTCATGCAGGAGTTTGTGAAGGGCTTTGAAATCGACGATATTTTCCAGATTAAGTGCAGTATTGACGAGTGTATGTAATTCTTCTCTTCGTGATTGCATAATTGCAGAACTCTTTAAGATATATTCCCAGATGTATTCCTCTAATTTACTTTATAACGCGATGATGTAGTAATTTTTCACTAGCGTGCAGAATTTTTCACTTATGAAAGTTGTTTCACACTCGCTGTCTATGATTTAGGGAATGAGTGAAATCAAATTCAAAGGAATAATTGGATCAAACACAGCCTATTGCATTTCAGACCTAAACCAATCATTGGAAATAATTAGTTTTAAGGAATAGCCGTTACGTGTGAAATATATCAGAAAATTCAGAGAATCGAATAGAAACCATCCGCTCGGCTAAGCTTATGCAAAGCTGGATATAGTGCATGCAGATTATTACACAATTGGAAGAGTTCTATAGAAAAACCCTAGTGGAAATTATGATTTGTTTGATCTGAAAATGATCTAGTGCGACTGAAATGTAAATTTAAATGTTTAGTTTTAAACATAATTGAAACATAATTATGTTCGATTTTTCACCACAATTAAATATTATTACAAAACCTATAGAACACACATATTGTACTTTGCTTAAATGCGCAATATTGCGCTTATTATCTATTCATAATTGTGTTGCTTTGCTCTCATCATGTTCAGTTTTCTGAAGTACAAAACCCTTTTCAATATTATTTGGAAATTTCCACACGGTCTATACAATAAACACCCAGTTTATTTATACTTTAATAACTGCCAATCACAAAAACTAGCGTTAAAAAATTTGAGTTGATACATAACTAACAGAATTTGATATAATAGTCATGATTTTTCGTCTACATAGTGTCAGAGGTGAGGAAATTTTTTCAACAGATTCGAAAAATAATGAACTGAAGTAAAGGTGAAGAGGGAAAATACTTCATCCACAATAAACCTTAACCATATGCACTAATTGAAACTTTCCACAATGGATAGAAAAGTCACGAGTTAGCTTTCCGCACCAGAACTTATTCAGATTATTATTTACATTTACGTGTGCACTAATTGAAACTTCATAAGCATACTTTTGGAATACTTATTCTTGTAAGAGCTTTGAGAATTTCATCTAGATTTCTACTCTGTGCAATTTTGAACTTGGTTTTGAATTCCTCGAGGCGAATAAGAAGCTTTCATAACATCATATACACACATACAATGTGTTCACATGCATACTAATAGAGTTTGTATATTTAAATGTAAAGCTAAAGTTTAAACTGGTTATAAAAAAATTAAATTATATTATCATATGTGGGAAACACTTTGATATTCCAATTAAATATTTTTGATGAACAATATGTGCTTAGAATCCTGCTTTAATATTTACTACTCATGAGAGAGATTTTAAATTAGTGAAAATCTGAGTAGAATCAAAGAGCACTTATCTCTTAAGATGGGATGAAAAAAGGAGGAAAACCACTTACTTTAATGCCATCCTCTACCTTCCTTCACAGAGAAACCGACAGCTGATGAACTCGAAGAGTTTCTCAGTGAGATTGCGACGATGAAGAAAGTGGGTCGTCATCCAAATGTTGTCTCCCTCCTCGGTTGCTGTACAATCCGTCAGCCACTCCTCATGGTGATGGAATATGTTGGCTGTGGAGATTTAGTGAGTAAATCTAATTGGCATAATGTTACAGTACTGATGTCAATGCTGAGGGTGCTTTTTCTCACCTGCAATCTCGTCCACACAGCTTCAGTACTTGCGACAGGTCCGCGCTAAGCATGAAGCACGATCCACCGCTGTTTGTCCAGCTCTGACAACAAAATCACCCTCTGGAGCTTTTGCCAAACTACTGAACTTCTCCCCATCAACACCCAATGGATTGCCAGCGGGAATGGCACTCAAATACCCCGACTTGGCACAACAGGCGTCGTAAGTCAAACTTTCTGCAATATTGTAATTTACAACCCATGAAAATGTAACAGGCAGGAAGGAAAAGCGTTCCTAAAAGTCCTATCAAAATTAATTGTATAACATTGAAATGCCATTTGAAAGATTTAACCAAAAATAATTGACATTGCTTCATAAACATCATATATTGCTTTTGGGAGTGCTTGGAATGTTAGAGCACAATATTCTCTCCTTCACCCTGAGCGAATTTATACCTTATGAAAACAGAGCGTGACATGTGATAAGTTGTGGAGACACATCCTTTTTCTTCCTGTCGCCCCATGTCTAACTTCTTATAAATTTAGAATAGATAAATGCCGTGAATCCATAATGTATTCACACATATTAACCTTATATGAAAAATTATGTTATCATCAAGAAAAATTGATTATTTTCTCTGTCTCCTTATAAATTAATTCGGCTCAAACCATTAAATACACGCAATAGACGTTTTAAATGAGTGAAACTTTCTGTGTACATACTTAAAATCATGTCACCTCCAGGGAAAATACACACAAATATGCAAATTAAATTTTAACTTGAGCGGATAGTGACTAATTGGGTACGCGACTGAGAATCCTTATCAGTGTGAAGGGAAGTTTAATAATTGAGGACAATTTCCGCACAAATTCTTTTTATACTGCAAATTAGCGTTTCAGTTACCTGTCAAAGGAACAATTAAATTTATGAAAAGAAGCTAATGAAATTGTCCATCTTTGAACGACAGAGTGAAGATTTTAATTTAGAGTCCAGCGTTGTGCTTTTGCGAAACATATTTTAATGAAAAAAAAATCGTTAGAATTTCATGGTACAGAATATAGAGAAACAAAAATTGAACAACACTCCTTGTGACTTTCCGAGAAAAAAGATGATTGAAATGAGTCTACAAATTATTGCAATGGAAAAATTTTAACAACAATTTTCACTCTATAAAGTTTAAACTGTCGATTATATTTTTATAAATTCTGCAACATGAAATCAATCTCATAAGGTAAACTTATCCTTTTGAAAATCCAAAAATATAGGGCCCAGGAGGGCCAGATCAAATATTTTGTACGTTTTTGCTATTTCAGGCAATCAGTTTAATTATCCAGCAAAATCAATCTGTTTGCAGCCATGAGGCATGAAATACAAAATTTGTAGATTTCTCAATATTAAGTATTCATTTTTTATAAACACAGTTAATGATATTTCAACCGTGTATAGCGCCAAATTGCAGGGATGAACCAAAAAAGGATGAATGAATGATGAATTTTTCATATACGATTCAGCTCAATGCACACAATTATAATTAATAATGCTAGAGTGAAATTAAATTCACCCAGAACAAAGTAAAGTATAGTATTGCAACCAATTCATCCACGTGAATTCACCAGACCAGGCATGAGTTGCAGAGTTAATGACTTGGCTAATGATGATAGTAAAACATTTCAAATTATGAAATGAAGTATATTTTTATTTATCTGTTTCTCTAATGGAACGTGTCAAAAGGAAAATTTCTTGAGAATCTAAAAATTGAACGCCAAATAGTCAATCGATGGATTTAATTTATTCACGTCAGGAAATATTGCTAAAAATCTTCTCCAAAATGAATATACCTAAGTCTTTTGAGATGGAGATTTATGAGACAAGGCAAAACCTGAAAATGATGATTTAGAATTCACTGATAAACATTGTTAAAAAGTTCTAAACTTGCAAAAGCCTCGGGAAAATTGACCTATATTACGACTTCAACCTATACTCACAGATGAATTTCTTGAGACAAGACGAGAATTTACAATCTCTCACCAAAGAATGGACAACAATTGAATGCTGATTAAATGTTGAATTATTTTCCCATTCAAAATGTCACATACAAACGAGTTCTAATGATGAGGGCAGAGACAATTCAATTGATGCTCTCTTTGTACTTACATATTACCCATTTGGGGCGATAACTGATGTTTCCCATGCACGATACTTGGATGACGCTAAATTCACGGCGACGCACAGAAGCTCCAACTCCGACGCCTCGTACATCACCCAGCCAGACAGCATCCCATCGGGCGTGATGAGACCATCAGTGACTGAAAGTAAGCAAGGGCTTCGTGGTGTTTATTTTTGCAGCAATTTCCGGGATATGTAAATAATAATTTGCAACATCTGTGGCACAAAAATGCAATACATTTCAGTGAACAAACAAATTGAATCAACAAAAAACTGAATAATAAATACTTTATTTAATCCAGAACAAGATTAAAATTATTAAGATTTTAAGCTTGTTTTTAATAATGGCATATTTGTAATGGCCAATAAAAGACTTGTGTTGCATTAAAAAAAAAGTGTTGCAAATCTAAATAAATTTAAGAATTCACTTTAAAACTCCCATCGCAATGCATTAAGAGAAAGTGAGGATGGTAACGTCAATTTATAAACCATAAAGTATGTGTCAAAGCATATGTGTCTCCATTTTTGATGTTGATAGGCTCCAAATTTGTCTTTATTTGAAACTTTCTCAATCATAAAATTTCTTCACCACATTCCTAATTTCTTCAAAGCCCGAAATATGAAAATTCCTAGGAAAATTCAAAGTCTTTAGCAGACATTTCTCATGTAAACTCAGCGAAATACGGATAATTAAGTATTTAATTTTACTTTTTATCAGCTAAAACATGGGCTAAAATTTTTGATTCGTCTCTTCAAAGTGGTTTAATGTACTGAATATCAACTTTCTCTATACCATTTTATTTTATTTTCACCAAAAAACTCTCTCAAAGTACACTGAATCATCAATTAAAGTGCCTATGTTTGTGAGAGTTGGTCGTGAAGAGATGGGAAATGGTAGAAAGGTGATACATGATCTTATTATTTGTAACTTCCATCCTGAAAACATTATAGCGTTCATTGATTGACGATGTAGACATTATGTAATTCTCCACATGAAAATGATATTTTATCGCGCGACACATACCAATTTTCTCACACGGTGTCCTCTTACAATATCATCCTGCAGCCCTCTACACGACCGTGAGTCACAATGCCGATCTCTCGGCCTCGAGCGTCGGCTCTCTCGAGTACGTGCTGGATCACAAGGAGCTGCACAACTTTGCCATCCAGATAGCGCGCGGCATGAGTCATTTGGAGGAGAGAAAAATCACACACCGAGACTTGGCTGCACGCAATATCCTCATTGATGAGCTGAAGACGCTCAAAATCTCCGATTTTGGCCTCTCAAGGACGGGCATTTACGTGAACACACGCAACAAACGTGTTCCTCTACGGTGGCTCTCAATAGAGGCCGTGCGAGACAATTTGTACAGCAGCAAGAGCGATGTGTGGGCCTTTGGCATTGTGCTGTGGGAAATCGGCACTCTGGGCGGTTTTCCATATCCCACCATCGGGAACCACGAGCTCCTGTCGTACCTCATGTCCGGACGGCGGCTGCAGCGACCGGACAACTGCACAGAGGATCTCTACCGAACGATGCTGCAGTGCTGGCAGGAGCATCCGGAGGACCGACCAACGTTCGATGAGCTCGTGGCGAAGCTGGAGCCGCCGCAGCAGAAAATCTACATAGACTTCAATGACCTGGGGCCAGACTATGTTTTCCCACCAATCAGCGAGGAGGCGAATAATTGACCCTGCAAGAAGGAAAGCACGCTACATTCCATCGAATTTCGAGACACACATATTCAATAAGAGCTTTACAGCTTGCTATAGTCACAAATCACACCATCAGGATTCCCATGTCAACTTGATAATGATGTCAAGCAAAAGTCAATACAAAATCGACAGTTATGCCAAAAAAGAATGTATTCGCCAATTTTCCCCACAATAAATGTGTGCACCAAAATAGGACATAAGTTTATCTGTGATAAATTTAATATTCAATTAATACAGGTTTCAATGTATTCCCTTTTCCATCCTTTTGTGGTAAGAAATAATTAATATGTATTTTAATTGTACAGTATAGGCAATGCTCGTTCTGTATTTTCTCTCTTCAAATGTCCAGAACTTTAACCCATTTTAGAATAGAGAAATTTCAATGTATAAAATTGAGAGTTACGTATAGTTTAAATAAAGAAGTAATATGAATAATCTCCTTCTCTTATGCCATTAAGTAGTTGTTATTCCTTCTCAGTGTTCATCTCAACAATCTTCTCGGCGATTTCATCAAATCGCTGATTAATTTGCTGTATATCCGTTTCAACAGATGAAATGTTCTCGTCGAGTGTCTTCGTCTTGATCCTGTAAGTGGAAAATGGAAATGTAATGTACACAATAGAGGAGAAGATTGCACGAACAAGACTACAGAAATAATTGCACTGCAGAAATTAAAAGAAAACTCTTAAAAATTGGAATTATTGACACTCACTTCGAACAGAAGAAAGTTTATTAAGCTGCACGAAACATTGTACAGAGGCGATTTTGATAGTTCTTCAAACTTGGAGTGAATTATATATTTGCTAAATGGACGAGTTCATTGTGCAAACATTCAGTTAGAATCTCCTTCTAAAACTAACTTATTCATCACACGACCAAAGTGGCCGCTCATGCTCGTGTGCCATACAATTTCCAAGCAATACTACATGTGCAAAATAGAAGAAATTGCGCGTCACAAGAGAAATGAGAGATTACACTCGGGAAAATACAAATTCATGTGTTTAATACTTGAATTCTACTATTCATTCTTCCAGAAGAAATCTAGCGAATCAAGTCTATTAAGATAATGCTTAGTTTAAAAGGATCTAAATGAAGATATTAAGAACATTAGATAAACTATCACCTCAAACAGAAAACCTTATTCATTGTGGGTTTTTCTGTACCTCATGTTTGTTTTAGTATAAAAAGCACATTGAAAACTTACAACAAGCTTTGCAACTTAGCCTTCATCTCCAAATTTTTCCTTTGTGTGGACTCAATCATTTCCCTGATGGATTTGTCCTCCAGTTCACAGCGCAACTTCAGCTCCTCTATATTCATCTTCTTGTCCTGGAGACTCGTCGAGAGAATCTCAATTTCCTGCTTCAGCGACTGCATGGACTAATTGAGACAAAAGACATCAATATATTGTACTGATAAAGATGCAGAATATTCACCTTTGAGTGCATCTCAATGCTATTCATTAACACAGTCGTTTGTTCATACAAATCCTCAGCAGGCTTGAGTTCAGGTTCCAGTGGCTCCTTCTGTACAACGTCCTGCCGGTCTTGGGTCTTTGTGCGAGTAAAGTTTCTTTGCAAGATTAGTTTTTGATTCCGAAGCACGCGAAGTGCGAAAAGACCACATTGATTTTCCTCCATTCCGGCTTTCTTGGGTTTCTCCTCGATATTCTTCCCCTTTGCCGCTGTGGTGTCACGTATTTTCTCACTGACTTCTAGCTTCTCTTCCTGAATGTCCTTGTTGCCGTTCATTCTGCAGTTTTCGCTGCTTTTAAACACAGTTTTCACGATTCGACATAAACACGAAGCTCAAGATGATTCCTGTTTAAAACACATGTTCGCTTAAGCGCTGCCAGCGACTCTCGCGGAGAATAGGGGAAAGTTTTGAAAAATGCATTGGCGAAACATGTTCAGGGGCAGAACTGCAGTGAATATTTCATAACGCACAGAAGAATATAATAATACCCTAAGTAATCTACAGTTTTAGAAAATACACTATGCCTCACATTATGCGCAGCAAATTTGATGGTGTAAGATTAAATCGCAAACAAAACAATTTTTTCCGCAACATTCAACAAACTTGAAACGCAAATGAAACATTCATCACTAGCGGATCTTGTGGCAAGTGGACCAATTATAATTCTTACGCGCTACAGCGATTCTCAAATTGTGTTCCGGAAACCACATCATGTGAAAGTTTTTCCCAACACTCGCCAGAAATAATCATATTTCAGGAAATAGATGACCTCCATCCACTTTCAACAATTAATCATCACATCAATGAGACTATTAAGAGGAAAATGAACAAGTTTCTTCACAATGTTCTCACATTTTCCTTCGCACAATTAATCTTTAGGCATTAAGTGAGATGCTCTTTTAGCAGCGAAAATGCATTGAGATTGTGAATTTCGGAAGACAAATAAACCATTATTAGATTTATGGCATGGATTTACCTTCACGAATATTACGATGCGAGAAATTAGACACGCTGTTGTTTTGAGGAAAGCCACTATCGAAGGCAAAACCGCTCTACAATCCATCTAAATACGTGTTAATGAAAAGATTTTAATTATTTTCACTGTTAGAATTATTTCATGGAATAAATGTGCACTTACGAAGGATAAACTTGATTATTCGCTACAGGGAAGATGAATGTTTTGCCGTAAATTATGTTCTGATGCGAATTGGTACCCAAAGCGCTTTTCATACAAACAGAGCAACAGCATATGGACGATGTATAAATCACACATTTTATTGCATAATCGCATACACTTCGAGCTGCTGCTGAAGAATTTATAGACAAAGATAACACACAAGGGAAAAATTTAAATATAAAATGATTTGGGAAAGTGTCAAGTAAAAAGCTTCAAATTTTTTCATTAACATTAAAAATCTGATCTCTGATCTATCATACAATAAGAGATCAGCTCTTCTCTAAACTCACTATTTTTGGAATAACAATCCATAAATACCACGAGTTGACAATATCATTAAGTGATATTATTGATATGTCTGATAGAAAAATAAACACCCCCATCTTTTCCCTTGTGAAATTATTTTTGATAACCTCCTAATTTATTTGCCTAGGTGTTGCGTTTATTTTGAAGCGCGATGCCATAAAACTCGCGAAATTACATCATATGCGAAATTATAGATCATTTGTGGATTTTTTTTTTCGAATATTGCTTCATCGGTAATTTTGCTTTTTGAGCAAGAGAACTAAATCGAATTGTCTCTCATCTGAGCACTCAGTTTGTGGAAATAAAATGTAAACTTCTATGAAGTTGAATAAAACTAATATTTTCTACTAAATAATACGGGCATGAGATAAACTTGCCGAGAATCAAAAGCCCATCTCTGCGCCACTGGTTGAAGCTTCTCTGAGGATTGTCGTCAATTTTTGCAACAGATTTCCATTAAGGATAAAGGTCTGGTCCCAGAAGGACTGCATAAATTCGTAGTAAAGAGTGCTACGCAATATGTTCATATAAGATCTTTCAGCCAGACAATTGTCATCATTGTCATAATTTTGTGGGTGGATTTTTCAAGTGTGCCTCAAAATAATTTGGCATGAAGGAAGCAAATTTGCATAGGCGGAAACTGAGAAGGAACGACAAAAAGCTGTCACGGAAATGTGTGTTTTTTTCCATAGCCAAAATCAGATGATATTTCTTGACTGTGATATACTCGAAAAGGTCGAATACGGGCATGAGTGAGGAGCATATCGCAATGTCTGCGAGATGCTGGATAAATGTTAATTCCTCCACTGGGGCGGCTCTTAAGTGGGCATAAAGTCTGGGGAGCCGGCAATTTCGCCGCGAAGTTGGGCGGGAAGCATTTGTATTGCGGAGTTGTAAGCATTTTGCGGTGGTTAAAGCGAAAGGGGTTGGAGAATGAGAAAGGAAGTTACCATCCAGACTCACTCTCTTTCTCTCTATGTCATTGATGATGACGTCAATACGCACACATGCACAGGGAAAATTCGCATCACATGTAAGCTTTCACAGACGCACGAGTGTTGTGTGGGAAAATCCCTATTTTCACAAATATTGTGACGATTTTCACAAGTATTGTGAGCTCTCTTTTGCACACCCAATGAGTTTTCGTGGATACAGTGTATGGTGGCATCAGCACAATCTATATTGCATGAATTGAGAATAAACCAAGAATTCAATTTTTGCGTGTTGAAAGATTTTTTTCGTGGAAATTCGGCTTTGAAATTAAGAAATCTCTGAACTTTGTATGTATAAATATTTGAGAAAATTATTTATGTTTACAATTGTTTAATTTATCACATGGTCGATGAAAAGCTTACACAAAATGGTACAAGTTAGTCAAAAGGCTTCGAATACTATGAATTTATGCAACCATTTTTCCAGTTTCCTACTGTAAATCTCAGCCTTTCTTACTCCTTCACACACAATTCAGCTTTCTATCTCATATTCTAACTGCGAGAGAACTCATCTCTTTCCCTCACAATGTGTGATTTCACTGAATTTCCCCGCGTCAGGAGCAGTTTTCTCTCTTTTCCCCATCTGAGTGTATTGGTGTGTTTGTGTTGTATGGAAAATTTCTGTGCAGGATATAAAGACGGAGAAGTGGAATATCTGTAACATTCGTCAAACGTGTGTCTCACTGTAAAGTACTTATTTTTCATCCGTTCACGTTTATTTCTTCTCTTCGAGCAACTAAACATCTCTCGTTGATTCATTTCACTCGTCTCACTCCATCAGAAATTGAGAAGTTCAGGACACTCTGTTCATTGCTTCTTCAAATTCTGGCCAAGGATAGCATCACCTCCCTTCACTGGATTATCTTCATTCAGCAGAAAGAGAGAGAGAGAGAGAGAGAGAGAGAGAGGGAGAGGGAGACAGAAGAAGAAGAGCATTTGCATAAATCAATGGGCTAGAAATCAGTGATTATGCGTTTTTGCATCAACGGAAAAATCCAGCTGTACGCAAACCTGTGGAATTGACAATTCAATTTGCAACAATTTTCTCTTTAGACAGTGCTAACCAACACATCTTATGTTCAGTGCTTAGTGGTGTTGCGGAAAATTGATAAAAGAGTGATAAAATGATGTCACAAGGGAGGTAGAGAGACACGGGACGGTTGGAAGAAAATAATTGAGAATGTGACTGTATTTGCTGGTGAAGTTCTTTTCTGTTGCTCGCGCGAGTTCAACATCGTGGAAACTCACTATTCTATCCCCACGGGAAGCAGAAGGAACTGAGATTTGTCGTTGTTTCATTGAGAGAAGACAGAAAAGAGTAGATGGGAAAATATCTGTAAACTCAGAGTGCAACATTTCTGCGTTTTCTCATTGCAAAAGTGGTGTAGTTGTGAAGCAAAAAAAAACAAGACATTTATTCTTTCCACGCAGAAAAGAGAACTCTTGCACGTCTTTTATGTTGTATTGGCTCAGAGGATTCCTATTTTTCGGTGAGTTTATATTAATAGAGGAGAGATCACGAGAAATTATACACTAAATACTATAAACATTGATTGTGGGATTAACATGTTGAGTCAGAGAATGCCAGAGAAAGAGGCTCAAGATTGTGGCTCTCAATGGTGTGCAATTTACGAGGAGCTTTGACGCGCAAAGTGGGTGGCATCGCGGGAGAAAGCTCTCATCAAATATGTATATATTCATATAGTAGTTAATAATTTCACACGCACACCAAATACACTCCAAATGAATTGTATGTGTTTCTTTCTCCTCAAATTAACTTCTCTATTTTTCCTTCATTTTATAAATAAACAACCTCTGTGCAAATTTATAATTTTCATTTAACTTTCTCTTTATCCTTTGCTGAGGTCCCCAGGATTTAAATCTTGAGTTAAATGTGTCACTGGCTTTTAATTGACACATGAGGGAACGTATGAACTATACTTTTCCTACAATTATTCCTCATTGTCATGCATTGAGTGGAGGGTTTTGCTGCTTATCGATTGAACTTGTTCTGAATATACCCTTGCATAGAATGTGTTTTTTATAGATTCCTATACATAGGTAAATGATTTTGAAATTCGAATACTGTGCGAATTCCATACAGTGGTAGTGGAGACGCCTGGTACCAAATCCCTCCACAGCATTTGCATCTAACTTGAATTTTTAAAATCATTAAATAGTTATATTCAATTTAGCTACAATATATACTCGACAATTTCTCATAATTCCTTATTGTACGCTCTTACTGCAATGAATTTAGACACTTCTTACCGATTGTCTGGCTTGAATTCTAAGGAATAATATATATATATATATATAATTATCAATAGAGATAAAGTACATGATCACAATCGTGATATGAAGAGACAAAATGTTTTTCTCTCTATTGACTTTGCAAAGAGGTAACAAAATTCAATGATACACATAAAGAAGATTCGAAAGGGATTTGTACATTGTAATCGCATAAATTGACATTGATTGATAAGAATCAGCAATTTTTTGCTTCTCTATGCAAACTCAATAAAAGAAAAGAAGGCAGTTTCTTGAAATCGCAAGTGATATGGACAGTATTTGATTTAGTTAAAAATATTTTTACGCATATATATTGGGAAAAAGACCTCGCTGACATTTGCGTCGTGGTACGTTTAAATGTGAGTCTGATGGTGTTCAAGTGGAGACGTTTTAATGTGTGTGAGCACTTTTTACCCATCGAGGAGTGTCCAAATTTAACAACACTGCCAAAGATATCTAAATTGAGAGCAGTTTGTTCTATTTATACGGGTTTTTTGCGCTATATATAGCTCGTGGTGGGATGTAAAATTAAATTATATCAAATTAAGTAAGCTCTTGTTTTGGCGACGCGTTCAGTACGCGCCTCACTTGGCCAGAGATGAGCGTTTTAATTGCTGCCGAATTTATGGGTAAGAAAGAAATGTTCTTTCTACCCATGAATAATTAGGACACACATCTGTGAAACTCAACCAATTGTCCAGACATTGTTTTGGCCTCATGAGAGAATTGAGGTAGTGAAAGTTACTTATTTGTCCCATCATATATCCTGATAAATGCGTGCTTAATATTGAAAAAAGCTGCGGTGATTCAAATGAGCTTTTGCGCCTGTTTTATTACAAATTGCAGCTGTCTGTCATATAACTTTTTTCTGTCTCTTGGCTTGTGAAAAGAGAACTTTTTGTCAGACAGTCTCCAAATTATCACACGAGAGAAAAAAATCAGTGTGGCAGAAAAGTCTCTGATCCACCAACACTGAATTTTCCTTTTTTTCTTACTGAGTCACTGCTAAACATTATTGAATTAAAAGATTCAACTAAATTTTGTCAAAAATCAATAGTGAAATATGCAGATTTTCAATTCCCCATAAAACACTCGGGTGAAAAATAAACTGGCATGATACAGAATTTCCTCTCATATTTTTCCATTCCCTTATTTTTACACATTTTTCATGATATTTGAATTCAATACGCAATTCTTCATCCCTCAGCGTGCGCTTGGGTGAGACAAAGAAGCTCATGCGGGAAAAATAAAGAGGAAACCTCAAAGTGTCAGTGGAGATGCGGAAGAAAATCATAAAGCACTTCCATGGATTTATTACACAATTTTATTTTATTTCAGTCATGCTCGCGTCACGTCTCTTTTCTCAGAATTTCACTACGCGATATGCATAGTCAACTGCCGTGCAAGACGTCCAGGCACTATAACAAGAGAATTCAATTAGGAAAATCACAAGGAAAATCAATTTCATTTACAACTCCCCAAATGATTTCACACGCACGCACCATTTGTATGGAGCAACCAATCAACAAATATCATATGCAGATACCATACATATGTAATGAACATTCACTCATGTACTTTCCAACATAAGCCGCAATCTATTTATTTATATGAGAAACGTGAAGACAATTAATTGAACATTTGGATGAGTGTATTTAGAGCAACTGGCAAGGAGGTTATTTTTGAAACTCGTGAGAAAAACTCCAAAACGTCTCAAGGAGCCATTTCAGCATGAAGATCCATCATTTACATTAGAAGAAAAGCCCATTTTGCAGGCTGTAACATTTCCTATTTTTTTATAGGGTAAAGTGGATCAATTTTGGAGATGATACTGTGTTTTAAACATTTTAACACAATTTATTCATTCTGCATACAAAACTTATTTTCAAAACTAATACATAACTCGGAGAACAAGTTGAAAGACTTTGGACAAAGTCAGTACATGAGGAATACTGTTGAAGCTGTTATTTTATATACTTTAAATTATTCTGATTGATGATTTTCTTAAATATATTAAAAAAAAAAAATTTGTTCAACTCTCTTTAAAATATACGTTCAAATTTGCCTAATTTCACTCTACAATCTCTTATTATGACACAATTCTGAGCTAGCATTTCAATTTGTGCAAATTTCCTCTAAAAATAGCCCCCGGAGAAGACGCAGAAAAAACATTCATTCAAATGGGATGATAATTGAATTTGGTCTGAAAGCACAAGTGTGGGGCTAGGTCTGGGTAAAAAAGCATTTTTTCTCATTCAATTAATTCCCAACTCGAGGGTGCGAAGAAATCACGATACATATTTCTTGCCTTTTTGATTAAACGGAAATTTCAAGAGACGAACACACGCCATTTGCCAGATGATGACACTTTAAGGAATTCGTCGGATTCAAGAGCCATTAACCTTTTCGAGATCCTTACGTCATGGGGACATGCATTGCCACGGCGTGCCAAGAGTAACATTTTTCACTTCGCACAGTTGTGTCTTTCTTTGCACTCGCCCACGCAATCGTGGCTTGTTAAGTGTTCAATTGTTTATGTCTGCCCGCGGAAGCACAAGCGACAATTTCACGACATGAGGATTTTGGTAAATATTATTTATTCGTTCTCTGGCTGGCGCAAGAGCAGAGGCTTTCAATCAAAATGTCAATTCGATAATTGGTGGTAAACAAATTTCCATTTCCCTAAAAGGTCTCTCTTTGCCACTAGTGACACAATATGAGAGGAAAATCTTCGCTGGTAACAAGTGATCTATAAATAGTTGCAGAAGCTCACCTCTTGTGTGTGGATATGTGAAAAACAAGCCGAAATTGGCCACTGGAAGGGATGGACTTGGAGTGGCTGTTTTCCCTTCCTTAGTAGACACAATTTTCCATAGACATTTGCTCAAACCGACGGCAGCATGGACGGCAGAAAGCGTTGAAGATAGATATGAAATATTTATGTGAAAACAACCTGACCAACAATTTTCCCCAATTTTATTTTTATCCTTCCACCAAGCAGTGTTGGTGTCCAAAGTCTTCTTCGACGTTCTTCTGGTGGGCAAAGACAGGAGGAAAAAAAACCACTGGGCGTATGCATACGTACGACGACGAATGTGTTGATCCTTCACGCACGAATCCATTTCTTGATATTGAACTTTTGAATTTTTCAGTAAGACTCGAAAGAGAGCCACTAAGTAAAATCTCAGACTGTGCGAGCGAAAAGGCACGAGAAGAGACGTTGAAAATTTCTGTATATATATATTTTGTTGATGTTCAAAAATAAAATGGACTAAGAATAGAGGAATCAAAACAACGACAGGAGAGACTTTGTGGCTGTGTGAGTTGTCTTAGTGCGTCAACTCAATAGTTTTTACTATTTTTTCTCGCTTCTCTTCTCTTTTTATACGAGTGCCAAGGAGGCAAAATTTACGATGGAAATTTTCATTTTTTCAGCCACTCTTACGCACACATCAGACTGACCTTTCTCTCTTCGTCAGAAGCGTTTGCACAATTCATGTGAATTCGGAGAAATTTCCCCGAAAGTTTACTTTAATGATTATGTGTAATATAAATTCTCGATTTGAATTCAATATCGAGTGATCAGACTTTTTGGATTTTCGATAAAGATTTCTCACATCCACAGAGACTGAATATCAAAGAAATTCCTCATTTTCACAACATCTTTCTTACAACATGAATTAATCACGAGCAATATCTGAAGAAAAAAAACTTAACGATTTTCCTTATGAAACCTCTGATTGAACAATAAAAGTCCCTGCTTGAAGCGACTGTGTAAAAAAAATTTAATTCACTCCTAAAGAGCCATAAATTCCACTCTTATATTGGGTGCTCAAAAGATGAAAAAAAATCTTATACTGCTGAAGTTCGAAATTTGCGTCTCTTGTGAATTTTTATGTGGGGGTGTTTATGGTCAAATAAAAACTTTTAACACTCCCCGTGGGTGGAAAAGTTTTGCCAAGACATCTTCCATACTTTAACCAAGCTTGAGGGACGGAATTTGAGGGGAATTTAATTAATTTCGTCCACCCTGTCGCATTTCAGTATAAGATTGAGTTAACAATTGACTGAATGACAAATTGAGCACGAGGGAAAGTCAGAGTGTTTTGGCTACTTGCAAGTTCTTTTGCGCGTAGAAGATAATTACACACGTCTCCAAAAATGCCATAAGAATATTGAAGAAATAGAATAAGAGTTATTACGGATTATACTTGTTTGTAATACTGAAATATGGTATCACAATGAGCGAATTTATTGATTTTTTAGTTCTCAGAAAGGATGTTCAAAACATTCTGTCAGTTTCTGATTTGACCACAAAAGCTCAGCTCTTCATGAAGTTATACAAAGCAATGCTCCCCTTTATCAGGACTGATATCCCAGGAATTTCTTAGTAATTCTACCTGACTTCGATATTCGAGCGGAATTCACATTGTGTCACTGATAATTGTATGGTAAAAGTTCGCTCCATGGAGGATTCGGGTGACAACCTCTTTTCGCTTTACCTTCCAACAAGTCAATTAGCGACGAGCGTGAGGAGCCCTGAAACACAGAGGTGACAGTGAAAAATAAACCTGCTGAGATCAAGTGCCAACTTCCACAGGAGATGGTGGAAAAAATACGTGAGCCCATTAAATTCGAATGTTGGGCGTGAATCGGGTCAATGTCAGTTGAAGATTCTCACGGATCCGTGGTAAATGTTATTTGATTCGCACATGCTTCCTCGCTCGGATCGCTGCCGAGGAAATTGGAAATTGGGACAATATTTCCGTTTGAATCGCTGGCGATAAACAGACGTGAGCCTATTTTTTGCGCCCATCTGTTGTGCAACAATTACTCAAATGGGATTCAAACGGTGTGCGGTGTTGAATCACTTCTCTTGAGCTCTTTTGCGACTTCGACTTTTCGTCTTTTCCTTTGGAGCGCGTGTGTCAGACTGCGACAGGTGATTTGTTGTTTAAAAGGAGGGCGGGGGAGGCGAGAGAGTCAGAATTTATAAACCAAAATAGAGGCGAGACGACATGAACTTGAAAGACACCGACGAGTGTGAGTGAAAGTGGAAGATGAGGAGACAAATTAAGAATTTTTATAGCGTCTAAGTGTGTAGATAAAGAAAAAAATTAAGCTTCCAAATAATCTTTTGAGGTCGTGAAGCACTGACAAGATTTGTCAAGTTTACTAGGCAAGAAGTTTCGTGGATAAATAGTGCAATAAAAATGATACTAGAAATGATGATTAATCAGTATGCTGAATTATTAATTTACGGCTGAGACGGACATGCGGAAAATTAATTGTGTGGCCAGGAAAAATAGTTCTATGACTAAGTGTGAGAAGAGACTCTCTGGGTCTGAAATTGTTGTAAATGATAATCATAAATCAGGACAACATATGAAATAAATTCAAAAATATTCAACCATCCAGTGATAAAAAAATATAACACGCGCGGTTTGGCATCGCGAGAGTGTGGACAACAAAATGGTTAAATTTTCCGGGAATAATTTTTTTTAATTCCCGGGCCACGTTTTTTAACGCCTCATAACTTCACAGACTTGCTGGGGTCTATTTTTGCGAAAGACTTCGAATGGCTTTCGTTGACAAAGGGTCCATCAGCAGAGCAGTGATTTAAAGAAAATTGTCACTCTTATCACGAAGGCGCATCTAAAATTAAATTGAATCTTTTTCACTGTCAATTCGCTATTGAAGAAGGAGTCGAATTGATTTTTCACTCATTCTTGCAACATTGATGATGCAAAATGTTTGTCTAGCGTGAGGAGGAAATTGGCAATGAAAAACCTAGAGAAACCTAAACATCTTCCCTTAAATCAACACAAAAATTGCTCCCGACCCGTATAGATCTAAGGTATGTTTTTTTCTTTGGGAAACACTCCTTTGGTATAAGAATTGCGCAGCAATTTTCCCTGCTTATCCAAAAGGAAGCAACTTGCTTGAGAGAATGTGACAGAGACGAAACACTTGGTTAAATATGTTACTATAATTCGTTCAAAATATGATAATGAAATTCCATTTGAAGTTGTAGATATATGTCCATTTTTTTGCATTTTGTAATCCTTTGTCGGTTCCATTTTGCTCTCGTAAATCTACTTATCTTGAAAACATCGCGATGAAAGCTTCTGACTAAATTTACAGTGACTGTTGATGATGTTTATGAATGCCAATTGAAAGATGCTACACGCGACAAAATTTCTGTAGCATAATTCTTGCCCTAAATGATCGTAAAGACTTCTTGATTCTTCCATTGACAGTAATTACACGCCGTTTCCAATGCCCCGGCATGAATGATACAAGTTAGTGGCTCGTGTCGGGAATGTATCTAAAATTGCCATATTTTGTCAAATACAAATATCGCTCAACTGCCAGAAGATGATCAGTCGCGAGAGACAAGGAGTAAATATAAATGTGAAAAAAAGTCGTGTGTGAGTTCTAATTCTGGATACAGGGTCTTGTGAGACACAGATTTCCCGTAAATACATTATAAATGTCAAGGTTCCACTCCATGACTTGTGTACAATGGCCCTGCTAATTGCTACTCACATCTGCCCCTTATCCTCAGAGTGAGAGAGAGAGAGAGACACTTCCCAGATTGCAGGGTTCCCCGTGGCGATGCCGCTGCTGCGCGGGCAGGGGAGTTCCACCCACACTGTGTGGCTTAAATGAATTATGGGAAATTGGCGCCAATTGATTTTTGGCAACGTGACACAGAGTACAAATTTATAAATACATGCAAATATGACTTGTGAGCTGATGTGGACGGAAAAAAGCGCGCCCAAATTTCAGATGGAATAAACAAGAAAAGCTCAACTAATTTACACCAAATGGATGTGATTCTTTCACAAGTGTTCTCATCATCAAAGTGCGTTGAGTGAAATATTTTGCGTGTAAAAAATAATAAACATTTCGTCAAGAGACACACACAATAAGCAATCCATTGATTCGCACCGACATCAAACTATCACGCAGGAAGATTGCCGAAATATTCAATCAAAGAACAATCGATCGTCAACAGCTCACAAGTGGCGGTAAGATTTATTGCCAATGCTTTGTTTCATCTGTGCGTTGATGAGGCAATTATTGATAGCTTATCAATCTGATTCTTCAAAGGAAAGACATGCTATGTTCTCACTGCATGAAATTGATGTGAACTTGATTAGATTGGAAATGCCAAATGCATTTCCCTTCAAAGTTTCTTCTGAAAAGTAACCAAAGTGACAATACATATATAGATTTACAATCAATATGCGTAATTTTTGACTTTGAGATTCTTTGTTCTTGCAAATTTCGTCGGTTGCAAAAACTAGAACAATCCATAAGACTCTCTGACTGAAGTTGACAGTGAAAATACACTCACAAATCCTATGAAAATTATTTTCTGAACTTCTTCATGTCAACCTCTTGACCCTTTTAGGCGAAACGCGATGCGACTGAGAAGTAAAAAAGAAGATAACGAGACATTTTCTCAAGTTCTACGGCATAAATTATCACGTGAAGTGGCGTAAATCAGGTGTTGGCCATGACGCAGAAGCATTAAAAAAAAGTCAGAGAGATATAAAAAATATGCACTGAGAGTGTGTAAAAAGACCATCTTGCTTGATATTGAAAATCACGCAAGAATAAAGATGATTTAGAGCAGACATCACGAGCGTGGGGAGACCTCTTCATATTTTTATTTCCTCCTCTATGAGCTTCTGCCCCAGACAAACACGCATTTCATACATATCAGTAATTATTTATCTACGCAAATAAAATTTGTGAATATAAATATAACGTGCGAGATCTTTCTAACGAGGAAAGGGGAAGGTGTGAATGTGGTGGAGTTACAGCAGATTTCTCCCAACATCCCATAAACTTCTACACTAATATTTATAATTAACGGCAGATTATTCCGTGGGAAAAAGCTGCCGGGCGTGAATTGATGTGGGTGGAGGAAAATTTTAGAAAAATATTCCCGATATTCCTGAATTTTACCTTAGCCAAAAAAAATCCTTAATAAACTGATCTATTGCAGTAATTGGTAGTGGCTGAAAATAGGAAAATACCCGTCAATTGTTAATGATTGAGAGTGGATATTAGATATATGTCTGTATGTTCAATCAATTAAGAGAATCTAGTAATTTTTTCTCCGGCGGAAATTGTCCATCGTGAGAAATTCATGGGTTTATCGACACATCTCCTCACAAGATTAGTTTCATTCAAGACGAAAACAAGTCAGACTGACGTCGGGTACACCACAGTGTGTAAATAGAAATAAGATGTCTTCTGACCCAATTTATGGGATATCTAACTTTGTTTCATGAGGAAATAATAATTCTCGATACCCATACTTAATCTAATATTCCATCATATTTAAACAAGTACTTATTGAAGAATACGAGTAGAATTCTGAGATTTTTGGATATAGAGACATAAAACTTCTTAAACTGAACTTAAATAGAGACCTACAAAGGCCGATATTGAATATTATGTACACTGTTCTCATCTTATGCAAATACTTATACACGCCTTGAGCCTCTTCACGCCCGCTTGATGAACCAACTTGTCTTCTCTTGGCAAATAAAGTGGAAATTAATTGAGTGTTAATGAGCGCAGGCAAGACTTGTCTCTCCTGCAGACACTCTGCTAACTAGACTTTGATGATCTCCCTGGGACGTGTCTCACAGTGTTCTCTTCCCTGTAGATTCCTACCACAAACTTCCGCCACCCATTATGAAGCTGTCCGAGAGCAAATCTGAGGCGTCGATTGTGCCGTCACGACGAAACAGCGTAATGTATCGCGACACGGCGGCCACTTCGAACGCCCAGACGACTGGAGGTGTGCTTCATCGAATTCCGGAGATGAATGTGCCCATGATGAAGATCTCAGATGAGTACGACATTGAAAAGAGCATCTCTGAGGGGTGCTTCGCTAAGATCTTCCTCACCAACCACCGACCCACCAATACCACCGTGATCCTCAAAGCCTGCCACGCAGAATTGATGACGCTCAAGGACTTCATCCGGGAATATCACTACACCTATCAACTCAGTCACCATCCCAACATTCTCAGTTGCTATCAGGTGGAGAATTCTACACTCTGCTGAAGAAGGCTGTGCTAATCGAATACTTTTTCGCTCGCAGGTAGCTTTCCAGACGGACTCCTACTATGTCTTCGCCCAGGAGTACGCACCCTTCGGTGATCTCGCTGCCCATCTCTGTCCAGGCGGCCTTCCTGAACTCTTTTGCAAATCCATCGCCACCCAACTCAGCGCAGCACTGGGCTTCATGCACAGCAAGCAACTTGTGCATAGAGATCTGAAACTGGAAAATGTGTTGGTGTTTGCACCTGACTTCTCTAGGATCAAGCTCTGTGACTTTGGTGCCACAACACGCGATGGTGTTCTTGTAAGCAAAGGCAGACACACGTGGATCGCTTTCCTGCCGCCCGAAGTTCTGGAAATAGTGAAGAATGAGCGATTTATCTGTAAGACCTCATCGGATTGCTGGCAATTCGGTATCCTTCTCTTCTCTTGCCTCACTGGCAATGTGCCCTGGGAATCGGCAGACTGGGTGCGAGATTCCAACTATGCATCTTTCGTGAAGTACCAGAAGAAGAAGTCCACGGCAGTGCCGGAAAATTTTCGTCGATTCACACCTCGTCTCGTGCGAGCTTTCCGCAAGATTCTGGATCCAGATGCAGAGAAACGTGCCAAAGTCACGGAGATCATGAAGTACATGAAGAACAAGTGGATCGATCAGAAAGTCGTGGTCTCGAAATCGGCGACGAACTTGGGTGGAGGCCTATCAGATGCTGATTCCGTGTGTGTCTACCTCAATCAGAAGGACAGTCGTCCTTCGCTGGACGAAAACAAGTCACGAAAGCGCATCATGAGCAACTACGGCCTCCCAGAACAGGCGCAAGCGGACCAGTCGGCGCTAAGAAACAGAATCTGGGAGTGGGTATTATCCTGCGAACAGACTTACGACTCTGAGATTGAGGGCTTCTAAGTTGAACTCTCTAGGCCAAAACGCTGCATTTCATGCTATTCAGGACGCGACAGGAATTCGTAGAACCCCAGACAAGTACTACACATTTTCTACTATTTAACTAACTCTAGCAGGAACTCAATTTCATCCCTAATTAACTTAGTCAAGGCTCAGGCTTAGGGTAAGAATATATCAGTTACACTTGTAAGATATCAATTTTAACTTTGCACTCAAATTTGTACACAATTTTTCTACTCACCAACATCCACTTTTAATTTGAATTTCTCAAAGATCCACGATTTCTCACATTGTCACTGTTTTCAACAATTCTATCAGTGAATTGGATGTAATGAAGCGCTGAAAAACTCAAAAGCCAAAGTCATAAAACAAACATAACATTTCAATTATCCGATAGAAAGTGAATTTAAGAGTGTAAGAAAAACAAACACATTACTTGGACTTTTTAATTACACCCGAAAGCAGTTTGTCTTGAGAGTTTTTGGTAAAACGGCATATGATATAAAAATAACTTAATATAATTAATTTGAATGTTGCTATATATAAATTGGGAAAACACACACGCACACACAATTTGAGATGGAGAAATCACAATTCTACACGCAACACTTTTTTCTTAGCACTTCTCGCCAATTTATTATTTTAGGCTGATATGTTGGTGAGATGAACCAATATAATACAGCTGAAGAAGTCATGTAGTGTGACAGATTGAGAAGCACTACAAATCCTACAAATCACCAAAAATATAACCATTTGACAATAAATATGAGAGAAATAATGTAGCGTAGAGGAGAATTAATTGAAAACGGTGTGTCATGATGTCATTAGAATTGTGATGACAAATTAATATATATTTTATAGAGATATGTATATATAGACAGAGGAGAGATACTTTTAAGATAAGAGCATATCAATTCTTTTTAAATAACCTACGTGAAGTCACATATGATTGCTATCAACGTGTAGTGCGTAGTTATCATATTCAGATGATAGAAAAAGAGCTATTTAGAAGTAGAGAGTATTGTATCTTTTAAATAGACGAATATCACATATGTAATGTAGGTGAAGCTATATAAACATTGTGACGGAGTTGAAGAATATGGATTTATTATGCAACAAGCGAGACAGAGAGGAAAACATTAGCCCGTGGATGAATGATTGAATAGTACTTTTTTTAGAAGATTACAAGAGTGAGTGAGGTCATTGCAACATCAATGTAGAATTAAATTTAGCTGGATAATGATGTGATTTTTACATAAAATACATACATTTTACATTTTGACCTGCAAGAAGCGCAGCTATTTATCCTGGGAAATGTATAATGTATGATGATGTGGCAATGAGGCGAATTTATACATAGAGAGATATATTTTTTCTTCTAATTTTAGTAAGAAGGAAAAAATCAATATACCATGTAATATTGTTAATGTACAAACATGCCCAAAAATTTGTAAATACTCCCCCTTTGTTAAGTTTATTCTCCCTTGCGAAATTATTACCTTTTATTATGTATGATTATGCCCCATTTCAAATTGGAGATTTACATTATTTATATATACCTACCAACATATATTTCACACAAAGTGACATGAGGAAAGAGAACAATGCATATTATTTATTAAATGTTATATATATATATATTTGTAATAAAATATAAAAATAAAGTAATGTAAACTATTACAGAAAAATATAAAAGGTGTATTTTAGCTGTTCGGACGATATAGTCTTACCTAGAATCAATTTAAGGTTTCTATTTCGATCGTCTACGATCTAATCAAGTCTCCACTCTATTAGAATCTCTTATGCCAACGCAGTATATTTTGAGAACGTTTCACTGCGAAGGTACACCCCGGATGGCATATTCCATTAACTCTTGGATAATTGTCTATCTCTCCTAATATGTACATATGTACACTCTGGAGTCCTTCTTACACAATATTACCGGCAATTCCGGATACAGTTGAGAGAAGGAAGCATGAAAGTCTTAAATTCTCACTGTTATATCTCCCCTGCTCTTTTTCCTGGTGACTTTAATATCGATATGACGCTCCTGCTTATCCTTTTTTCCCCCCTTTATTCAGACACCAAACAATGTAGGGACATTCTTCAGCACACCCTCACAATATTCCAGCAGCAAAAAAATAGACTCCCCAAAAATCCACTCACACGGAATTTTATCCAAAGACATGTGCTCTGTGTGTAGGTTGGGAGAATTTCAGTCTTCCTGAGTTGTGTGTGGGTTTCAAGGCAAGAAGTAAAATCACGAATTCAGTATCCGTTGCTCAAAATTGAGGACCACACGTAGTAAAACCATGGCACACACTCGCACAAAATTCCGCACTAACAAGAAACAAGAATATACGTAGAATAATCCAGCGGTGCACAGAAATCCCAAAAGCCCATCGCCCACTCAGCAGCGATATGAGCACAGTCACTTGAGGGATGCTGGGTATGGAAAAAGCATTCATTGTTACGTTAGCTATTTCGAGACACAGTCTATTTTTAGAGACAAAGAAAAAGTTTCTCACAGTGACTGATCCACATTATCGCCTCCGGTTTGGATTGATTGCTGCTACAATTGACATTCTCATCACCAAAAGGGGCCAACGAGACACCCTTGGAAGGGTGTGCTGTGGTGGCTCACAAATCAATAACGTTTAGAACACTTGTAGATAGCGATGTGTCGGAGCAAGGGCACATAAAATCCCAAGGGAAAGTCGTAAAGTTTAACTTGCAACTGTCGAGATATGGGGAGTAGTTTGCAGAGAATGGACTCAATCGGCGTTAAAGAAATATTGTCCATCATAGAGATTTATGTGCGGTAATCTATTGGCGCATAACGCAGTCATGAATCTTTACACTTTCATTCTACCTTTTTATACCTTTTCTCTGTCATTTGTATTTCAATTAAGAAGAAAATAACCAAATAATCCTGTGTACTTTTTCCAACTTCTTAGTAATTGTGAGAGTTTGGGAAAAACCTGCAGATTCTCTAAGAAATGATCTACAAAACCAGAAGAAAATTCATTCTAGTACTTCTTTTTTTTTACTAACGTATAAAGTTTAACTGAAGGCTGTGTATTACATAAAAACGTGTCTCTTTCTTCTGCAACTTTATATTTGCTCTAAGTCTGATATTAAATTGAAATCGTCCCACACAAAGTCACCCACATTTTTCATTATTTCAAGCTTTCCCTCTCTTTCTCTCAACTTCATCCCATAGACGGATCTTGTTTCTCATCCCCAAACCTAATTTTTTCTCTCTCTGTAGACATTATCCACTTGGGTGGCTTCCACCCGCACCTATTGAAAGTAAAGTGTTTCATAAACTTATCTGCTTAATTTGTACATGTTTCACTTAAGGTATTTAAAAGCTACGCCATTATGTACATCAATGCGGCCATCCTTATTTCTTTTTCTCCTTTTTCGTGTATATTGTTCAGGTGTGATTCATTTTGTATATTATGTATTTCATTCACTACAGTGGAAACTAATTAAAACTTGGCACATAAACACAGACCTATAACCTATACAAAGAAATATATTGCAATTTCATGTGGCAGTCAATTGAATAGGATTACAAGCTCCAGTCTCGAGGGGAAATTGAACAGGTAACAAAATTGATGATTTCAAGATGTGTTTTCCCCACTATTTTCCTACCATTCGGCATATAACGAAGAGAAAATGCGCATTATGTGATTTCTCACATTCTTCTACTTGCCCTTTTTTGCGTCGATTAGCATGAAATGTTCCAACCCTTTTGCGTTTAAATAATCTTATTATGTACAGTCTTATGTATGCTTATTTGTCCACCTGTCCGACGGTGGAGTCTCTAGATGCTCACGGGCGGTGGGGCGTTCTTGAGGAGCTCCATAAACTGAAACGGCACGTGGAAACTGTGCCCATTGTGCTCAACAATCAAGTGGCCTCGACGGTGCGATGCACCAACGACTGTGACAGCTTCTCCCTTCTTTAACTGCTCACTGGACGGATTTGTGGCCGAGTCCTCGGGAAAATTCATCTTCATGACACGTGTCTGCGGATAGCCGAGCTTGGAATTGCCCGTCACTGTGTAGGGACGACTTGGAGGCACTGGCGGTGGTCGTTCCTGCGGACAAAAGACATTCTTCAGCTCTCTCTCTTTCCCTCTTTCATCGTTGTGGGTGTAAAACTCACCAGATCTAATCCGAAGAGCGTGCAAGTCTGTTGAATAATCTTCGTGTCGCATTTCTCATTGGGATCCGGAGGTGGAGTTCCAGCAATTGGCTGAGGTCTTGGCCTCGAAGTCCCAGCATTCGTTGCACTGGTTGTGGTAGGACGAGTTCCTAAAGAAGAAATAGTGTTCACTGAGGAATCTACTGAAGAACATCATCTAGATTTTATACCATTTGTGGTTGCTGCATTTGAGAGAATTGATGTGGCCAGGATAGGTTCCCTATTCCTCTTCACCGTCCCAATTCGTCGCCTTAACTGCCATCCTCGCCACGAAGCTTGAATTAGTGTCGCACTTCTTGTACGAATATCCGCTCTGAGCTTCTCTAGATGCTGACGAATGCCCTCACTTAAGAAAACGTGGCGCTTTCCAGGCGCCCAGGACAGAGTCACACTTCCATCCAACTCTGGTGGATTCTCCAATGCATGCTGTAAAATCAGTTTGCAATCCTCAAGAGCCTTCTCTTCACAACGTCGCAACAGCCTGAAAGGCGCCAACATCCTATAACGCGCTGTAAATTGTTTGAAGCGCATCCTGTGAGGAAATCCACTCGCCATGAGATTGACAGTCTCCAAAACCTGGACAAAAAACAAGTTCATTAACATAAATTTCTCTATTTCACATCTACAATAATTAAATCAAGTTCTGTCTTACCTGTAAAGCCCGAATTTGACGCACTGCTGTTCCTCTATCGAAACTCCCTGGCGTCTCTGTGGAGTTACTTCGGATGCATCTGACGAAATGTGGTCTCGCATGTACCAGAGTTCTCAGTAAATTATCCAAACGCGTGTGGAAGTCCTGAGTGAGTGTCGACACTGGTTCATCGCCATTCAAGAGATCAGTGTGAGAGGTCGGAGCAATGCGAAAACTTAATCCTCGCGGAACATTATCCACCGCATACAGAGCTTTAAGCTCGGACCCGAAGAGATGTGTGGCAAATCCGAAATTGCAAGTGTGCTTGTAAAATACAGCCACCAGATCGTCGGGAACCACATCACGATTGGTGTCTAGGAAGTCTGAGGCGTCATACTCAACGCGTCCGGCAAAGTGGCGTATGGCAAAAGTGCGTGGATCGTGGGGCTCCGAAGCCTTTGTCTCCAGTCTCGTAGAATTCTTGTGCTGCACTCGAATCTTGGCCACATAACTCTCGGCCGTGCCCCTCACAGCACAATCAGCATCCAGCATGCTGAGCAATCCCGTTCTCAGGGATGATATTAAGTCAATGCAGGGCACGTTATCCACATAATCCACTTCAGTATCGCAGATAATTCCCTCATCTCGACACGATTCCACGCTGCTCTTGAAGATGTGTGTATTGTAAAAGTGCTGCATGGTCTCGGCACAGAGGTTGATGCAGAGATGTTCCAGCTGAGCTGGCCGAGGCTCCTCAAATCCGAACATATCGAGAATCCCGATGAACCCATCCGTGGCATGACGAACAGCATTATTGAGAGCCGCCATGGATTTGCTCCCGGAGTTTCCACCCACGGTGGAAGCGTGCTGACTCGCCATGTCCGCCTGATTGTGCACAGACTCATTGGAATCACTGCTCAGCGTGCCCAATGTCGATCCCAGACGCTTCAAGCTGTTTGCTCTCCTCACAATCGTCGCCACGGTGCGACAATAGAGCGCTTTCGCCAGCGAATCTCTCGTCATATTGGACATATTTGCATCGCAAACGGACTTCACCAGCTGCCCGCGAGCATTGTGCGTCCTCGTCGTGAGGCCACGAAAGAGGGCAGCGGCTGGAACCCCCAGCAATCCGGCTATGGCATTCAATTCGGTTTCACCTTTCACGTCCACTTCGAGACCCTGGAAAACGAAATAAAATTCAAAATTAACTTCAGGATTAAATGAAAGCAATTGTAAATAAAATAGCTTAATAGCAATGTGAATGAATATGTATTTCTATATAGAAAGCCTTCTTAATATACTTTCTAAAGGGGCTTCTATAAATGAAGCAATTAAAAAGATTTGCTCAGATTCAAAATTCACATCTTGGTTGTATTCAGACGTAAATTACCCAATATATTGAAACATCACCGCAAATCTCCTCAATGATATATATATATTATGTATATAATAAAACGCCTGACCCGAGATTTGAACTTCCTACCAACAAAATCACATCTCGAGTGCTTACGCACTGAGCTAAATCCCCTTCTCTGGCTGTGTCGGCAGGAATCCTAACTCGTCTGGAGCTAAACTTAACGAATCTCTAGCCAATACACCAAAAGCTTTCACTTTAGTACTAACCTGACCATCGACAAATTGCACGTTTCCCAGCAAGAGAACCGCAGCCAAGACGCGCACCACGTCAAGGAATGGAATTCCCAGAATGCCGAGACACGCTTTCCATGCCTGGAATCGTGTGGCATCCTCCTTTTCGTTCTGCATCGTGTCCCCGCCTTGCAAGTAGCACAGATTCGTGGGTGTGTAACCGTCCAGGTTCAATCTGACGCGCTCATCATGGTTCAGCCCGGCTAACATTTGATAGAAGATGTGGTAGTTCTTCTCATTGGCCAGCGGACGAATTACTCGAGTCTGCAAGGAAGGATGATTGTGAATTTGTGATGCAGAAAGGGGGATTTCGTGGTCATTTTACCTGATCCAGGAAGTAACAGTGGATTTTGGTGCGATAGAGCGCGCCGTCGGTGACCTGAACCTCGATGAACTGTCCAATACGGCTAGATTCGGAGTTTGTGGTGGTCTTTGCAGAGCCCAGAGACCTAAGGACGGTGAAAGCAGCTGCCAAGTGCTTGAAGGCATCCGTTTCCGGCCCACCGCCAGCCACAGCGAACAATTGTCTCAGCAGGAGCATCGAGCAGTGCGTCTTGCCTGACCCAGATGTTCCGGAGAGAATGATGGCCTGCGGATAGCCTGTCTCCGCTTGCTGGCGCACAGCCTCTTGCACCACTCGACTCATCTGTGCCGCCAGCGGAAGAGAGCGCGTCGAGGAGAGTGTCAAGGGATTCCCGACATCGTGATAGGGATTCACAGAGAGCAGAATCGGTCCCACGTTCGTCTGAAAATGGAAGAAAGGTAGGAAAGGCATAAGAAAGATGACGAGTAAGTCGTAAAAAGTGTAGGTGAACGTGTCTCAATCCATCGAACAATTCCTCAGAGGCAGAGTGTAATTGAAGCACTTAACATTTCTTCCGTAATTATTGCAAATTTGAACAATTTTAATTGAGTGGCAAAGATGTATTTGTGCACACACCATCTCATCTACTCAGCAAAGCTTCTTTCGCGCCCAGAACAAATCAGTCATTAAAACATTGCAACTCCTCGGCATTTTTTCTCCGTCTCACTCTTTCTCGATCAGCACTTTTTACAGCTCCTTGCCGTGGCTTTCCAATTCTGTCCAGAATGTCGATGCTTTTTACATCTCTTGCACACTGTCTTCAGCTTCTTTGGCCTCTCTCATTTATTATTGTTTCTCATTCAAGCATGTTCTGTTCTCTAACACAGCCACACATACACAATTCCGTATCACAGAAAACATCTTTGAGAATCAATGCAGCAAAAGCGTCTCTTCACATCTCACAAACAACTGAGGCTTCCAAAGAATTTATCACACTCAAAACAACCACCAACCATAATGCTTCCTATCTCTCACAGTCTAAGAAAAATGGCAGCACTTCAATTCCATGAATCATTTTCTCAATAATTCCACGCAACACTAAATATATTCAATACTTCTTGCTGCACAGACTCTCGTTTCTTAATTTAAGAGGCGTTTGCTGTAATTTTTCCATAAATTACTAACCAATTTATACCTGTAAATTCTGCAGTAATTTATCATTGCTTTGATGGGTTTGTATTGTAGATATTGCCAGCAATTGCATAACATTTTCGTAACACACCAATTGATGTACAAAAAATCTCATTAACACGGTTTCTGTCTCTGAAAACACTGGTACAGTTTGTCCAGACACTCTAATTTACATTTCAGTCTCTTCAGTGGTTTAAGGGATATGAAATGCACATACTTTTCGTGCCTTTCAATTATTGCACTCTTTGTGAATGCAACAAGCCAAATGGTGCAGGAAAATGAAGAGACAGAAGATAAATCAATAAATTGAAAGAAATTAAACTTATATGCATTGTGCATGTAAATGTCCCGAACAGAAATTGCGTGTTACGTGCATATTATTTGGCATCTCGCCATCAATTTTTGCACTGTTCAGAAATTTCTTTTTCCTCTGTTTTACAAGCCTAAAGTAAAGAAGTGCGAGGCAGAGGAAAAAACGCGTGTACCTCCTCGAATCTTCATGAATTCGCGCAAAATATGATTGAGATGCGGAGTGTGGAAGTGCGTTGAAGCGGAAAGAGAAGTCCGCACTGCCGGTGCTAAAGGCCAAATTTGGCTTTATACTGAATAATTTTGTAATAACTACCATCGCCATACATGGAGGGACAAATTTTTGGGGCCCGACTATAAGCACTCTTTTCTGCTGCTTCCTGAATTTCTTTATTTTCTCATTCTGCTCGGAAGCCAATTATTCGCCTCCTGGATGGGCAATAAAAGCAATCGCCGTGTATGATCTTTCATTAGTGCTCGTGATTCACACACAGCGACAGCATAAATCTGTGGCATTGCTGCGATACGCAAATCACTTCTTAGGAAGGCGCGCACAAAAAGGCAGCTTTAATAGAGCGACAGATAAAAACATACATTCAATACACTGAACAAGGTAGAAAATGCCCGCGGGGAGCATCAAATTTTTGCCTCTCATTTCTCTTCACAAGCCTCCGGAGCTTTTTCCGGTCACCACGGCAGTTCGCTGCCTCTTTCACTCTCCCAATCCCTCAACTTTTAGGCTTATACCATTTTTTTCTCGTTCCTCATTTTATTTTATTTCTTTCACAATCTCGCGCGCTGCCCCGCTCAATAGAGACCCAATGTTAATCTTGCAATAACGAGCTTTTTCCGTTACTCCACAAACCACTCCGCCGCAATATTGGACCGTGTTAGTTAGCCAGAAACGCGTGTACACTTTATTGGTTTTACCACTTTGAGGTCTTTTTGACAAACACATTCGCCACTATAGCAGAAAAAGATTATTTGTCTTTCTACCTCTCTTTGAATAGTTAGAAATTAAACTATTACAAGACCCCCAGAGTGAAACATTTTTCAAATTTCTCTATAGACACTCTATAGTCCAACTTCATGTTATGTCTTATGATAACATCACATTTTCCATCTAATTGAGAGAAAAAATTAAAGTGACTTTTTGAGTGTTAAAATTGCGTTAATGCCCAGTGAATTTTGAATAGTGATTTTAAATGTTTAATCATTAGTTTAAGCTAACAAATTTCAAAGCAATGAGCCATAGGAAATGGTTTCTATACAAATTTCTCAGAGCCTTAGGATTAAAAAGGTTAACTATACAATATTGCAAAGAATTTTTAGCTCAGAATAAATAAACCACAAAATTTAAGCCCGAGGGTCCATCAGTGCCCTTATTTACCTTTCACTGCTTACGCCCATAAGAAATGTATTGCCAACATTGCCAATTATGGAATAATGAATATTGCCCATTATCAATAATTGTGATATGATTAATTCTCATGTCAAAAATTCACAGCAACTTACTGAACACGTATGAAAGAGACAACAAGAATGCAGGATTTTATAGGACAGTGAGAAATTAAAAAGCCGCTATATCTTCTATATATCAGTTTTGTAAATCTCAATATTGCGGGATTTTTTCTCTTGGTCGAAAATGACAGGTATTTTCTCCAATTAAGCCTCCTTTTATGATTACATCTCACACAGATTTTCTCCCATATATCTTTGTTGATGATTGAGAAATCATCATTGGGGGAATTTCCAGATAAAGCATCTAATGGACTCATGGGAATGATACTCACGAAGTATTTGTTCTCGCCGAAGCGCGCCTGCAAAGTCTTCATGACGGCGTCCTCGGTTAGAGGTCCAGGCAAGTGAATGAGGTCCTCCATTTCAATCGGGGACAGCTTCTTGGCGGGTGTGGCAGTGTTGCTGGATATGTGAAGTCCTTGCAGGAGTCCGGCTGCGCCACAGCTCGCCATGGTGGCGACGCCGCTGCCCAGAGCGCATCCGTTCATCTTGAGCGACGGCGTGTCAATGATTCCGCGTCTGGGCGAGGTGCTCTGTGGAATGTCTGCCGTGAGGAGTGAAAGAGAGCCATTAAGCATGATGTAGCACACTTTTGCGAGACACTTTCATGCGGACAAACCCACCCAGGAGAGGTTCTTTGAACTGCAAATTTCTTCCCGCGTGAATTTCGACTGTCGCGCATAAATCTTATCGGATTATGATGCTGCGAATGCAAAAGGTATCTTCCAATTGACATTCACATATTTATTGCGTCTCATTCGGAGCTTATAGTGTGCGCCTCTCAGGATCATGCCGACAATGTCCAAAATTGACCATTAATTAATTTGAAATGTGTCCCACTTAATTTGCATAAAGCTTCCAAATGATAAATTTTCTCTTCTTTTCATCGTTTTAATTGTAAATTTGAACAGAATATGCTTACAAAATATCATAAGAACCCCCAAAAGAGCGCGTTTTTCAAGACTTCTTAATTACCTTTAATTGATAGTGGAAAAAAGTGCGATTAATTACTTGCAAAACTGTTCAATAAATCAGGTTCAATTTCTCTTCACATGAGATTACGTGAGAGCAATATTTATTTTGTCTTTCTTTGTGAAATTCCCATGAAGTTCTAAAACGCAGGTAACGCTGCGATAAAAAGGAACGCGAAAAATAAATGCCAATTTAATTCCAGCATAAAATTCACAAATTGCATAATATCCATTTACATTTCAAGCCACACACAAAGTGTACATGACGCTATGAATGATCAATGGTATACAAAACACAGCGCATATTTTGATACCCGTACAAGATGGAAATTTAATAAATCGCCCCAATGTACGAGGTTTCAATGTGTGTGCTGAGCAAAAAAAACAACAATAATAGTGGAGTGATTTATAGTGGAAGGCTGGAGAGTTTATGGGCACGAGTTAAGTGAACTGGATTAAATTTCTGTCGCTGGGATTGCGCGCTAAACTGGATTTTCACCTTCTTGTCCCATTCAATATGAAAGAGTATAAAATGCAATGCACTCTTGGCAATGTGGCAAAATAGTAACTCTAGCCACAAGATAGCACAGAATAATTGGGAATTATGCAAAAGAGGGTAACACTGATGTATCTGTTGCAAAACCCCAAAACCTTTAAGATAGGCGGGAAATTTCACCGAATTGAATAGCTTGTTCTCACACTATTTCATCGCCAAGACAATAAAGGCATCCCGAGTGAAAAATTGCGCTATTAATTCCTCTCACTCACCTGGCATTTGGTGAGGCAGTGGGTGTGGTATTGAGGTATTCCTTGGTGAAACTATTGGTACACTGCCGCTATTTCCCTGTGGCAAACACCCTGAAGAGATGCCATGGATCTGCGCGGGAGAGATATTAAAGACATCAGTCAGAAGCACTGGCAATTTTACATACCGTCTTCACCTTGCTGGAGCCATTCAGGTGGGCATTTGGCCCTGTTGTTGTCGTTCCCGTGTTAACGTTGGCGCCCACAACACACCCTCCAGCTCCCGTAGCTGTCGATGTGTTCAGGGTGGTCGCCGTCTGACCAACATGGAGTCGATTGCGCAAAGTCACGAGTTCTGTGCTTAGACTCTTGAGCCGCTGCTGCAGATGAACAGCCTCGTTGGATGAAGATGCGTCTGCAAGACAAAACAGACATTTGGTTCGAATGTGTTTGCTGGAACTTTGAAAAATCTTTTTTCATCCCAAAAGACCCACATGTGATTTTCTCATGTCGATCTAAGAGTACCAATCGCCAATAACTTCAGTAATAGTGGCAAGGAAGAATTTTACTATCTTTCAAATCTTTATGAAGTAACATTATAAGATTTTACACGTAACAGCTTTTGAAAAGCAACAACTTGTCCTGACTCAGATGCTGGATACTATCAGTATATTATTTATTGTGAAAGTTAGCATAGTTATTGTGAATCAATCAATCAATATCTATACGCATTTCCAAGCGTATTTGTGAGCTTCAACGAAGTTGACGGCGGAAAAAAGGTGCCAATTCTTCGCGGTAAGTGATAAAAGCCATCCTTAGTGTCTGTCCACTTCTTTTATCTCGGCAACGGTGCGACTGCGAGAATGCTGCATGCGTTTTCACAACACTGGAGGAGACGAAGAACTGTTGGATGTTGTGACGCTCCTCTCAATTATTCACTAACATGTTCACTGGATGGCTTTTGGTGTCTCATCGCGTCCTCTTCTTCTGAGTGGGAAATTTTATTATCCCCTCGTCACACAAATGCAGTCAATATTTATGTGCGTGGACATGAAATAAAGTGTACTTTTGTGACCAATTCACCGTGGTTCATTTATATAAACATCTTACCGCTGTCATATACAGTTATGTCCATTTGCCACTAATGATTTTTAGTATTAATTTTATGATTGCAATTCACTGATGAACAAGTGTTTATTCCACTTCACTCAAAAATTGAGAGAGACCTCTTCTGCCTCCCCTTTTTTGCCCGATTGCGTCTCCATTGTGATAAATATGGCATCGCGAAGGGGTGCATGAGGAATTTATTGCTTATTGACACGATATTTTATGCAACATTGTCACACACATTGGAGAAAACACCTATGCTCCACTTCAGAATGGCATTTCTGAAACTATTCCATTCATAAATCATCTTGAATGGAATTGCACTTAAAAACTGTGCGAAGAACATTCCCATCTTTGCCACGAGAGTTGTTCAGAGAGTGCGTCTATCTCTTGACTGGTAAAAGTGCTCTATGCGTCTAATTGAAACAGAGAGGATGTGGTCAAAAACACATCTTGCGAACGTTTCCACGGTGAAAAATCCTTAGAGGTGTCGTAAAATAGTATTCATCAAAAAATCACAAATGCATGAACATAAAACCAAGGGATTCATTAGCTGGCATTAATGATGTTTTGTAATTAAATGCAATTAATTTAATAAGTTCCATAACATCATCCAATTACAGCAAAAACACCACATTTAGCAACATTTATTGCTTTGCTATCGCTAGAATATTTAAGTCGCTGGCATGGAGGACATGCAAAAAGCCCATTTGTAGACATACATACTTCTCGAGCAATTAGCAGCCTTTCGTGGTGCTACGCATGTGTTTTGTGAAGACGGTATAGAAAAAAGCAATTAGAGACACTCTTGCACTTCCGATAAATTAGTTCTCATCAGGGATGATTATATGCAAAAATTGGTGCAAAGTAGAAATAAAAGAAATATTGTGGATTGAGATGAAAGGAGTGCGCTCGATGATGCGTGAAAAGAGCAAAAATGGCAATGAAATAAAGCGGATCCACGCGAGGAATGATGATTAAATTCAAAATCGCATGCTATAAATTATTATGTGTGGCACATGATATTAATTATGTGTGTGTCATGCTTTTATTTTGCGCTCTACCCTGTGCGCCGCTTTCATCCTTCTGTCCACATGCTGGATGATGTTTATGTGGCGCGGATGGCATGGATGATGTTGGCAAAGAAGCGTCCATGCCAGAGATATCCGCTGAGTCGTAAAACAACTGACCAGTGATAGTATAATTACATGTTGTCTCTCGTGATTTCCATGTCATATCCTTTCGATCGTGCCCTTTCTCGATAAACAAGTGCAATTTGAGCTTCTCAGAAATTGTAAGAAAATCTATTTGGTTGTTTCAGCGTGATGCGTGTCCAAAAAGATGAGAATTTGCGCGTTTAAACTGAGGTTATTGTGAGAAGAAAAAAAACACCACACTCTTCAGTAGAGGAGAGTTTGCAGATTGAGAATAAAGCCAAAATAAGGATGTTATTGACCTCAAGCAGTCGATACATGCAATATAATAAGAATATCAAAATGGCTCTGAGGGAAATCAAATAAAAGTCGCGATATATAGAAATTCAAGTTATTCTGCCGTTCTGCAACTTCCAATAAAAATTGCATCTTTATGGACATTGGAATAATAATTAATATAAAGTGATCGCACTGAACTTCTATCAAGTTACGGGAATGTAATTCGTTTTATGCCTCTGTAAAGTTTCAACTCTTAAAATTTATTTACTCAGCATTCCACCAACTACTTTTTCAGCCTTCCTTTTGCATCCTCCGTGGAACAGATCTCTCACCACTTCTCAAATCTATCAAGCAAGGCAATATTCTCAGCTCAAGTCTTCTCTTATATTCTCTCTCTATTTTTCATCCACTCTGCCTCCGTCAGTCGTCCTGCCTTATGTGAATATATCTAAACTACTCTATATAAACATACCTTGTGCAAGGTGAAGATAAAATGAAGAAACTAACCCAAAACTGATTTAGCTTTGGAGCGTAATAAACCACAATTTATACATATTCATTGCTTCTTCCTTACAATACATATGAATGTACATACTATAGAGGAATAGTCATGAATTTTGTGAATTCAGAAAAAGCTCACAGGAAAAATATTGTGAATTCGAAAAGTTTTGATTAACCAATGAAAATATAAGTTAAAACATCAAAGACATGATGGCATAAAGTGAATAAAAAGAACTTCACATATTGTGATTATGATAAATTAACTTGGAGAGGAGATTTTCACTCGGATGGACTTTTTTTTACCACATTTCCTCCTCTTCGTCTTTTCAATACCTTCGATCATCATCAATATGAGTCGAGGTCTCCATACAAAACATTGCCAGCCAATATGAAATGCTGAGAAACTCGCGAGGAGTGTGCGCGCGGAAAAAAATGGATGGAAGAATGAAAGATTTCAGTCTCCTTTTTTCTCACTTGCCCTCCTCATCACCATAAACCTTTAGTGGTCCATTGGTATTCAAGAAAACATTACAATGTTATAACTCAATAAGCCGCAGGCAACTTTTAATACTGTTTTTCCTTCGTTCTCGGAAATCGAGCGACAATGAGGTGGTTCGCGATGGCATGAAAGAGGAAAATGGAGAATTTTAAATACAGGTATTTTCGCTCAAAGGCCCCACCGAAAGGTCCACTTTTCTCTTGCGTTTTTTCTCCTTGCATTTCCTTGAAATTCACGCGTGAAAACTCAACTGACGATGAAAGACACTGGACGGTTCTTGTGACTGGGTATTTTCGTTCATTCGCCTGAGAAAAGAAGAGGCGAAAAAAAGACGGAAAGATAAAGATGAAGATGATGGTTGTGTGGATCTCTGACATCGCAAGTAATAATAAACGTGAGCGCCGAAAAACATCAACACAAGAATACAACCAGTTCTTTTTCGAATATTCAATGATCACTGCTGGACGTCTGCGTGTATTTGTGGTAAGACGTATATATATATATATATATATATATATAACGATGTTATTAACTTCTTTTTACACGTTCATCTCCAACTTGTGCTTTTATTTGGTTTTTTCCTCTCTTTCACTCCTCTCAAGTGAGAGAGAAAAAATGAATGAGAAGAACACACAGATATTTCATCTACATCATTTCTTGTGTGAGATTTTTTCAGACTCAAGGCACCTCTTAATTTTCCCAACTCCTGATATGACCTCCAGCACAATCATCAACCTCTTCGTCTACTTTCTCACAATTATTGGGAAGTCATATGCTCGATGATCATGTTGTATGTGTGCATGTTGAGATAGAAAAAGGATGAAGATGACAAATGAAGTTTAAAGAGCCTCTCTATTCTATGCTTTATGTTTATATTCAACTCTTAACTTAAAGCCATCATCGATGCATTGGCAAAAGCAAAGGTACGAAAAATTTCAATGTAACATATTCATGTCATGAGTTCAGTGACTTTGAGAAAGGCATCAAAAACTGGCTTTTCATTGAGTTTGATTTTTATTATTATTATTATAAATAAATGGGCAGAGAATTAGTGTCCAAAGCGATCTTGGCAAGAAGGAGGAAAAGTCACAAGTTTATAGACTGAATTTTTAACCATCATTATCATCACTCCACTCTTCATGCTTAAAGCTTAAAGGTGCGACTTGAGTTCGAGCGAACACTCTTTTTTCTCACTTTTACTTTATCATCTTGCGTCCAGGGTATTAAAATTAACCAAATATCGCGAGGAGATTTTAACGGGTTTTCTGACAAAAATTCAACATGAGACCATATCAACGAAGGAGCTCATCAATAACTCATGAAAGCAACAATTTGGCGAAAGATGCTGAGCTTTATCTGACCAAATGTTATACTTAATTGATGACTCCCATTAATTTTATGATAGAATGGAGAACCGAAAACGTCTCTTCCACAATCTTTGTAGTGATTTCTTCTTAAAGCGTCGGAATTAGCAGAGAAATAGTGAAGAGATTAACTATTCTGAGAGAAGACTTGTACAAGAGGAGATGTAACGTCTGAAGAAGTAAAAAATTGAAATTCGAGATGTCCTTCAGGAGTGCAATAACAAAATTTGAACAAATCTATTTGCTCTAATTGTGGGCCGGATTGGTTTAATCATTAATTTGCAAGAGAATAAGATTCAAGGCTCTCTATGGACGAACGTTAAATTCTGATGAAGAAGCACAATAAAACACTGTTATTGTAACCTTCTTAGCCTCGAAATTCTTCTGTATACTTTCTACTTGTATTTTATAAATAACGTATGCAAAAGACTAATTTTATCAATTAGGGCATGAAAAGCCACAACGTCTTTATTTCCATATGTAATATGAAGGACATAAAGAGGTCTGTGCGACGTAACAGCAGAAAAAAACCAATTTTCCTGATTGCAATCAATTGTATCAACAAGGCAATCTCATTTCATGTGGTTTTAGCACACCCGAAGGGAGTACGCCTGCAGAGACTCCCCACTTCTTGCATCTCTTTGCTCGATGCCAGCGCTCAAAACACAAAATAACACTGGCAATTGTGGTACACAGAAGAAACACTGAGAGAGAGTGGAGCACAAAAACCACATTGACGCCATGACAGTGTTTAGCTTCGGCCAAGAGTCTCGAACAACAAAATGCTTCTCAGCGCACCACAAGAGGTGTACATCTATTCTAAATAGCAATTTAACCACAAAAGACACTCGACTTGGAAGCTATACAAGAATTCAGAGTCATTATAAGCACGAGATGGGATTTTTTTCTATCGGCATCTTCATCAAGTTCTTCAACAGCCACGAAAGAGATAAAAGGAAAAGGATAAGAAAATGCGCGGGAAAAGGATATTCGCTAGTTTGATGATGATGATATGTCATCAATTCTATTGCCTGAAAACATGGTGCAAAATTTTTTGAGAAGGGAAAACTATACATAGTTGCATATATAAATTTTAATCGAAAAAAACCTCGGCCAATATGAAGGTAAAAAGCAACAAGAGGCGATTTTGATCTCCCCCGAGTCCCGAGTCAGGGCAGAAAAGCAATCGAAAGACGCGCGAGTTCTTATTTGAATACAAACTCCACAAAAGAGAGAAACTTTAAGAAAGGAATGAAAATCGTGACGATTGTTTAATTTTTATTTGCTGGCTTTTTTCCCTGCCTTTTCAACATCTACTTGCGCGCACCTTTCGAAGAGAATAAAAGCACCAAAGACACCAAATTCAAACCAGTTGCGCTTGATTTGTTCTATTATGTGTGGCATCACTCTTCACCCCTCTCACTCAACATATGCGGCTCTTTCCCATCCACAGTCTTCGCCAGAGAGATGAAAATTATAAGATAGGTACGTATGTATGTATGCAAGCCCCACCACCGGAGAGGAGAAGCAAAAGGCAAAAGAGAGCGTATGTGAAGAAAACAGAAGATATTTCTGCACTTCGCCTCGGACTTTTGGCGATTGGAGCTGGCTAATTTAAGCATTATCCTGCATTATTATTCCTTGTCATTTTCCCCAATGTATTCACGCAAATCGACCGTGAATTTGCAATTAAAATATAGCGAATGCGTGAGCTTCATGCTGCTCTGTGCACAGGTTACAGTGAAACGCAAGACTTCAATGCGCACAAGCAACGAACCCAACACATTCCTTCTTCTCATCGCGAGGAACCTTTTTTATATTGACCCCTTTTTTCCTCGCCACACTTATAATTACTACCTTACAGCTGGATGTATAAAATTACACATATTGGCTGATTGGAACACACAAACTGCCGGTAAATAATAGAGGTAAGCATTCTCTTTCAGGCGATTTATTCAGCAGACGGTGCTGGAAACTACTTTGGTCTAACTATATGGAGTTTCTCGCCAAGCTATACTTTCTAAAAACACAAAATTGGCGATTATCCATTGAGAGACTCATGAGTGATCCACAATGGCTCAGCATTGCAATTTCCAGTGGTCATAAACATGTCACAATCGCCTTTCTGCTACTTGTAAGACGCAATGGATGGCAAAAGGACTTGACGCCTTGCATTCAATGAAATCAGTCACATGTTTGTTTTCTGCTTCTTTCTTATTGTGTCGCAAAGTGATTGGTTTGATTGCTGCATCCAAGGGTGCAGGATAACAAAATGAAATTCTATGCAATCACTTTACGACAGTGTATCAGTTGTTTAGGCATTGAATAAGCGCATTTCGCCTTCTCCTTCATCTGCTAAATAGCGCTCGCGCTCACCTCTCTCTGAACATCTAACGAAAAATGGAAAGAACTGCGCCCACTTAATTTCAGAATTACATTAAATTATAATGTGTACCATCTAGAGAAAATTTACCCACAACAGCTGAAGAAAGATACAGCCATATATTAATGCATATACATATAACTTCTCTTCCACTAACGGAACAACTATGCAATATAATTGTGTTTGGCGATATAGGAGGCAACAAAAGAGCGAGGGAGAATTGATCTTGATAAGAGAAACCTGGGAATTCACTTCCAAAGGAACTTTTCAATTGATTCTGATTGCAAAAGTAATCTCAAATTATGATTTTTCACCTCTAGAAGGAAAAAAACACATTGACGTCTGCAACTGAGCAAGTCGCTAAATTTAGCGACGACTTATTTATAAAATGTGAGATATTTCAGGTATTTCTCGTCATGCTGGAAGGGCAAGATGAGCAACATGGTGCTCATAAACAAATATAAATTGTATTAAACCAGATTCATGGGCAAAGAACCGAAATCGAATATCTTCCTTTGCTCACTTCGCATGTTTTATTGTTTGCCGCGTCGACACAACGTATGGGAAAGAAGAATCGACAAGAGAAGGAATTGAAGAGATGTTCTCTCAACACAGAGAATCCTCCGAAGAGATGAAATAATTTTGTGGTATGTTTTTGCCAATATTATGGAGTTAAGAAGAATGCTTAACGATGGTGATGCAGAAAATTCCAATCAATAATATTTCTAAAACAGTCTTTCATCGTTTGGACAGTGATATAATGATGTGGAATCACACTTAATTGCTTACCCTGAAGCTTCTTCTCAGTTTCCCAGAATTTCTGCAATTCTGTAAAATACTTGTCCAATATGAACACCTTTGAGAGGCCGAGAGTGGCCATGGTTTTAGTCACACTAACTCAATCGTCCACTCTAGCACTCAATTCGTCTATGAAAAACACTTCCAGCGTCTCTTCCAAGTTCACAGTTGGGTAAAATGATCTCCTGGATCCCGTTTTTACACCTGATCAATATATCTCTCGTTCCCTCTTTCTCTTAGTTAAACAATAAACCTCGGTTTATTTTCCTCGAACCACTCTTATTGTGATGCAAAATAAACTCAAAATGTCTCTCAGTCTCCGAGTGTTTTCACACACATAATCAATATCACATTACGATGCGAAATTGCAAGTAGCGACGGTTGAATTGTGCTCTGTATTGTATAAAGCACCAAAATGTGATTTGTGAGTTCTTTTTCTGATTTTTAACAATGCAAAAACGCCAATTTTATTCATATTACAGAAACACAGCACTGGAAAGATATAGATGAAGGGAGAATAACAACAACAAAAAATTAAGCCACCTTTTCAATCACTTCTTTTTGGTCTCTGCCGAGATGGCGAAGAACGAAATATTGAAAGAATATATTGTGAAGACACAACAAAGATGAATAGGACAGCACACCAGTAAAAAATATGTGCACAGCAGAATTCACCAGCCTCCCGACTTAGACTACCTGCTCGTATAAAATACACCTCAAAACTGAGAGTTCCCACTACAAACAAGGTGAGTGGGACCCAATGTCTCAGGTACAAGAAGCCCGTCTGATCGTCTCTTTCCGTACCATCAAGATCTCACCTCTCTCGCGCTGCTCTAACCAATTCATTCAGCCAATTCCATCGTGAGCGCCAAGAAGCCAACAATACCGTCATCTCACTTGCCCCGCCGTGACCAAGTCATCACTGAATTTCCACTTTTCACACACCATCCAACTCACACACACACCCCAGCACCAATTTTGTTGGCTGAGGGCATTCTCGGACGTACAGGTCCAATGCGCTCTAACGATCTCTCTCACTCACGCGGCGAATGGATATCAAAAGCTCAAATTGAGGTTACACGTTGAGATAAATTTCAATTGAACACAACATACACCTGAGAAGAGAAGGAGGATAAGTAATACATTTGAAAGTCCAACTCATAATATTTATGACTCAGGAATTTATTAATTGGGATTAAAAGAAAATCGATCATAGAAGTTAATTACTTGAATTGACAGAAATAAGAATTGCGTAAAGGAATAAAGTTAAGAAGAACCGAGCATAAAGTTAGAAGAAAAACTCTAAAAAGGACCTCAAAATCTTTGAAGATTGGAATTAAAGCCTTTAATTTTTGAATCCGAACTATTTCATAACAAAATTGCTCGATTTTCAGCAATTGATCGCCCTCTAAATCATCTCATGATGCTCATAGTCTTCTCTCGCCAGTAAATGTGTGCTAAGGTGAGAGAGCACGAAAGACATCTGTGGAGGTGAAAGAGAAGACACAAAATCATGTTGAGACAGTGACTGTGTAGATTTCTAACGTAACTGCAGCCAGTGAACTTCTTCAGAAACATTTTAATGCATAAATTCAACAATGATTCTCACTTCATGATTCCTCCTGATGCTTAAAATTACAACCTCCTCTTTTTCTCTATTGAAAAGCTATTCTCGTGTAAGAAAATACCATACATTGGCTGTTTTTGCGTCCCTCACGCGCCCTTTTCATAGTCAATTCGAACAAGTGACTCTAAATATTCAAGCACTCGGCGCGCGCATTAACCAAAGTGAAATCCATACCCAGAGAGACTGAGAAGAAATGCAATTGTTCCTCTATATTGAAATACATATTCATATTGTGGATATTTCTGAGCACATAAATGAATTATACCGAAAAAATACCCAGTGACAGATTAATTTTGGGATGGCACAAAATGCGTGCGAGAAAACGCAAGATGAGAGATTAATTAATTGTGATAATTTGTTGGCACCTCTGTTTTGTCTTTCGCCCTCTTTCACTTGGTAACCCAGGTACATTTTATGTGTAAAAGTATCCCACACAATTAATGTAGACAATTCCCACGAAGATGATGAATATATTTGGTATTTCCGTTGCTCTTGAGCATTCAGCCAACCCGACCAAATAGATGAATCCAGTGAAAAAACTATCCATGGAAACTATGTAATTATACCTGTGACTTTGTTAAGCGGTATAAAATGTCACTCATACAGAGAATTGGGGAGTCGAGGGTATATTACACTTTGTGATTATAAATTGAAATTCGCCCGGCCAGACAAAATACCCGAAGAGAGACAACTCACACATCTCATTTTAATGTGCATACTGAAATTTTATAATAAATTCATTTGAGTTCAGTACTCAGAGAAGCTGGTATCACATGTAATTCTCCGACGTCCAAAGAAGTCGATGAAACTTTATGCGATAGAAGGTTGAAAAAATGAAGAAGACACCAAAGAAGATATTCAGGCAAGAGGACCACAGAAAACCTGTTTTCTCTCACTTACTCCTTTGCTCACCTCCCTGGAGCATCACTCGAGTGCTTCTTCATCTCTCTGATCACATGAAAATGCCGTGTAATATAAATTTTCGAGTTTTATTCCCTCCAATCATTGTGGACCCACAAGAAACATCATCACCCAGCGAATCCCCAACTGCACTCACACATGCGAACATGTGGGAAGCTTTTGAAAATTACGCCAGGTGGGAAAAGCTGCACATGGTGCTTGTCTCAGCTGAAAAGGCTTCACTTCAGTGAGGTAAATTCACTCTTTGCGAGACACTGTCGCGCCTAAAGTACATCAACTGTCTGAAAAGTGGCTGCGGGTAAGCAAGGTGCAATGCATGCAATAAATTCAGTAGCAATCATAAGGTTAAAACGAAAGATATCAACTGATTGTGATTGAGTGTCATTAAAATTTAATGGCATACTCTTTTCAGTGTCACACTCGTCTGAAATTGTTATTATGCATACTTCTTATGGGAATAAAGCTATATAATGCTTTCTTCTAAAGACTTGTGCTCTCTAATAAAATATATTAGATTATTTCAACATAGAAAACAGAAATCAACTCACGACACATTTATATTAGCGACATTTCCTGTGGTACTCTTCACATGACCCAATCATATGAGCAGCAGAACATTTCACTCTGTGACTCTAGATTTTGACTTAAATACAGATAAACACCCACAGCTTCTTGTCAATCGATAAAAGAAAATCACACAAGGTAATTTTGGAGATGAGGAACCACAGGGAGGTGAAAATCACGGAAAAATTTCAAGTTACACAAATTACTGTTGTTCCTGGAGGCAGTCATAAGTAGCACTGGTCCATTCTTGTTCTTCTCGCGACACCCAAACGAACATCCATCCACTGTCCCCCATTGCCATGTCCATTCCCGGCTGCGTGAATCCATCATCGTTTGCAGCAAGAGTCACATAAATGCGGATATTGGTAACTTTCGTATACACAAATGTACTTTATTGTAGTGCCTCTTCTTCTTCTCAATTCTTTTCACTGTATTTTGCCCACTACAACACTTCTTTTGGACCTCTTCACCACTTCTTACAGGGCAGTTAAATAGTAAAAATTGCCGTCATTTGCTGTTCATTGTTATATTAATGAAATATTCTCAAATCAGGCGATTTTTAAAATGAATTTCATGCCTCACGGGTGATTTTTTCATATTAACAATGAACATTTGCACACACAATAGTAGCGAAACGCCATAAGTGGGCGAAGAAGTCACAAATTCACTACACAAGCTTGCAAAATTTACTCACTTGTAAACACGAGTTAAATGGCCCACAATAGGGAACTTATCAATGTATTGACGCGCCCCATGAACAAATCAGAGGGAAGAAAATTGGCCTGACAATTGCACACCACCACCATTTGTGAAGTGATCTTGACGGAAGCTGACGATCGCGGATAAAGAGACTGCCCAGCGTGTCAACAAAATTCTCCAAGTGACAGAATGTGCAATGATACTTTCCAGACAACACAATCATCTGCCTCCACCACAAGCAAGAAGTACAGGAGACACCACAGGTGACCGCATCTCTGTAAGCCAGGTAAGAGAGAGTGAGCAGGAAAATAAAGGGAAAACAGGCGCTTCTTGCACGACAAAATTATACAAAATGAATCAACTGTATCTGTCACAAACTGGTTCAGCTTGATTTTGTGTCTTTCTCAATTTTTACACAATATTCATATATACTTACGCAAGAATATTAGGTGTAGTGCAAGAACCGATTTTCCCCATCCCTACGATCGAAATGCTATATAGTAAATGACACATAAGAATGCATTGGTATAGACGTCGATCAATTAGCCATCTCAATTTTCTACCCGAAAATCCACAGCATGTAATTTAAAATCATCGTCCCCAACGTTATCTTCAACACACTGGCGAAAAGCGAGCGTTCAATACAGATGAGACAGTTTGCAGAAGACAGAAGTGTATATATACATTGACAAAAATGCACCAATAAACATAGTGTTAATGATGATGATGGTGATGTTGGGAGGAAAAATGAAAATTACAAACAAGCAAATGACATCCGATTAATGTTTCATTACACTCGTGCACATTTGTAAAGCAGCGACGCAAATTATACTTTAAGAGTGCAGTGTATGCATATAAAGTGATAATTTTCATGAGAAATAACATGACACTTGAGAGACGATCTTAAGTGAAACTCCTCAGCTAGGCGATCTCAAGCAGATCAACGCGAGTCTTTCGCGCGGTGATTTAAAAGCTGTCGAGTTCATCTGACGGTCACGTACTTGACCATCGCTGGCACGATTGACCAAAAAAGGGTGACTTTCTCCTATCTTCATCTCCATCTCTGTGATTTTTGAGCAAATTTTTTGTGTGCATGACGCAAAGTGGGGATAAAATTAATCAAAATTTCCACTTTGCGGCTTTGATTTCTCCCTCCGATAGCAGTGGGTGATAAAAATTGATTATACACTTTACCGTGACTACTCGTGTCCCTAGAAGCATTTTCTCTTCTGATGAATTCACTCACCTGTTGATGACTGAACACTACGCCGCGATCCTCTGCCACGCAGCGGTAGTGTATAGATGGCCGTAGCCTTCTGGAAGCGATGCATCCTGGAGTAGGAACGCTGCTCAGGCGGCGAATTGCTCTGTGGCTTCCTTGCCAACTCCTGCCTTGGACTGCGACACCGCGAAAGTCGCCATGAGGGTGGGGCGGAAAGAGAGGCGCTGGAAACGTAACCGGAAGTGAGAAATGAATTAATTGAGACACCGCAATAATAGTCGTCTTACTCCATGGCCTTCTTGTAGCGACAGAAGAAGTCAGGCCTGATGCGATGCTTGTACAGGAACATCTCGCATGCTCGGAGGATGTCCAAATTGGTGTGCACGGAATTGGTCTGATGAGGCTCTTTGGAACTATTCTCAGGACGCGTGAATGGCCTGAGCGGTTGACCGCAAAATTCGGGGATGTTGTTGAAGAAATTTGTTGTCCTCTCAAAGTCCTTCGGTGAATTAGATCTCGAATGATTTTCTGTCGTTTTAATTTTCTCTTCTCCCTGCAATAGATCATCATCACACTCTCCCGATTCGTCATAATCGTCTTCTGTGTCGTCATTCCTTGTCTGATCAGACGATGATGTCGCCGATAATTCAATTGATCTCCTACTAATGGCACATTCGCTCTCAATCGCTTCACCGCCATTATCCATGCTTCGATGTGGCTCATGTCTATCTTCACCATGACAATCGCCTTTAGATGACTCTTCAATTGGTCTCTTAACATCAATTAATAATATTTTCTTCGCCACTTCAGATGACTCGAGCTCGAGCAGTTTTTTCAGATGTCCTATTGAGGCCACAATTTCTTGGCCACTTAAAACCTGTTCGTATGTTTGATCAGGAAGCAACATATCTCCATTGCACTACATCAAATCACTGAACCGATAGTAGATGTCTTTCTCTCCTCCTCATGATAATTTCAGGCGACAAGGAAACTATTTGCGATTAACACTTAAGATTGAGTCTGAAAATACAGAAGGAGAAGGAAAAACAACACGGTTATTTCATTTCATATGGTTTAGCGGAAATTTTTCGAATAATTCTTTTTAAATAAAGCCGCAGATCTTTCAGCAAAATACCGTATAATCACGAAAGAAAGAAAAAAAGGTCCCAGTTCTAAAAACATTGACATATAATCATAAATCATCGGCAAGTCTAGAGGAAGTGATAACAATAAGACTTGAATACCACCTTAAATTCCACCTCCTAATTGCTCTTTATGTGCGCTTTTTGTTCAATTATAAACCAAGCTTTGGAGAGTCACATTTCATGACAGAGCAACAATATGACAATTCCCTGAGTGATTTATTCAAACAAGTATTATCGGAAAGTAGCAAAGAACTCCGCGAAGATGTAAATCTCATGAAATAATAAAATACCGAAGGGAAGAGAGAAATATTTTGAGGTAAGAGGCATGACTCAGAAGCCTGTTTAATCTTTCTCGTTCAGATAAATTGATGTACATCTGAAATTATCGTAATTAGAGGCGCACACAGGTAGATTTAGGCATAATTGCACACCTCATCGTCGCAATTACATACTCAATTGTTGCAAACATAATGTAATTTCACTCATCTTCAACTGCCAGTAAATTGAGTGCTTATGCACGACTTATTTGCTCTTCAATTTGTCAGAAGTATTTCTACAATTCACACACATACTCAACAAATTTCACCGTTCACTTTTCTAAGTCAAATAAACGGATAAATTTTGATCACCACGCAAAGAACTCAAATTACATCTGGCCCGAAATTCTTTATGTGAGCAAGAATTTCAATAAAAATAACTTCATATGCATTGAAGGAAGTTGTTTTCCAGGTAAAAGTTTTCTCGTGAAGATAAAGGTAACATATTTCCTATTGGGAATTTTAATTTCTCTCTCCGGAATGAAATCTCCCATAGAAATTCTTCCATATGTGTAAAGCCATCCTGGAGAGAAGTAAACGATAAATCAATTAGAAACCACATTCATTCCATTCATGGTGAGCGGATCATTGGTATAGAGAAGTGTTGTCTTCAAATGTCTGTATTTACTCCCATTCCGGACAAAAAAGCGTGCGTCTGATTGCACATCTTACAAAGGAAAAGTGATGAGATTGCATAATGGTCCGTGCACGGACATCACGCATAATCATATTGCTGATTGAGATGACTTTCAATGTGACTTGAATTGTTATCTGCCATCTACCTCCGCATTCACTTCACCTGCACTATTTTATGCATTCTGCCAGTCTAACTGTACCACAATGCACCTTTCGTTGAACCATCATCAAAATGCAATCGTACTTTTTCAACTCGGCACTCATGAAGCACGCCATACACAATTTGTGAGTGGAAAAAGTATGATTTTAGCCCATTTATCCACATTCCTTGTTCTTTACTCTCCCATTTCACTTCATTTTCATTTCAGAGGCACCCAGGAAAAGTGAGACGATCGGAAAGCTAATCAAGAAACTCAGTATGTCAATTCCAGTGAGTGAAACAATCAATCAATTATACGCAGTTATTTGTTAATCCGTCGTGAGTGAATCAGAACAAAATTGTAAACAGTAGAAGAAGGTGATCTATAGGGTGGCAAAAGTATCAAACTGTCACGTCTCATTTCCAAAGAAAAAATGAAGAAATCTTCTTGTCAAGATGATGACAAAGACAAGGCATTTCTAGTTGAACATTCTTGACCTTAAAAGTCACCTGATTTGTACAGTTAAGAATAAAGTGATTCCTCAGCAACTTATTCATTTACTACGGTCAATCTTTTGAATTTAGTCATGATAAGCAAATCCTAATCTGTGTAGTCAATTGCCCAAAGCATTTCCAAGGGGGAGATATGATTAGTAAGGTCGCACGAAAATATTCTATTTCTTTGATATACATACATGTATGTATGTGTGAGATTGTGTACAAATTGGAAGCCTGAAGATTTCCCCCTTGGTAATCTTTTGATCACATTTGAGAGATTAGAAGTGTACACAAAAGCAACACAAAACACCCATAAAGATCCCACAAAGCGGAAACTCAAGATCGCTCCTCGAGAAAAAGAATATTCCAAAGAAATCATGCTGTAAAAAGACATGTAAAACCAGAAAGAGACGAAGTTAATAGCTCTGAAAGAAAAAAAAATACGAGACTGGATAAATTAAATTAAATGTTGGTGAAAAAAGCCAGAATGGCTGTCTCTTAGTCGTATGGCTGCCTCTGCAGTGGAGTTATTAATTTTATCTTTCATATTATTCATGACTATCTCCACCCCCACAAGCTTTGAAAAATTCTTTTGGGCGATCGCTGAGGCACTAAAACGCCTTCTCGTGCAGTGCTCTAAAAGGTGTACTCAAATCCTAATGATCACTATATATGTATAACACAAAGAGACTCTCCATATAACTTCAATGCTGCCCAATTGAAGTCTGCACAAGAGAGAATTCAATATAGTCTTACTTGAGTACACACCAAAGGTATAAATGGAATCTTCATGTTGTGTGTAGTCTCCTTGTTAGACAAACATAAATTGCAACAATTGAAGCTAAACAAATCGTTCTATATAAATCTCCCTTTGCCTTTGCACTCCACTTCAGGCTTATGTGCACTGGAAGAGGAAGCTTTTCTGCACTGTAAATTTATCTGCCATGAAACGCACAACAGAATGGCCAACAAATCGCACGATATCTTCACCAATTTGACAAATTCTCCGGAGGAAACAACAAAATGTCTTGTGACTTCCTATTTAATTGTGATAAATTGGCCAAATGGAAGGTGTACAAAGGGGAAAGACTAACAATCTTGCCAACAATATTATGTGCAGATGTATGTTTAAACACAAAATCTGAGCACTGTAAATCATATAAAGTGACTATGATGAAATTTCTGGGAACATTTTCACGGAGAGACTCAATGAAACCGTCACAGCTCGAGAAGGAGTGGAACGACTAAGCGGATCATTTTAATCCACCCCATCAAACCATCAATCTGTGACCAGCTTAAGAATACCCCTGAGGAGCCGCACGGGAATGCATCTCAAGGAACTCCAGCACTAGCTCAATTTGGTGCTTATTGTCGGCTGGCGAATGCCAGAATGATCACCTCTTCTCAGGTAAGTCCGTGGCAAACGACGATGGCTGTGCTCGGTATAAAATACGCGAGAGATGACTTTTCTTTTTGCCATGCCTGGAAGAATAAATCGTGCCGCTGCAATTATTATTAAACATAGTCTTCCACGTCGAAAAAGAGACTCCATGGCCTCTATGCTTCCCCTTCTCCTTGCATTTCGCCCGCAACAATTTCGAACAGTGCGATTCCTCACCCGCGATTTTCTCCTCGTGTTTTTCGTCTGAGTGTGCAATTTATCAGCATATTCTATCTATAATGCTGGATTGTGCCAAAGGATCTGGAATAGGAAGAGATGCATCCATTCACGCTGTAAGATATTTGCGATGCCATTTGTTAAAAAGGTATGAATTTCCTAATTAGTAGGTCACAACACTGCGTATCTATATGCAAGGACAAATTGAATAACATTGAAAATTCCTATCGAATTCCTATCTTCTCCCTTCCATTTTTGCATCTTCTCCTCAATCACCCGGAATCTCTTAACGTTTCCTTTCCACCTCCGATGCAACACACGCAGATCACGATTTCCAATTATGGGATTTATGCGTGAGAAAATCCATTGCCGATTTTACCTCATAGCATTTTCAATCTTGTGGTTTTCATCCTTCTTTTTTACCTATTCACATCTTCCCTTTCAGCTATGCGCAATATTCTTAACAATTCAATAAAACAATTGGCGTTTCGTGTACTTGGCCACTTATGGTGCATATATTAAATTGTGGCTAATATCAAGATCGAACTGCAAAGGAACACCCACAAAATGAATCTCTCTGTGAGAAAAGTGCTGGACAAAGACGGTGGAAAAGGAAATTCCTTAATGGTGTCTGGTATGAGTGGCAAAAGTGATGCCTGTAAAATCTACAAAGGCACACAACTAACTTCTGCACATGCAGTAAAAATTAATTGCTCAGCTCTATAACAACCAGAATTCACTTCATGCACACTTTTCATTACTTCATTGACTGAACTTTCTTGCTAAAAATGTTTGACTCTTCTTTGCGCCGACAAATTCAATTTTAAAAGGCTACAAGATAATAAATGCACACATCTGATGAATTTCTGATTCAGAATATTCAAAGATCTCTTTGAAAACGTCTCAAACTAAATTTATTGTCCCTTTTAAGAAACACTTAAGCAGCGAATGAAATAAGAAGGAGAAGTTAATATCAGTGCAATTAATTTTATGGTGAATTTTATATACGACGCTTTAATCGCGTGACGATATCAGGCGTAAAAATCAATATAAAACTCATTTTATTATTGTCTCACCATCAACTCACATGGCATGAAATTCAAATCACCATGGCAAATATATATATTTCCCCAGGGAAGACACCAATAAGCAAATGAGATAAACTGAAGAGGATGAGAGAGACTTCCTCGGCGCGACAAGAAGGTGCAACAAACTACCCATTACGAGATAGCTCACAAACAGTCCTGTCGAATTAATAATCAATAAATTTTCCCACCCAAAGTCACAACCGGCGAAGGAAATCTCTGGACAGAGGCAATGCAGCGCACTCAAGAGAGCTTTTTAATGTGCCACAACGATTACGGTCGGATTGATATAGGCCCAGTATGAGTCCGGCCACCCATGAACTGAACAATACATCCAACGCTAGACTCTTCCTCTATCACCCAAACACAAGATAATAATTTTTCACTAACCCACATAATCTTCACACTTCAGACTCTTCACACGACACCTGGGAATTTTTGCCTCATAGAGTGATTATATATATATTTTTTTTTGGCAAATTTCATACTCAGATTTCTACTCCTCACGCTATAAATTCCAATTAAAAATTCCACCTGTAACATATAGAGATATTTTACGAAAATTTAAGATATTTTCGTCAT